CATCCATCTGCCTTAGCACACATATACTTGCTACATTACAAAGCAACTGATTCATGGAAGTTTAAACACAACGAAAATCGAAAGCCAAACACGAATGCACAGTAAACACATACTTTGATCTCAGGGGACCAGTGATCGAGAGCCGTTAAAGCACAAGGAATAACCAAAGCAGACAACTTTCCCAAATGAGGATAATCAATCTACAAAACAAGGATAAACCAATCGTATCATTAACAATAACAAGCCGCCAAATTTTAATTCACCATCTAAAAAGAACAAATAAATGAATTCACACCTGTGTAACAAACCACCTAAACTGATAAGCAGCCGCAATGGCAAAGCCAACGGGCACTCTCGCTGAGGCCGCTGAGACCTCATCGCAATCCTCCGATTTATCGATGGAGCTCTCCTTAATCCTGTTCTTCAACAATGGAAGAACCTCAGGCATCAATTCTATCAGTAACCTCTTCTCCTCAGGAACCGAACCATAATTTAATCCCAATTCAGAAAGCTTCTCGTTATTCCTTTTACTGTAAGCCATGGAATATGCTTTTGAAAGTTTGAGAAAGGCCAAGTCTGCAGCGGCCGAGAGGTGTTTGGGGATCCATGAGAGGAGGTCGTGGACTGAGGATTGAGAGGAGGAGAGTAAGGCACAGGCGAAGGTGAAGTCCCTGATTGAGGAGTGGAGTTGAGTGTCGTTGAAGTTAGGGCTTGGTGGAGATTGTTTGTGAGGGAGGAGAGGTTCCAGTAGGGCTTTCAAGGAGACGTTGGTGCCCTCTGGTTGAGTGCACTGAGCTTTGCTCAGATATTCGGAGATTGGCTCCGATAATCTGAAAAATTACAGACAAGCAAGGTTAGACAAAATTAATTAATAAAATTTGAGAAGGAGAGAACTTGGAGCTTACTGGATGAGAAGCTCGCAGAGGGTTGAGGACGATTCCGACATTTCCGACTCGGTTCGCCGTCAGAGCTCTCAACTATTTTACTTCCTGCTTCTGAATTAGCTTGATTGATTTCGGAGGGAAAAGGGTGCTACTCGACGTCGTTTTATGGGTTTGTTCAGCAAACGGCATGGCGTTGACAAGCCAATGTCAAAGCAGAACGGCCAATACAAAAGTGAGGGTCGCTTTTTTTAACTTTACAAAACAAAGGGGCATGCTTGCTGGATCATGCATCTATATTATATATATACAGATACATAGACCTATAGACTCACACCTGATATCTTTCTATGAGCTTGAGATTCCTGCAATTAAATTGAGAGAAATATCGACGAAAAAAAAGGTTGAGACAAATATCATTTGACCAAAAGTGTAATTCCTTTAATTTGACTCAATTTAATTTAACTTATTTTAAAATTGTTGTAAAATTAACTAAACTCAACCAAATCAACTTATATTATTTTGAATCGATATATAATCCCTACATTTATTGTCGAGTTTTATTATGGTCTTTTAACTTTCTCATTTTTGCCAACTCAATTATTTTTCACATTTTTCTTCAATTTTAATTACGTGACGTATGTTTTAGGGGTAAACCCGAAATTTGAGTCCATTGCAAGCGATCAAAGGCAAAATTATGGCTAAATAAGGGTTTTATTGACGAATTATAGTCTGATTTAGGAGATTTTGGTGAATTAGGGTTGTAATTTTAGGGACATATAGGTGAATTGGGTTTTCAATTGGGAGAAATGGGTGGTAGTGAGCTGGTAAGTTGTTTTAGAATATACTTGTGTTATAGACATGGGCTTAGCCAAGTTGGTTAAAGCATATGTGCTCCTCATTCTATACCCGAGTTCAAATTCCCCTCCCCATAGTTTATATTAGTTTAAAGTGACGGAGTGACTATATTAGCACAAATGAGAGAGTTGAATAGCCAAAATGGCATGAAAATTAATTGAATGACCAAAATGGAACTTGGATATAAATTCAGGGTTTTGCGTTAAAATATTTGTCGCGTTTTTTTTAAAAAAAATTATAAAATAATCAAATAGAAACTTCATTAGATAAACTTTAACAATACAATCAAAGACATCTAAAATATCAATTCCAATAGGGTAACAAACTAACATGCTAAAAATAAAACTAACGTGGATAAAAGCCGCACTAAAACTACCAGCCCACATCACCACAATTAACCATTAGTCCAAACAAACCCAACATAATCACACCCACCACCTTATTCGTAACAGATTTGGAAAAAAAATATGATTTCCAGTGATCTACTTATACATAAGAACGAACAAATAAACAAAACAACAACTTTGCCCAAAAACAATTGGATGATTTGCAGCAACCTCCATCAAAGACAATGTAGAATCAAATTTAGAGAACATGAGCGACATTAGGGAGCGGGATTTGATTGAAAACATAGACTAAAATGATGATGGGGAACTTCAGTCTAACTATGGCTAAGAAGAAACCACCACAATGAGCTTTTTTCAGAACGCCCAAATGGACTTATTCACAAGCCTAAAAGGAAAAGAGAAGAAGAGAGGAGGGGCAGTGAAGCTTCTTCCTCCTCCTCCTCTATAGAGTTTTCCTTTATGACTCACAAGGGGAGAGAACGACTAGGGTTTCTTTGGACTAATATTTGTCACACTTGACATTTCTCTTATTCATTGTTAAAACTTAAAAGTTAATACCAGCAATTAAAATCTCTAAAATAATTGAATTTAACGCTATCTTTATCAAAAAATCTCTATTTCAAATAGTAAAACTGCTATCAACTATAATTTTAATTTACACCTTTGAGACCAAATTATGATTGTCGTGGGTTGAGGTAATAATAAAAGGCCATAATGTTGTAGTTCAAGCGTGGGCTGTCCATGTTTCAACTCACCATTGAAGATTTTGTTAAAACAACAGTGTTAGTTGTGACTGAGAAGAACAATCCATGTTGGTTTGTCCATGGACCCAGCTAGCTTATCCAACTCATTGGCCACCGCCAGCAAAGCTGTAAATTAAATTTTGTACCGAATAATTCCAGGCAACAAAAATTACCATCCACTCCCTCGTAAAATAATAAAAAAAATTAATAACTGACCTCAAGTGTCTTTTTTATTTATTTATAATATTGAGAGGAAATTAATCCTGAAATTTCAATCCTGGTGTCAATCAGGGGAAGAAAAGAACTATAATCACTGTGGTAACTCCGCTCGATACCTCAAGTACGTATTTGATTATATTTCCAAATCACATGTATAATATTTTCTGAATAAATTAATTAAAAACTCTCAAATATAAACATTTTTTAACAGGGAGGCAATGGATCTTACATTCTCTTAGGAATGAGATGCTCTGTTGACTGCACGTAATTGGATAAATATTATGTTCGGCTCAGCTTAGAAAATTCGTATATTGCCACCCAAAAAGTTGCTTCCTTCTGTTTTTTTTCATTTGTTGGTAACCATTTTGTCCTTTACTAGTTCAGGCATTTTCTTCTGGCTAAATTAGTAGTTAAATTACGATGTTACCCAATGTTGTAGTGCAATAAGAGCCCCGTAAAATTATAAAAAGTTCTATTACGTTACTGCACTCAAGTACAATCCTAATTTATGCATTTAATTATCCTCTCTATTGTACTTAAATTCCATTTAAGTTATTCACAACAATTTCATCCACAAATTACTTTACTAAAAATGAAAAGTTTGCAACTTGTATGTTGCTATGGATAAATACTTTCCGGAAATAGGTGTAACACTATTTTGTTATTTTTGACTAATAATTGTATGACACGGTTACACAGATGATAATACTTTTCCGCGACATAGTATTATTGATTAGAAATAGCAAAACAATAATTTTTCCGTTGTAACTAAGTTGTTCTTGTTTCTATGGGGCACAATGTACCTATGGGTTTATCCTATTATAGACGATGATAAATTAGGCTAGGCGTTGGCCCGAAAGGATTCTTTGTTACTTTTTGTTGGTTTTTAGGTTCGTCCCACATAACAAAGACAGGGCATATTAAGGGTGAAAGTAAATACTAATTTTAAATTAAAAGAAAAAAACATGGGACATGGAAAATAAGAAGAGGGGTCAACGTGTAAATTTGCAGCCAAAAGAGGGCGAAAAAAGCCGCGTAATTGAGTCGTTGAACTTGAACAAAGACAAAGTGGAGCCAAAGTGTCGCCAGCGCGGATATTTTTATTCCATTTTATTCATAACGCCTAAAAATCTCTAATTGGATTTGGGGGGGGTCGCGAATATAATTTCATCGTCGTCATCCACCACTACGCTGTATCCGCTCGCTGCAAAAAGTGCTCGCCATCTCCTCCTTTCTCCAGTACGCCAGGACCCATTTACTTATTGTTCCTCTCATTTCATCTTTCAAAATCTTTTCTTTTTTCTGTTTCCGTTTTTCATTTATTGAGATTTTCAAGCTCACTCAATCAGCCTTAAAGATCCACCATTTTCTCACTTTATTCAAAGGGTACGCTTTTTCCTGACCCATAAGAATTCTGTTGACTTCATTTCACCATCTCTGCTGCCAGATCCTCATTCATTTGTTCTTGCATTCTTGTGCGGGGTGTGTTTAAGGTTGGATCAGAGATTTTTTTTTCTTCTTAAAATAAAAAAATAAAAATCAGCTATTTGTGTTCCATGGGCTTTCAGATCGGTTTCTCAGAAAGTTGAGCAAAAAAGATTTGATTTTTTTTTTGTTGGTTTTTTCTGTAGATTTGTTGTTAAAGCTGCCAAATTGTGTAACTTTGAGGTTTACCTTCTCCGAGTCAAAATAGTTGCGTATGTGGCTTCAGCTAAATTTTGTCGTTTCAATGAATCACTGTAGTTTAAATTTTACATCTTTTATTTTCTAGTTTCTGAGGAATCAAGCAGAGCTCATTTTATTCTCAATTTCACTTCATCTGACTGCCATTTTCCCCTCTGGTTGATTGTTCATTGCAGATAGAAGGTTGAGAGGAAAGCCAAAATCTGCGTCGAAGCCTGTGGTGATATTGGATAATAGAGAAGAATCAGATCTAAAAGCATAAAAGAAGCATGTCTTTCATTGGCACCCAGCAGAAATGCAAGGCTTGTGAAAAGACAGTTTACCCAGTAGAGGAACTCTCTGCGGATGGTGTGTCCTACCACAAGGCTTGCTTCAAATGCACCCACTGCAAAGGGACTTTGAAGGTACTCAACCATCTATTGTGGCTCATTTTCTGCTTTTGTTGTTGATTTTCAGTCTGAGTCGTGTAACTTGGATGCATCATTTTGATTAGATTGAAATCAAATTGGATATGTTTTATCCCTTGTCTTCTGCTACATTTTTTTGCTGAGCATTATTGATTTACTGTTACTTCCAACTGGATAGGGATTGCTATATTCGAGGATTCTTAGTACAATGCAAATGAGTATAGTGACAAATAAACAATAATCTCGTGTATGAACTAATATTTTGCTTTGTTCTTTTTTTTTCCAACTTAATTAGAATGCCATTTTTATTTTTTGGGATTTTTCGTACAATACAAAGGGTATTGTAATATATAGGATTATTTGTGCCATAAAGCTGAATCCTTTTTTATTAAGATATGCAACTTATAGAGTTGTTATGGAAGTTCCTTCCTTGTTGTTAAGCTTTTGCAATTTTTATGTTTACAGCTGAGCAATTATTCCTCAATGGAAGGTGTTCTGTACTGTAAGCCCCACTTCGAACAACTCTTCAAGGAGACTGGCAATTTCAACAAGAACTTTCAGTCACGTATGTCTTTCTCTTTTCACTGATGAAGTCCACCTTTGATAAAAAAATTTGTGGTTTCTTGATTACCATTTTAATGTGCAACAGCTGCAAAGTCAGCTGAGAAGTTAACTCCAGAGCTGGTAAATTTTTCTGACAACATTACATTACGTCAAACTTAATTTTGTGTGAACAAATATTTCTTATGCTGTCTATTGGTTGGTGTTAAGACTGATTCTCAAATGCTTGGGTTTGTTTCAGACTAGATCACCTAGCAAAGCTGCTAGCATGTTTTCTGGAACACAAGAAAAATGTGCTACTTGTGGTAAAACCGCTTATCCACTGGAGAAGGTAGTATCCTAAAATATGTCTTTTATTGATGATTATCCTTTATACTACTCTTTGTTCCCCCCCTCTTTTCTCGTCCCAAACGTGAAAGAATTACTTTGGCAGTAGTGTCCCATTGTTACTTTTTTTAAGTTTAGCACATGTTCTATGTAATATTCCTGTTTATAATCAGAGGTGTTGGAGGGTACACAAATTTCGCATGACCTCGGTTGTAATGAATGAGTTCCTCTGCATTAGTTATTTGAAGAAAAGGGACTAATTTCTTATATAATGTACATGGATATGAATCACAGGCATAGTGAGCTTGTTTCTTGGCTAGAATGTTCAGTATGTGTGGAAGTAGGATTTCATATTAGAAGTCAATTTCCAATGTGAAAATTTGGACAGAGGTGAGCAAGTTTAAAGAAAAAATATGTGCTGATAAGCCAAATGCTATTTTGTCAGTGTCCACATGGACCAATATCAAAGTTAAAGCTCCCCCCAAGATCAATAAACCATTCTGTATGCCCCTTCCCCTTAGGGGTGATAAAATGGAGGGTCAAATAAAATAATGCACAAATTGTTTTGCCTATATAAAAGAATTTTCTTTATGAAATGCTTCAATTCCTATACAGTAGTGATGTCTGCTCTGCATCATAGTTCCAATCCTCCATTGACTCCAAATTTGAAGGAAGAAAAAAACACACAAAAACAAAGCAAAATTGAAAAATCATGTGAAACTAATTTGGGTTTATTGCACCAAATTTTTTGCAGGTGACAGTGGAGAGCCAGGCCTATCACAAGTCGTGTTTCAAGTGTTCTCATGGTGGCTGTCCTATTACTCCATCAAATTATGCTGCCCTGGAAGGCATTTTGTACTGCAAGCACCATTTCTCCCAGCTTTTCAAGGAGAAGGGGAGCTACAACCATCTGATTAAGTCTGCATCGATTAAGCGCGCAGCAGCAGCAGCAGCATCCATTCCAGAAGCATAAATGCCATACTTTATGGTTTGATTACATGGCTTTCTTTCGTTTAAGAGTGTTATATCCCCCTCAACCTATGCTTTCCATGGTGGAGTGAGAAACTTGATTCTTCTCTGTTGTCTCTTTGGCTCATCAATCTTGGGCATATTGTTGTGTTTTGCTTGATGTATGTGGTGCGATTCTGATAGTTGTAAAATGAATTTCTTCAGGACTTTATTTGCAGTAAGTTCATGTTGTCACCATTTTGTTCGACTTTTTTACGAAGATATGAGGAGTCTATTTTTTCGTTTCATTTTTCTGATTCCCTCTCATGTGAACTAGAGATCACCTTATAATCACTAGAGAGCCATGTAATCAGGTTTTATTGATCCTAACTCTAGGGTCCTGGCTAATGTTGATCGACAATTTGTGTACTGAAACATGCCCTTCCTGTTACCTAATTACACCAATATAAACTAATGAAATTGAAAAAGACTGGAGCCTTTTGTCTGTACCCGTCTTCCCCACCGTAAGCTGGCTGAAACTTGAAATTCAGAATTAATGAGACTTCAAACGTGCAAATTGTAATCGTAATTGGAGGGAAAGTATAATACAGGACGGTCACACAAATACAGAAAAAATTGTTTTCGAGAATATTCGGGAAAAATTGAAGGACATTCGATGGCAATTCACTCAACCATAACAGCAGCACTTTCCATTAGCACAGTACATTTTCTTGATCAATTCGTTCTCTCTTTTTTTCTTTTTCTATTTTATCAACTTGGTTTGTGGGTATGGCTGGTTCTTGGGGATTGGCCTACTTTTTAGAAGCGTTGTTTATACTTGCGTCAGATTGTGCTGTTAAAGAAGTGAACTTGATTCTGGTTTGCCTTTTCTGTTTCTCTTGCCTGAAAACTGGGTTTGTAAAATCAATGCTCGCTGCAGTTCTGTGAAGGGTGAAGTGCTCCACCAGAGGTGATATATTGGTCCAATCTTTTGCATGCAAAATCATACTTTGGACGAGGTTCGTTTTCTCTCTTGTTTTACAGATTCATGTTTTCCTCCTAGAAATAGGTGAGAATAGGCGACTTCAACCGATCATGTAAGCATTGAATTGGTACTGAAATTCTAAACACAGAAATGATTGCTTGTGTTGTAGTCTTCTAGACATAAGATGTTCACATCTAAAGAAGTGATCACTATAGAAATAGAGGAGCCGGTTAGTTTAAACTTTTCCCTAAGGTATTTGAACTCATCCACCAAGGCAACCCAAGTAACAAACCAGCTGGTGAGAATCAGCGAAGGCTTTGGATCTGTCTGTTCTTGAGGATGAAGTTGCCAAGCCTGAGATGAGTTACAAAGGGTTTTACTTGGCTCCCAAGATAGAAGAGGAAAACGAAGCTCAAACAGATACCACACACCGAGTGGAGAAGAAGCCAACAAAGCTGAGCCTGTAGCGGATAGCAAGCCTGAATTGGAGAGCAGGAGCCAGAAGAGGAGAATAAGGAGGGTGAAACTCAATGCCACAGCAGCCACAACTGCGGAACAGAAAAACAAGCCTCAAGTGGAGACAAGCGCTGAAATTGAAGTGATTGATCCACTGAAAGAATGAAATTGAAATTGAGTCTGAAACTTAAATTGGAGCTGAAACAGAAATTGAATGTGGATTTGAGGTTGAAGTTGAGTAGTTTCATTCATTTAATCAGATTGCCATCCTATTCCTACCTATTAGCTCATAGGCATCATTGAGCTTGTTTGTGATTCAGAGTTGAAAAGTTCCAGACTAGTTCATGATGCAAGTTCATCTTCTTTAACAACTAAAGCTAATGTCATCTTATATCTTAAATGAAGTCCCACTATTGTAGTGGTTTGGAGTATTTACCCTCTCAGGCAAGGTCCTGCGTTCGAGTCGTAGAATCCGTATAGTGTATGTGAATTTAGTATATTATTACCCCTCTCAATAGGAAAGGTCCTAAAAAAAAACATTAAAGACATTCTTTCTGATGTCATCATTTGCGTAATGATTTCATTTAGAGTTCATCAGAAAATGGTCAGCAAACAAACAATGCAGTGGCTCTTTTTACAAGTTGCAACTAACAAGCATAAGGCTTTAAAAACCTCGGTCTGGGATATAAGTACAAAATTGTGAAATTATGAATGTTTTCTTTCATTAATTAATCAATATAAGAAATGTTAACAACAGACTGATTGTGTGGAGACCAATTCTACAACCCTTTTCTGAAAGAATAAACGATAAAAATATATTTCCTCCGTAAACCCAAGCTGAGAATAATAGAGACCATACTAGTCACTTATTAAGTTTCCTACTTTTGACTTATCCTGCGTTGTTGCTGATACAAATGGAAGCCACTCACTGAGGCCTCCAGGGGAAAAATAGAATTCGTAGAGGCAAAATCCCGGCACCAACATGTGGTGCCAACTTGCCTCCAGGATGACCACCGCTGTTCTCGCAGTATGGAAAACAAAACATAGGAAGTTCCACCAGATGCTTTCCCAGAATCATCATTTACTTCGTTTCTTGGCTTCACTGTAAAGGATCACTCCAAAGACTGTGAGAGAATAACCCATCATTCCAGTCACGGAAACAGGGTTTCTAAAAATTAATATTGAGACCACCACAGCTACAGCTCCTTTAGCATTTCCTAGTACCTGGATAACCACAAAGTTCCATTTGTTACAATTGACCAAAAGAAAGTTCCATTTGTTACTAGCAACAAGACCAGGAAAAGAAACATTAAACTTAGTAATGACAATACGAAAATGTGAGAACTAAATACATCATTCTTCAATTTAATCAAGCATAAACTGCTCAATATTTCACATTAAGCATGATCATTTCGTCTGAACATATTTAACCAAAATGGAGGAGATGGAGCTCCTTTCATCAGTCAACATAGCCATGCAAACAGCGGAGCCACTAATGATCCAATAAGAACATACCCAGCTACTTAGGGTGGCTACATGAACCAGTTTCTCAAGACCAACATACTTTTGGCCATACCATTGGCCTAATAGTGCCTTAATCTAAAGCAAATTGGTCCTAGATTATAAATTCAGCTTATTATAGTGGTAACATCCCACTATCATGCATAACTGCCTATAAACAGAACTCGTCTCTATAAGTTAGGATGATTCATATCCTAGCAACAAAATTGAATATCTTTCACCAACTTAAACCTTAGAGATAGCCCTGCAACTTCAATACTCCCCAAACCATACTTGTTATTCATGAAATCTTCTAAATGCTAGAACATTACAAGTGTTTAACAGCATTCATAATACATTCTGATTAACAATATACAAATGCCTGGATCAAGAAGGGAGACAAACCTGAAGAGTCAGAGCACTGGTGTGTTTTGTGACCAAGAAGTTGGTCAGATTTACAAAATATGCCAATGCTGAATTGAATAGTAGATACCATATGATCTTGACATCATCTCTTGCAAGAGCTAGTGTTATACCAACCACATTTTCTTCCATGATAAGTGTTGCAGGAAGTAGGAAAACAACAGCTATCGGAGCCATATATAGAAGGAGGTTCATGGAATTCAGCTTCTCCCTGGAATATAGAGGCAAGCCATTCAGTGCCCATTTTCAGTTTAGAGAGAATTTCAATGAAGAAATAACTAATGCCATCAACTTTAACCAAATACAGAATGATAGAGCAAATACCCTTCGGAAGAAAGCAAAATCCCTTGAAGCACTGATTTAAGTGCCCTTGCAGCAGTTGCTGCGACACAAATTAAGAAACCAAACAGATGGAAGCTTGGTTCACCCTGTGGCAATGTAAAAAGATCAGAACTATTAGATGCATTGTGGTATGGTCGAATCAAACTGAAGGTTCATAACTTAAATTGAAGGGTCCACATAATTTTGTGCAATCCCACCTTTACTGGCTATATAAACTAGGCAAATAGGAAAAAGCCACCCACTTTCATGCACCCAACGGTAGTTTTAAATCAAAGATATTTATCTTCAAGGTTCCAAGACAGGAACTCACCCCAATTCAGCTAAATTCTTGTGCTATCTCACGTTGACAAGAACTTATCAGATCTCAGGTCCTACCCAACTAATATCTCAGGTTCAAAATTTATGTTCCCATTTTGTTTTGGTAGATCTTCTCACAATTATTTTTCTCTCAACTATCAGATTTTAGTTCCCATCCAACTATAGGACAGCTAAAACCAACTGGAATTATACACAAAAAGAACAACCCAATTGCAAAACCTGCCACCAATCCATCCCAACCCATATCCCACCAATTCACAGACTGGTTGCTCAATTCTCGTCCAAAGCAAACCCATTTCCAGAATTCACAGTAATTCTCCGTTATATACTTGAATTTGCAATAATAAAGCAGAAATTAACAAGAAGGAAGAGCTCATACCCCACTTGCAATGATGACCCCTGTAACAACAGGAACGAGGGTGAGATAGGTGAGCCAAGCTTCCCTTTTGAGAGTCATAAAGTAGGCAAAGACCGCAGTGAAGAAAGGCGTGGTGGCCCCAATAGCCTGGTTAAACGAGACCGGCAAATACCGAAGCGAAATGTTCCCAAAAACGACCGACACACAAAACACAAGGCTCAGCGCCGTGATCTTCAAGAATTGGACCCGGGATCGAATGGTTTGCATAGGAACCATCTTCATCCAAGCAATTGCTATGTAGCTGAGCAAAGAACAGGCGGTCATGTGGCACATGGTGAGGAAGATCGGGTACTTGAAGCCATAGTTGCTGAGTAAGTACTTGTTCAGCAGCAGAACCCCAATGTTGGATGAGTACCAGGCGGTGACGAGCCCGATCGTGAACAAACGGCTCTTGCCCTTCATTTTATGAGGTGGGTCTGGATGGGACGGCTGAGATTTTGAGGCAAAACCAAAAAAGCGTTAGGTTCAGGTGAGGCGGGATCTGTTAGGGTTGGGGCATTGGTGAAACCCAGGTAGAGAATGACAAAGTGGGTTATATAGAAACATGGGTTGGCCTCCCATGGATCTGAGAATTGAGGTTCATTGAAAAGACGCAGAATTTTATGAAATTTAAATGAAAAACAAGGCGAAAAATAAAGAATTTTTAGAAAGTAACAGGCAGAGAGAAAAGGGATTGAAAATGGAAATGGGTCTCTGTTAAAATTAAGAGAGGCTGCGTCGTTGGGTCAGAGTTTTGAGGACGACCGACGAGGAATGTGCCTCTTCTGCAAATAGGGGACGAGAGAGAGAGAGAGAGAGAGAGAGAGAGAGTTTTAAAGCAGCGAGAGGTAAACGCGTACGGGAGAATTCACTTCATTTCTTTTCTTTCTTTGTTGTTTTTTAAGTTATTAGTTTAATTAGTTTTTTTCGTTTTTATTTTTCTTTTGTTGTAAACTATAAGCAAAGTAGACTTTGACCATATTCAGTTTTTAACATAAATTAAATTTCTATATTTTAATTTTAATTTTAATTTTAATTTTAATTTTAATGACCACATAATTAAATTTGCTTCATTTTTTTTCCCCATAACTTTTTGACTTTTTTTTTGGGGGAACTTTTATGAAATTTATTCCGGTTCATCAAATTTACTCTTTTATTTTTCAATGCGATCATCAAATTTACTTTGACCTTCATTTTATTTAATGTTTTGGAATGCATTTTTTTTTGTAATTTCCATTTTGGGTTTACTTGTATACTTTATATCTTGACACAAAGTAGAAAATTGGAATTACATTTTTGTTTTTATTAATTTGCTAAGAATTTAAAATTGGAAATACATTTGGACCCTTATTTAGTATGAGGTAGGGAGGGCGATGAAGACAAGGACGTGTATGGAATGGAAGCGTGGGATTAAGAATTGTCAACGAAGAAGAGCTTCTTCTACGGCCAACGCGCTAATTAGAAAATTAAAAGATGTTAGGCAGCATTTTAAAAAAAGCATATGCTAATCTGGCCACCAATTGATAAAAGATATTCAAGCACTAGAAAATTGGACCATGCTTCATGCAAGGGACTAAATGAACATTATCAGATGCTTGTTCTTGTTTGTATGTGTTGTGCACGAAAGATTTTTTGTTTGGTAAAACTATTGACTTCATTACATAATTTTGGTTCCAACTAATTGCCCTTAAATGGACTGCTTAGGTAAGAAAATTACTTGAATTACTTGCTTAAACATTTTACCGATCACGCGCAATGTTTGTGTGTCAGAATATATTTTGCAATACTGATAACGGAATCATATTTTTAAACCACATTATATGACAGGTGATGCTATATGTAATAAATGATCTTCCATGCCACATAATATGATTTTAAAATGTGATTCACATAGCACCCAATCTTTGAATAAAATAGTTAATAAAAGCAAATTGAGGAGAGAGTCCAACCTTCTTTTCTGGCCATGTATAAGAAGAGCCCAAGGCTGGTAGTGGTTGACCTTCAACTACCTCTTCGAAACCTTCATTACTAGCTGCTGCTGTGCTTGCACCCAATTCAAAGTTTCGAACTTTTGTGCTTCTAAAACTTGTGAATGATAGTGTAGAAAAACTTGCACATCTTCTTGAAGAACAGACAAGTACTGACTTACTCAGTTGCTTTGCACCACCTGAAAATTCCCAGAAATGTCAAAAACTTTCCCAATTGCCAAAGTAGCAGAATTTGTGTCTCTTTGTTTGGAATCTGAGCGCATTTTTTAAAATGGAAGAAATTGATCGTAAGACCGCCATTTGGGTTCACTTAGAAAACCAAATTAAAGAACATTTTACATGTTATCCATGAATCTGGTGTCCTGTTTTTAAAAACTCAATATTATTTTCAGCAACCAAACTCCAGAATTCATCTGAAGTACCCAACAATTTAAAATAGAATTTTGTGCAATTAAGAGAGAGAGAGCATACAATTGAAGGGTACAAGAGGGCCTGAAGCAGTCAATTGAATCTGTGCCATAAAAGAGGAAAAAACAACCTCTGATTTTTGTGTGTGTGTGTTTAGGTACCAAAACCGAAAAGAAGAAAAAGAAGAGAGAGAGAGAGAGAATTTTAGAGAGAGGAAAGTGGGCTAAAGCCTAAAAGGGTTGTTAAATTTTGTTGAGTTGAGCAAGTGAAGGTGAATTTCTGTTCATGGCTACCTGAAACCACTGTTGTTGTGTTGTGATGAGTTGAGCAGGTGAAGTTCAAGGTGAAGCTCTCCTGGTGCTAACGTGGCATTGGTGGGTTTTGACCTGCAAAGTACAGAGAGCCGAGAGTGAAGTATATTCTGTTTCTACTTTAGCATTGGTCTGGATGGTGAGAGAATATCCAATACTATCCAATCCGACCCTCCCCTGTGTGGCAATTGGTCCAAGTTTGATAATTTGTCTGGTTTTTCCACCAGCTGACAGAGTTACCAAGGCATGCCAAGTGGTGCTTATTTTGTTTTCACGGATAAAGATTTTGGTCAGAGTCAAAGGCGCCTTCAAGCTGCAAACTACAACATAACATCATATGGGTCGTGATCACCTTAACGTTGAGCCTAAAATATCTTAAATCAATTGTTCTTTTAAGGAGCGTTTAAGCAATGCAGTTTGATTACAAGGAAGCCATGTGTTCTCACTCTAGTATTGACTGTTTAAATTTCTCATGTATTAAGATATAAAAGTTAAAATCAACTAACTCTTCGTTTAGTAGTATTTATCTTCTTAAATGTTGAAAGAAGTTACGAGTTTGATCGAATCATCGTTCCCAACTCATGACTCTTGATTAAGGACTGCAACATATCCTGATTGCTGACTTGGATGGTGAATGAGGATGCTTGCTCACTTTGAGGTTAGGCAGTGAAGATGAGTCCAAGGTCCTCCAATTGGAGAAATTTGTACACAGAAACTTAGCATAATTCAGCCCATGTTAAAATGCTGAAAACCAGGGTCATGCAATGACAAATAATAGTACTAGTAGTATATATGTATTTCCACTGGTTTCCAATATATTTGCTGAAAGTATGCAATGTAATGTAATGTCCTGCCAAACTTATAGATAACCCTGATGAAAGATCATCCGCTCAAATCATTAACTTTAGGACTTTTGGATTTTGGTGGTGCTGAGCCAAATGTTCTTAAATCGAGAATCCTATGCATTTTGATTCTGGCACTTTCTTTGAAGGAAAATTTTATGGGATCATCAATGGAAATGTACCCTTTAACTTTGAAACCTTATAATATGCCTTCCTTGGATTTTTGGTGTGTTTTTTTTTTTTTTTAGGAAGAAGGAATGGGGGAAAATTCACACATACGGATACTATAGGGACTTAAATGCAATACCATTAGTAAGCACGCCAAAGGTGTGAGCTAATCGAACTAACACCTTATTGGTCTTGAACAAAGAGTTGAAGAAGCCCATTTTTGTTTTAAATCTCTCTTTAGATTTTCTCAACAACGAAAAAATATATCCGAAGATTTTCTGTGTTCTTATTATTAGTCTAGTCACCCATCATCCTAAAATGCAAGAAAATGCAGAAGAAGAAAAAAAAACAATTAATGAGATTAAATATGTTGAAATGTCACATCTTACATGAAAACGATGTTGCGCACCTCGACGCCTCAAACTTTGAAATGTCTTGCGCACGAGGCCTGCACTTCAAGGAGCAACCAAATGTTTATTTGCCATTTGGCCTAACTTCACATTCTTACAAGGAGAAATGGGATTAGACTAACTAATTTTATGCCGTTAATCAAGTTAGCAGACGCTTGTCCCATCTGTTTGTGGTCAAACTCAGTCATCCACCTTCCTTGTTTACTGACACTGAGTTTGAGCATGCAACTACAAGTTACTTTGATTACTGAATACTGATTTGCATACCAAACTCGTGATTAACACGGGTCGGTGTCGAATTAATTTGCTCATAATTGGTTTACCATGTTTTGCATATCTGAGTGGTGTAGATTTTAATGGACAAGTACGTTAAGAGAGACCCAAATGACAGATTTCTAAGGACAAGGACAATAACTCAAATGGCACATATGGAGCATGAGCTAAAAAAGTGTACGCCAAAGCTTAAATCTTACGATTTTGATCATGTGGTTGGCTTGTGAACGTGGTCGACATTTTCCTACCTTATAGTTTAAACAACTACTTTTACATCACATGCCATTTGATTACAGACGAAAGCAAAGCTCTACTCAAGGGTTTTGCATCCACTAATAGCATGCTTACAATTGTGTGTAACTGCAAAACAAAGGCAAAATGACCTAAACAACATGTTAAATCGCCACAGTTTCAGTGCCTTTTGTTTTGGCACTGTGCATTGGAGGGAGAGATCATCTTTCGATAGTTCTTTTAATGCCCCTTCGCGTAATTGCATTTTACTACATGGGTTTTGTTTATTTCTTTTTGGGCTTGAGATGCAAACATTTCTTGGTACCCTTCTTCGCACTTTGGTTTTAGCCAGGCCCTTTACATTGAATTTTACATCATCAAGCAATTAGCTTCATGTAAATTTACGTCTTCAATCAATTAGCTTCAGTTTGAGGGGAGCTTCTATAATGAGGGTTCAATCCAGCAGTTTAATAACAACTATGCATTTGATCGAACGGCAAGTAAAAACCCCCTTATTATAACCCCTCATTGTAGCCTCCCTGCAGTTTGAGCCGTTTAAGATCGATCGTTGGGGGACCAAATCTTTTAGAGTTTGATTCGTTATGATAGTGACCAGTGAGGCAATATGAGTGAACCAAATGCCAGGGCTCTACAAATCTGTCCCGGCATGTGTAAACAAACAAAGCATAACACAACCAGCACATTATTTTTCACAATCGTATATAATGACAAAAAGAGGCATCATCGACAATGGCCACAGAGAAAAAGGGTCATATGAAACCACAATGAGAACAAATGGGCTTTTTAAGGGATCGGCCGTTGCCCTCATTGGGGAATTTTAATATAGCATTTCACAATATTAAAAACCCAAATTGGAGAAAAATAGCCAACGAGAGAATGCTGCTTCATTCAAAACTTTTAATTCATACTCAGTTTAATGAATATTCAAACACCAAGTTGAAATGGTCGGACGATAAGCATTAAAATTAGTGACTATTGAATGATGTTCTGCCATCCGAACAAACAAAACTGACTCCCCTTCAAACAAACAATACATCTAACTTGGCTCGTAAAAACCATATAAAACTAAGAAGCCTTCAAACGACGAATCTCTGTCATCTATAAGTCCTGAGCAACTGCAAGAAAGAAAAATGAGCATAAGGTTAGAACCAGGGTAGAAAGAGCTTTTGCTAGAAACTCAACAAAACCAAAAGAAGCACTGCGCAATAAGATCATGTCATAAACAACAAGCATCTCTATCCTGAGAACTGCAATATGATCTTAAGTTTCCAGGACGAATTTAAAATATAGCTAGAAACAAAACAAAATTGAAATATGCATTGCTGCAAACTAAATAATTTGGACAGCAAAATCCACAAGTACAAAGAGAAGGGAATCAAATCAACACTAGCTTAACGACTCAATAACCAACAACCTAGAGATTACAGGGAAAAACCTCCAATGTATCTCTACCAGGCATCAAAATGAGCACAAAAAAAAGATATCATGAAAATGTAAAGTAATTAATAAAGTCAAAACCCAGGCATCAAAATTATGTAAACTAGTAAAGGCTCACTGGTGAAACCAACAGATAAATGAATGTATCAAATAGCAGTAAACATCTAGCATGCAATCAAATGGACGATTTCAGAATCAATTGAGACAACACAGTCAAAGGTATTACCTTCTAGGCATATATAAATGTAAGCAACCAAATCCTACCCTACACTATGCTAAGCTAAAATGTCAAAAGTAATACATAAATCAGCCAATAATCACAAATGTAAATATATATCTGAATGTTGAACACAAGGCACAACAAAACTATTGCATTCTCCATAATTAAACCGCAAAAGCTCAATTTCACAAAAACAGACATGAGTTGTGTAACAATAAAAGGCAAAAACACATACTGAAGTAGCATATTCATCCACATTGTATTGAGGCAAATCCAAAAAATCTTACAATGCTAAATCAAAACTTCAAATACAAACGGCCATGCACAGCATACACTGCATACAAATAACACTAGAACTAAAAATCAAAGCAAAACGGAACTCAAAGAAAAAGTACCTTATATATTGCTGGGATACATGAATACCCTAACACGAGCACCCTACAAAGGAAGCACAAAATAAAAACACAATCAGAAATGGCATTGATAAAAAACTACTACACATATAGCACACTAACATTTTTAATATAACACAATACCATGGATTTGGGTGGCAAATTGGAAGTGAACTTAGCACGAACGATGCCACTGTTACCATGAGGCCTGGAAACCTTGCCCCAAATGCAGCGGTAGTGGCTCCCATTCTTCTTCACCTTGGCCTTGTAGATGTACGCCAGGCGCTTTCCAGCGTACCATGCCACCTCTTCTTTGGTGTTCACTCCATTGATCTGAATCAAGGAGGTGCTCGGGTACTGGTTTGACTTAGACCTAACCAAAACAATCAGTCAGCTCAAACCTTAGTCTCCATTTAGCTCACAACCGAAAAACAAAATCAAATCTTCTTCAATTTTATGGATTTATCAGTAGAAAAACAATTGCAGCCAAACAATAACAAAAAGCACAATACAAAATCAATTACCTTTTGTATCCGAGAACGGTGCCCCCGACGTAGAGTCTGATATAAGACATTAGAGTGAGAAAGTATTACAAATCTGATACATGTAATCGGATTAACATTTCCAGAAATTAGGGTTTTGGGGGAGGCAAGAAATGGATCAATTACCTAATTCGTTCTCCTTGGCGTTCCTTCACCATTTTTGCGTTTTGGGGTTTATGTCTCTACCAGTAAGCAACCACAGACGCCTGCGTAGAAGAAGCACTAAAACCCTAAATTGGTCTGCGAGAAGATTACGGTATTTATATAAAAGGAAGTGACTTTGTAGATGGGCCTTATTATGGGTATGTAACCCACTATCGATTATAAGAAGGCCCAAGTGAGTATCTATGAGTCCAATTAATCATTTCGGATCCTAGCCCAACCCAAATCTGAAAGCTTTTGATTTTTGATTTTGATTTTTTTTTAATGATCATGCTTCTTGGTCTAGTGTTATTTTTCTTCTCAGCCTTGGAAGATATCCTAAATTCAAATTATCCCTCCCTGATGATTGAAAAAAATAAAATAAAAAAATAATTCTTTTATAGGTTTATAGCTGGAGTTAGGGATACCACTGTAAGAGATTTATGCTCAAACTATTCAAATAATGTTATTTGTATCATATCTATTCATTATGCTTGTGTCAAGTAGGTTCCAACCTTGTAGAAAATATAGTGAGTAAACATGTTTATAAGTCAATCGGGTCTAGCCTATTGGAAAATAGTATTGACTTGTAGACCAGTGGTTTCAGATTTAGCAAACCATTGTGTTTATGGTAATTCATTCCAAAATAACAAAAAAGGAAAAAAGAAAGATAGATTGTTTGGTGCAGGTGGAACACCATCAACATTTCTTGTGTACGTTGGGGGTTTTGCTTTGGATAATATGTGGTGCTTGCTCTGTTTAAGTTTTGAATTACCAACACAAATTATATATATATAGCCAATAACATCACAAACACAGAGCCTCATCCGCCTTACAATCCGCTCCCACTTTAAATTCTAAACCCATTAAATAAAATAAAAACGAATTGAATTCACAAACTTTGTAACACTAACACAGGCCGTTACCTCCTCAACCCACTAAACTAAACTTTAATCTCCTCCCACTTTCCCTCTCTCTCTCTTTCAAGCTTCCATATCCCATTACTCTGCATCTCCTCTGTTTCTTCGTTTCTATCTCCATGTCAAACTCTGCTGCTGATCATCACAACTCATGCACCAGGTCAAGGAGACGTGTGCATGAAGCCATAGAAGAACAAGATACTCCTGTCAAGTCCGATGACGCCAACGTTAATGCCGTCTTTTTTCGCCGTAGAGTGCGCAGGTTGTCTGAATTCTCAAGAGGGTGGTGCAGATGGGCTTCCATGGTTTTGATGGTGTTAGCTTTTGTGTCAGTGCTGGCCAAGTTTGCTTTGCTCAGTACGTTTCCGGAATTGAGGATGATGGAAACAATAGGTTTCATTCGACCAGGGATATCATCAACAATGCAACAAAACATGGTCAGTGAAGGTGGCAGCAATTATTTGACTCAAATACAGGAAAGTTCCAGGTCAGATTGTTATTTTTCTGCATTTTTTATCCTGTCATGAAGGTTAAGAAAGATATACAAGTTTAGTCCAGATATTGCTATGCCATGTGAACAAATTTGTTATGTATTGAATATCTTAGCTGATATTAATGTCAGACTCAAGATTGATGCATGCTCACTTGCAAAGTTGCAGTTGGGTTTAATTGGATCATCTGTCATTTTATGACTGATAAGGCTTTGATATTCTTCTTACAGTAAGGGTATCATTTTTTAGTAACCTGAGATTGTGATCCCATCTTTTATTTGATTTCTGCTAGTCAGACTGGTGATATTTGGGCGCCACCAGAGAATGCTACTTATTACCAATGCATAAATCGATCGAAGAAGGAATTTCGTACGTCCCGAAAGTTTTCATCCCCAATGAATTATCTTTTGTGATACTAGGTTGGAAACTAGTCATCACAAACAATATGAATCGTTTTAATTAAATTATAAGTTTCATTTGTAACAGGGAATGGAACAGCCACAAATGGCTATCTCCTAATTCGTTCCAATGGTGGATTGAATCAAATGAAGCTTGGGGTAGGCAACCAATTAAGCTAGCTTCTGTGTTTTGGGACTTTCATACTTTCCTTTCTTGGGTTTCTTCTGAATAAATTGAACTTGCAGATAGGTGACATGGTTGCCGTAGCAAAACTTATGAATGCCACTCTTGTTCTCCCTTCTTTAGATCACAAATCCTTTTGGACGGACCCGAGGTTAGGATTCTTAATTAATATTATACTGGCCCATAATAGATTAGGCTATTGTAGTTGAAAATTTAACATCCCTTCATTCTCTTTTTAACATTGATTTGTTCAGTGATTTTAAAGACATTTTCAACTGGAAGAACTTCATGGAGGTTTTAAGAGATGATATCGTAATTGTAGAGTCACTTCCACCAGAGCTTGCAGTTGTGAAGCCCCGGGTTAAGGCTCCGGTTTCTTGGTCGAAGGTATGGTCAAGATTGTTTTTAGCCTTTTTCAATAAAACCAGTGGGATTTGAATCTAACGATGTGTAACAATTTGTGACCAGCCCAGTTACTATAAACAACAGATGGTCTCATTATTGCAGAAACACCGGGTGCTTAAATTCACCCTCACAGATTCCCGACTTGCGAACAATGTTGCTACCTCAATCCAGAGGCTCCGCTGCCGAGCTTTGTTTAAGGCACTGAGATTCACGGCTGAAATCGAACAACTCGGGATTAAGTTGGTTGACAGATTAAAGAAGAATGGTAGCAGATACATTGCTCTCCATTTAAGGTGTGTCCAAGAAATTAACAATGCACTTGACAACAAAATGTGTCCTTCATATATTGTTTCTGTATAATTTTCTAACCAGTGACAAGCACATTATATTTGTACATGCAGATATGAGAAGGACATGCTTTCTTTCACAGGCTGCAGTCACAATCTTACCAAAGAGGAGGATAGAGAGCTTGAAACAATAAGGGAGCAGACGCCGCATTGGAAGCATAAAAGGATCAACGGCATAGAGCAGAGACGCTTAGGACAATGCCCCATGACCCCAAGAGAGGTTTCTGTGTTCCTTGAAGCAATTGGGTTTCCTTCAGATACAAAAATATACATAGTGGCTGGTGAGATTTATGGTCAAGAAGGGCTTAAACCAGTGCAAGACAAGTATCCTAATATATTTTTCCACTCAAATTTAGCAACTGAAGAAGAGCTACAACCATACAAGGACAAGCTCAATCAGCTTGCTGCCTTGGACTATATTATAGCAGTGGAGAGTGATGTTTTCATCTATTCTCATGATGGAAATATGGCCAAGGCAGTCCAAGGTCATAGAAGATTTGAAGGGTTTAGGAAAACTATCAGCCCTGACAAGTAAGCATAACTATTGCCCAATATATTAAACCAAATCTTCATTTAAGCTCTCTCTAATATTCAAACTTATGTGCCTTGCAGACGAAGGTTTGTGCGATTGATTGATAAGTTGGACAATGGGGTGATAACTTGGAAAAAATTCTCGTCCCGGGTTAAGAAGTTACACGAAAAAAGGATTGGAGGACCATATCGCAGAATTTCCAGAAATTTTCCCAAACTCGAGGAGAACTTCTATGCAAATCCTTTTCCAGGTTGCATTTGTGAAAGGTCTAGTGGCTCAGACTCAACATCAACAACAACAACAACCCAAAAGATCACAACAGGGAGACGAAAGTTAAGAGGAAGGGTGTTTTAAGTGTGGCTCGAGCTGTAGATATTCATGCAAAGATCGTATCTTTAGCTAATGTAGCTATCTCAAATCATGTACATACAAAGTGTACTGAAGCAGCAGATGGGTTCTCCCTTAAATATCTGTTCTTTGTGCATTTGATGAATCTTAGATAGGTAGAAAACTAAGAGAAGCTCATATTGGGAGATGCAGTCTCTAAGGTTACAGAAGTTTTGAAGACTGTTGGAGATTAGAATTTAGTCTGCTTCCCACTTTTGTCTAAACGTTTGTAAATTATGACACATGACATGAGAAGGTTTTCTTTTTCCATTTTCTTTTTCTTCTTTTGGGTAAAGAAAAAATAAAATTAAAAAGAAAAGTTTAATTGTGACAATTATTACTAGGCGCTGGCCCAAACAAGGATATACATTCAGCAGGCTCATCCGGCCCAACACTAAACCAGAAATTAAAAAAAAAGAAAAAAAAAGAAAAAGCAAGCAGAAAAAAGAAGGGCACGTTCTACTTGTTCCTGTAGTCTTCGTTTTAGCCATTTACACCTCCAATCCAAGTCTGTCTCTCTGAGATCAGGTGCTAGCATCAGGTTAGTGGGTTTTTATTTTCCTTCCCAATTTCTAAAATGGCACTTGTATTTTATCAATTTCCCATAACATTTGTAATTTGTAAGTTTAATATGTCTTTCTCAATAACTGGGTTGTTCTTACAACCATTTCTTCCATTGAAGCTGCCCGGGTTTATATTTAAGCTTTTACATCTTCAATCTGACTCGGGTATTCTTGATTTTCATCTATTACACATAGATTTACATGTGTTTTGAGGTTTGCCGCTCTATTTGAGGGGATGCGATTTCCTAGGTTGCTAGGTTTTGCGTCCCATTGTTGGAAAACGCCAAGTTTGGTACTCTGGGGTTGTCCCATTTTTGGAAAAGGCTAAGTTACTGTTGTTTGTGGCAGAATGCTATTAGGTTTTAATTTTTCTGAATATTTTAGAATTGTTGTAAAATGTTGTTGTTTTCTGGGTCATCAGGCTGGTCATTGGAGCTTAGTTTTCAACTTATGAAAAAATCTCAATAACATAACCGATTCATCAAAGATCTAGTTAACAATCAGCCTGGAAGAGTTCATTTCAGTCCTATGATTTAGATACTGAGGTCCTAGTTGTCACCGGAATTTTATATATTCTCCACATCAAGGTTAGGAAACTGAGAAAGCACAAACAAGTGCTCTATGATTCGCCTACATGGTCTAAATCTACTTAGGTATTGTAAGCAATGTGGAATTTTCATCTACAAATAGATGTGGACTCTTGCATAGCCATCAGTGAATAGCTGATGACTTGGATTTAAACAATCATCCCTGGATACTTTCATACTCGTTGGTGCAGTTGCCCGTGCCCATTTACCGACAAATGCAAATAGGACTGCTTGTCTTTGAGACTATGGCAACTTCATTCTATGCTTTCATTTTCTGCTGCACAGAAAAAGTTGTTGAACTGTTCTCCTTTTTCTCATTTACGTATTAGATTGAAGAGGGGTCGGGAATGAGGATTAAATGCCTAAAACTCAGAGGCATTTGTAGCTTATGTGAAATAAATTATTCATTTTTCAGGTAAATGGGTTTGATGACACTACTTGAAGGCTTTCTGCTTCTTGCAAATGCACTAGCAATATTAAATGAGGACCGCTTCCTTGCGCCTAGAGGATGGAGCCTTGCAGAATTCTCAGTGGGCAGGACAAAGTCAGTCAAGGGACAGATTATAGGTCTCATTTACGCAACACAGTACTTGAGAGTTCCTCTCGTACTACTCAATACCGTCTGCATTGTTCTAAAATTGATATCTGGGTGATGCAAAATTAGGTAAGATAAAGATTTCTATGTTTAAGGGATAATATCCTCTCTTTTTTCTTATTTGCATTTGTTTGTTAAATATTGTAAGATTAGTACAAAGTTCTAAACCCACACTCTTTGTATTCTTCTGTTTTCCCCTAGTATCATAGTGTCCAAACAAACTTACTGTTGAGCTTTCGCTCAGGTGAGGTTTCTTTACTACTCTGATGAAGTGTATGTGTTAACTCTTAACATTTTTATCTGCACAGACCTGAGCCAATATCTCCTGGTTTGGTGTAGTATTATGCAGTTGATAATTCAATAGTATTTTTACAACATATGAAAATGCCATACTTTGTGTTCACCCTACAATAATAGAGGCGACGGAACAAGTGAAAATTTGGTTAATTAGGAAAGTATGTATCTCATATAAATTATTCTGCCAAGTAGCCACAACTGGTTGCAAAGTTGTTCTTACCTTTGTATTGTGCACAGGAATATTGTTGAAACACTTAGATTTAATGTTCAGTCTAATGGAACACTATTATATCTATGAGAGCATTCTTTCACTCGGGGTGGTCTTCACCTGAGCTTGGCTTGGTTCTTTTCTGTGCTGGGTAAAAACTGCTAATGTTATAATTTTATCCATAATGTCATTGAAATTTTATTTTCTTTCTGAATGGTTGCAGATTGTTCTGAAGATTCATCAAAGTGATATGGGAAATCTGCCAAATGGATCTCTGGTTTCTTGGAAGGCTGAAGCATTAGGTTGATTGATATTGTTTGATTGTTGTAATTTTGAAATAGCTCTTGCACCTCATTGTTCGGAAACTATTTGCCAACATATCAATTGTGCATTTTAACGTCACCCTCTCTGTCGCTCATCCTTCCTTGCCTTTCACTTTTCTATCTGTTAGCAATAAAAATTCCCTTAAAATTTATTCAAGGATATTGCTTCGAATGCATTGACGTTTCCAAAATATTAACTGATGGTCTTTTTGCTACCCTTTGTTCCTACTCTGATAAACCTTGAACAGTACATGGAGTAATTATCAAACATATAAGCTAAGAGAAATTTTTTTACATTTTGGATGTGATAAAAGTAATCTTTATCCTACCAGTATAATATCGTCTGTTAAGATGTCATGTATGCTACTTGACTCTGGAGGAAACAAATCTTTGAACAATTAAGCTAATGCTATTAAATGCCTAAGCTTTCAACAAAAGACGGGCCTAACTGCCAAACGTGAATGAAATACATTTTGTGGGATCAAATGAAAAAGGAAAACCTAACCTAATCATAGATCAGCAAATACATGGTAAGTTTTAGAATCTACTGCTATGAGCCTCAAGGCTGAGATTAAAGCTGCAACGGCCAAAAGGGCAAAGAAACAAACATTTAGCCAATGCCAGAGCTTTTGCGCTGAAGTTAGTTTGTCCTTCTTTGCCACCAGGTACATGTGGTTTGCAAGAATAAATGTGAGAGGGAATGTGCTGATGGCTCCTGTGAGGCTCATGAAATCTCCAAGGAATGGCAGAAGAGCTGAAACCAGTGTGTTAATGGCTAAGTAGCCACCTCTAACAGTAATTCTGAATGTCAAGTTCTGAATTTTCAGTGGACTTCCTTTAATACCAAACTTTGTGTCCAGATACTCATACATTGGACTTGCAAATATCTACAAGCAGCAATAAGAACATGATATGAGATTTTCCGAAAGTAAGAAGTCGGGGGTTGGAAGAAAAAAAAGAAAAAGACATACATGCAAAGCAATGACTGTTTGCAGGAAGGCAGCAATATTGGCCATTGCCTTCACCCAAATCGGCCCGTTGACATTGTTGAGCAAATAAGATGATGTTTTATTTCCATATGCCCAATACCCTACAAAACAAACGGCATACAGTGGCACAACTCCAGCTGTAAACTGAAAGTACAGAGCCTTCATCATGTTTTCAACAACTGGTTTCCTCACTGTAGCCTGTCACATAAACACAGCCAAACCAAAGTGAATTTGGAAAAATACACAATCATGAAGTTTCTCATCTAAGCAACCAAACACTTTAAAGATTTTAATTCCAGGTACCTGTATCTCTGGTAGCATTCCTGTGTTGAATGCAAAGACCAGGCTAGCAGCCGCTCCGATTGTGGTAAATATTCTGCTTATTTTTGTCCCCGGGATGTCATAACTCCTGGCCGGTGCTTGAAGTCCTATAACAAAGCACTAGAAATTCTTAATTTAAACTTATTGAACAAGAAACTGGCATGTGCATGTTCCAAATTAAACTCAAAGCATGATAAATCCAGGCAATTTAAATAAAGAAAATAACTCTTGTTCAAGAAATATGATTCTTACCATCTTGAAGTGACAAGACGAATGCTATAACAATATATATCAAGCTGAAGACTGTTGAAAACCCCAGCCAAATCCTGAGAGCTGACAAGTGTGGTATCCCTATAGCAAATACTGCACAAACAACGCCAGAAATGGCAATAAAATGCGGGAGCTTCAGGGCGTGGTCATCCTTGAACAGAACATACGCAGCCTACATGGCAAATGTAACGGCTACAAGTTTTAGGAAAATAAGACATAATCTGTTCATATGCATATAGTCCAATCTAAAGGAAACAAAAAAGCAGGAAACTTATAACTACTAGTACTGGCAAAAGATGAATTGGATATAATATGCAAATGTGAAAGAAAAATGCAAGCCCATGTCCTCATTTGATCTCACCTTGAGGGCCTGACCAGCCAAAATGATAAATCCCGTGTTAATCATGAAAAGATTGACATATTGCAATCCCCATGTAAGTGAATAAGCTTTCTTGCCTGCAATCAAATAGCCCCCATCAGGAAACAAAACAAGGAAACATAAGCCACGAAATAAGAAAGGTATATTCAAGAAATGAATCCAACCAATACATTTACTTTACCATATATAAATCCTGCAAGATCTCTGTATCTGATGTGCCTAACCCCACCATATTCATGGAGCTTAGCAATAAGAGCGTTTGCATAGAGTGATATTGCAGTGGCTATAATTAGACCGATTACACCGCCTATCCAACCCAGAGGAATCATTACATTTCCAGAGTATCCCAGCACATACGCACTGTTGATACCGGTGGTGAGGACAAATCCCACTTGAAACCATGAATCTATGGAAACCAAAGAGGTAATATGAGCTCACAAACAATGAAAGCAATTTCAATATCAATGTCACTGCCGCTGAGCTATTTGAAATAATTGAACATTCGTTTATTACAAATCACAATTCAAAAACAATAATTTCATGAATTCCAATTAGGAACCAAATAAACAAAATCAGAAAAACGATTCATTTCCCCTATTGACAGCCTCAATTCCAGACAAAAATATTGCATGCATTCACTTTTCAATTCAAATACATTATGGGGTTTTGGAAAATGATTAAAACCAACCATTACCACAATCATTTCCTTCATCGACATGATTGAATTTTCAAAACAGAACAATCAAACATAAACCCAGATGAAAAAACAGGAGGTAAATGACATGAACAAACAAAACTAAAAAAATGAAATGAAAACCTGTGCTAATCTGATGGGCGGTTTCTGGGATTTCGGCAGTTTCTTCCTCATGAAGCTTTCTAGAACCAGAATAGACTTCACTAGTAGCATCCATAGTCAACTCTTGATGTTCTCCTTGCCCCGCCAGTAGCCACAGCGTGCTCTGCTCTCCCTCCTCCTCCCCCTCTTCTTCTTCTTCTTCCCAAATGTATGTCACAGCCAGCGTAGCCCTAACCTTCCCTTCGTCCTCGCCTATTTATAGGTGCCTCAGCTGAAAACAAGCATAGAATTCCTTTCAGCCAGCAATAAGGAGGCACCCAATTTAGAAAATTATTAAAAAGTTGCAATCTTTTCACAAATTACGCTCGTAAAACAAACAACATCATACGTGTTAAATACACTCACTCCATCTTCTTCCATTCCTTTTTCTTCTCGTTGACCTCACCACTCGCATCGCTTTGCTGCTTTGTTGGAGGCGCGTGTCAGATTTTTGTGCATTTCGAAGACTCTTAAATTCTCATCCCGTGGGGTTCGTTATACATTTTTCCCGTCATAAAGTTGTCGACAACTGCCTTCTCTGGGAAGAGTGCACCAATTTTGACCATTCACTGTTATATTCAGTGTCTTTCTGCAATCGGGTTCTCTTTGGAATGTGGATCTTCAAGGTTGGTTATTGATCTAACGGATCAGAAAGCGCCACGTATTTGTTGGTGTAAATGGTCGTATTCCCCTAATAATTATTGGCACGTTTTGGTGTTGAATCTCTCTAAGATTTTTATTTTTGTTTGTTCACGATATCTTAATATCTTAAAATCGATGGGCCACCAACCCACCGACTGTTTTGACATGTTGATGCGTTTAATTATTCCTTAATTTATTCCAATTTGTACGCATATGAGATCACTCAACCATTTTTTCTCAATTTGGTTAGCTGGGGAAGCCGCCAAAAGTTTTGCAACATCATGAAACATGAATTGTATGGTAAAAATTGAAACTTCTACCGTTACCGGCCGCCATATCTCTGTCTACATGAGAAAACAGGCCGGCGTCACGCCATGGTTGCTGGTGGCCGGCCCTGTGTCTCGCATCGCATCGCACTTGTAGGATTCCAGAACTGAAGGGGGGTACTGTGTGCATAGCATAGCCATACTTATTTTCGTACATGTATCCATGCAACATCATAGTAGAACAATATGGTAAGAATAAGAATCGGTATATTATACCAACTCTAGTGGTAATTCTTTGCACAGGTTCGAATCTTACCTTCATGACACAAAAAGTTACTACTTTTCTATAGATATAGAAAACACTCTATGCAAATGCAAGAACGCATATGCTTCAAAGCACCTTCAAATAATTGTACGGTGCGTTTTAGACTAATGAGTGAGAATAGTATGCCACTCATGTGACACTTTTGGAATTTTCATAGAGTCAGTGATATATTTGTTTTTCATTAATAAATTGGATGTGCAAGTGACTAGTAATCTTTACACTTGAGGTTTTGCATTCGATTTACCTGTTCCGAATATGCTTCTATAAAACGAAAAAAATAATTGAATGTCGTTATTCACAATGATTAGATGGATACAGAATCTCAAATCAAGAGTAATGGTGGGTTTTTTTCTATTAAACTATCTTTTTGACTGAAAATGACAGATAATAATGGTGGGTTAGTGACCATGAGAATAATTTCAGAGCAAATCCATATTCATGGATTCCCAGAACTTGAGTAGGATTGGGCAACATAAAGAAAAGACGTCGCACTGAAACCCACTAGGGCTGTTATTAGGCATCTCTCTTTCTTTCTTTTATTTGCTACCACTAAAACTTGGTGCCCTAATAAGGCTGCTTTTATAATTTCATTTTCCACTTATTTATTAGGTTTTGATGACTGATAAAGTGATGCCATTGCTTCAAAGCTATGATATTTTTGGTTCTCTGTGATAAAGAATTAGAAAGGAAGATGTCTTCATGCACTTTTTCTAGAAGCTATCCACACATAAAGTCAGTCATATCATATCAAGTCCCAAGTGCGCTTTAACTACATATTGATTGAAGCAGATCTATTGCTAGCTGATGAGAGGCCCAGAGCCAACAACAATCCTCTCAGTTTCGTAAGCCTACTTGGAATATAAAATGGCTCCTGACTTGCCAGACCAAGACATCCAGTCTAGCATTCATCAAGAACAACATTGTTGTAGAAAACTCAATCCCAGAGTCAGAGAGGGTACCCTACACCATGCCACTAAACCAATTTGGCATGGTTTTTAAAGAGGCTCATAATACCTTCTTCCCCAAGTTTCAAAAATCCAAATTGTCCTTTCAACCGGCAAACAGACACCGACAACAATACATCTCATTGACATGAACAGAAACTTCAAATTCTTTATTAATGGAACCATACAATGGGGAGCAAAGCTATGTCATTCAAATTAATGTGCTGATTTGAAAGTAGAATGTAGCATGGCTACCGGCAATGAAAAGGTCTTACAACAAGCTAAGGGTAATGCTGAGGAAGTTCCTACGAACTCTGCCCATAATGCTAATTAGACTAAGGTGAAGAAGGGGAAGGTGAGGAGACGGGGCCATGCTTGAATCAATACCTAGCCTACCATATCGAAAATTTTGTTAACTCTCTATTTCATTTCTTGAATGAGGTTCTACAAAAGTTGACAATAAAGCACCCTTCAGCTAAAAAGCAAAAACAAAAATCAGCAGGCTCGTCACTTGTGTTCCTTCTACTTAGATAACTTCCTCATGAGAGGACAATCACATAAAATCTACTATAGAAACAATATAGCCTTTCAAACTGGTAATGCAAATAATAAAATTTTCATGCTACATTGCACAAAATTTTGCTACATATAATGCCTGAAAAAGACAGAGCCATATATATACACGACATATTTGATCATCAGAGCTGATTGATCAAAGCTGACTATCTAAATGCACAACCATAACAACAGAATTCATTACGTTTGTTCGTTACAACTTGCAACAACATTAGCAACACACATTCAAAGCAAAAGGTGGCACCTTTATATGCTCTACTTCTTGACACTATCAGCATCCTTCTCTACAACTACATTGATCTTCTCATACCTGAAATCCACAGGCTTCACAGGAAACTCAGCAGGGAACACCGTGTGCCTACTAATGATAATAGCCCACAAAAACAGCACCATAAAAGCCACCAACGCTCCACAACCAGTCACGAAAATCATCCCAGCAAGAACTGTCAATGGACAAACACGCCGCTTATGCACACTCAAATGCTCACCATGCTCATCCAAATATCCCCTTGGATTCACTGGAAGAGAATGCATTGAATTTGGAATGTTTCTTAGCCTAAATGACCATGAATACACACTGCTAATCTGCGACGAATTGCCATTTGAATTCGAAGAGCTAATACCTACATACACATCCTCATTTTTCCACATTCCCAACAAATCAATTCCGTATGCCGTAATCGGATTGTAAGGCCTTGGTTCACCCAATTTACTTAGCCTAATTTCCAATCTTTTCGAACTAGCAACATAATCAATCCAAGATTTCAACTTTTCTCCACTGTTAAGCTCTAAATTCAATGAAGAAACATTACCAACAGTGAGAGATACAAAGCTACCCACATCGACCCCTATATGATTGGCATTTAAATCGTTTACATTTCCATTCATTTCGGTGTCAAATTCAATACCCAGAAATCGATTCTCACCGTTAAGCCCAAACGGGCCCTTACCCGAGAATGTGGACCCAAAATCTTTGGGAGCCAAAACCAGTAAAAGGCCGTCGCCACTGCCAGGCGTCATCGAGAAGGTGAATTCCGTGGAAAACGACGTCGGGCTGCTGAGATTGGCATCGAGAAATTTGAAGGGCTTCTGGCGAAGTAGAAGACCGGAGCTTGAGACCGATGGCCGGGTAATGTTGACATAGGAGCCAGCGTCTACGGGCTCGGCGTCGCCGAAGAGAGCAATTTCGGAATCAAAGTTGGGGTTGTTGTTTAGGGATTTGAGTGATGAAGAGGAAATGGGTTGTAGGGTCAGGAAATAGAACGAAGACAGGAGGAAAATCAAGGGGAAATTGCAGCTGAAAATGATGAATTTCGCCATGATATTTGCAGAAACCGAGTCTTCGTCCACTTCCCGAATCAAAGCGGATTCACCATTTCCCTATTTATTTCATCAAGAAAACCATTTTTCTATATATGGTACGCATTTCCCATTTTCCTTTGCCCAAAAAATAGTAAGAAACAAAGAATTCGCAACATATATAGGAGTAACGACGTCGTATCGCCTCCACACCCTGATCTTTCAAAAAGCACGAGTCAAAAGTCATGACCATTGGTTTTTTGTTTGGTCAATTTCACAATTTTTTTTTTTTTTTTTTTTTTTTTTTTGAAATTGAAATTTATAATTCAGGCAAAAAAAAATAAAATTACTAACTACAAAGGAAAATTACAATAATGAAGTAATCTAACATCAAAATTAAGACAATCTTGTGCACCACCACTAATAATCACACATGATCGAAAAAACTCTAGCATAAACATCTCAACTAAGATTGCAAACTTTACCAAAAATATATGAACCTTGAAAAACCCAAATCATAGCAATACAAATAAAACTCTCACAAAAGAGGTGAAAACTACACAGAAAACCCAAAAATATTTGTGACTTATTCCAAACATGAAGAAATCGCAAAAAGGATGGTTGTATGGATTCTACAATGAAACGTAGGTGGATATCCGATGTCAAGATGCATCCACCTGTGATGAGTGGGGGAAAATTATAACAAAACAAAAACAAATAGGGGAAACTTGTTGTCTATGAAAATGGGGAAAGAGAGGAGAATGGAGGAAGGGAGAAGGGAGGAAGAAGAGCGGCGTCCTTCGCTCTCAAAGTGAAAACGGCTCTAGAGTGTTTTTTGAGAAAGAGGGGATTAGGGTTTTTGAAGTGAGTTTTGTTTTGTTTTTATTTATTTTATTTAATAATAAGTTTTTTACTATTTTATCCCTATTACATTAATTTGTAGTCCATTAACATTTTAGTTAATGAATGGTATTTTTTGGGTTTCTGAAATTTTTACCGTTTGATTTGATGCTTCTGTCTAAATAGATTATATTTTGAATTGATTTATATAATAGGTATGGGCACAGTCAGAATAGGTTCGGAAGAGTATAACTTTTTTATTTTATGAAAGGGAGAATATAACATAATATAAATAAACTTTCCATTGTCTTCCCTAAAAAAGATGGAACTTTGATAACAACTTAATTAAGGCAATGGTCAACTTTATACACATCTCAATCAAATTCCCCAAATAATGAGGAAAAAAAATCAAATAAAATCCTGCAGATCCCCAATACATGGCTGAAAATTGTGTTTCACAAAGCGCAATATTAAAAAGAGAAAAGAGATGGAAGAAATTGGAGTGTATGGGTTTGAATCTAGAGGCAAGTCAAGCGTTTTGGGCCCCTCTGCAGTCTGCAGGGCAAGGAGCATCCAATTCCTTTCTGATCAATTGCAAAGAAAAATTCATGCACTCTGGTTTTCTTTTGGCAGTTTGTGTCCTTGACAAAGCTTTGTGTAGTGATAGAGGGAGACAATTGGAGTACATATCTTACAATTGAAGATAACTTGTGCATGCACTCTGGTGCCCCAACAATTCTTCCTCTTGCTTGGACCCCATGAGCCCATTTGATTTGAATATTGATCACCCTATTTGTTTTAGTGAAGAATCAGATCATTACTGTTGACTAACATAATGATGATCAATAATCACAGCGTAGACCACTCATATTCTAGTAGAAATTTGCTGATTTTCCCTAACTTTGCTTAGATTTAGGAAGCTTCTGCAATGATGGAATTCTTTTATGCTTTTCTGCATCATCGACAAAACTCAACATGAGGCTCATTACAATTTACACATAGTAAATTCTATGTACATGTTGTGAGAGAAATGTATGTAATCGACGCACACATATTTTAAGTACATCTACTCAATTAATAATAATTAATTAAGGAAAGTGAGATGGTGGAAGGTTGTGGCCATGTGACAAAAGGGTGGTGGGAGAGTGTTAGAATGTTGGGGTCATGTGGCATATGTATGAGGTATAACAAAATGACCCTTTATTTCAAATTAGAGCAATGGCTAATTAAAAGGACTTTTTCTTAATTAAGGTCTCATCACATGTGTATGATGCCTTTGCCTTTGCCTTTGCCTTCGGTACACTCAATGTGAGGCCCAGAGTGGGAGAAAAAAAGGAAGTCTCTCTGAGTTTATATATATATCTCATCTTCCACTGCCTTGGATTCTAATTAAAGTCTTCAAAAGCATGTGATTTGGAGCCTTGACTTTGGGCCATAGCAATGTGTGGCCATGTTAGCTAGTCTGTTCTGTTACGACAAGCATAGAATAGAGTCAGCAAAACTTGGTTCATGCTAAACGAAAATGGATCCCGAGTCTCTCCCACCGATGCTAAATACAGAGGTAATTAGTCTCATACTATTTCTATGATAAAGTTACCTTTACAGAAGGTCAAAAAATTGAAAATAATCAAATTGCTGAGACGCACGCAATCATCAAAAGTTGCAGAAAATGGGGTAAATTGTAACCCAAGACACATGTAGAAATTATTATCATATGGCACTGTTTTAGTTGCAATGTTCACCTAGCTAGCTAGCTAGCTTCCACTAATTATCTGTTAATCATGACTCATGAACACGAACATCAAAACTATACTACAAATTTTTAATATGCAACCTTCTTTTATGTTTCGCTTTATACAGGTGTTTGAGTAAAAAAGTTGCAAAAGATCCTTCTGGTTTAATCAAACTCACCTGCATATATATATATTGCTTGAGAAAATGGACACTGACTGCAGAATTTAACATTCGTATATCTTCACCATAGATATGTAATCTGTTATTAATTTCCTTGGGTTGGGTTTTAACCTATCGTTGTTGACAAGCACATACACACACTCACACACCGTATATGCAAATAAAATTAACATCCATGACAACTATAAAGAAGGAGATTAAGATTTCTGGGTTTTAGCGCCCAGATGCATCCCCAGGGAAATCAGATCCAACGTGTTCGTATACCACAAATTACATGAATTTATGCACAACTTAAGGAATCTTAAACAGATATCACAATAAGAGATTGCATCAACATGAATTTACCACTATCAAAGTATATACGTACCTTCAAATTAAAATTAATAGCTCAAGGACAACACAAATCAGTTTACAAACCAAACTAGACTTGAATGTTTGAGGTGCATGTTTTTTTTCTTCTTCATGTTCTTGCCAAGCAAAAAGCTATAGCTAGACTGGAATATTTGAGGCAAAGTTAATGAAAACATTCAAATGTTGGTTCTTGATGAAACTATGAGTTTTGAAAGCTAAAACGAAAAACCGAAAAGAAAACATGTATGTCTGGAAACAAGAGAGATTAATCATGCATAGAATATATATAGGTAAGTTTGAATTACCTCAAAGGCAAGAAATCGGGAGTTAATCGGATGAACTCCTTGATTATCTGTAGTTGTTGATGCGCATGATATATATATATATATATCTAAAAGTTTGAAGCTGCCAAAGGAGATATCCAAAGGGATAGCATGATCCAAATTAAACCATGGAAGACATAGCTAGTTGGGATCAATGCGATCCCTTTGGATGCTTCCTCTAGTTGCAGTATAAATGAAACCAACTGAACACTAATTTCTTCCTTCAAAACTCTCTCTCTCTCTCTCTCTCTCTCTCGGAGAGGAAAGTGGAGTTTGAGGGAGCCTTCAATATAAGGGGAGAAGAGGGAGTGTTGTAACAATGACCATTACTTCTCTTTTTTTTTATTTTATAACCTCTTCATCTTCCATGTTACTATTCATTGTTATTTATTTATGAAATTAATCATGAGGAAATGTTGAATTTCCAAAGATATTTATATAATTGTAGACCCCATTCTCAAATAAACCAGACATATATAAATTGTGTGTCAACAAGTTGGTACAATAGTATTAAATTTGTAGTTTTATTTCTCATATATTCTCCTCATCTAAATCAAGGTCTGTGGTCCAACCATGTTCTCTCTCACACCAAACTCTTTATATATATATATAGCTTTCTTTCACAGAGCATTACATTCTCATTAATTTATTATTAATTAATATCTAATATATATTCCAAATATCTGTCAACGATAGGACCCTATGATTGAATCTGAAATTAATACGTATTATAATTAGCTAGTGGGATCCACAAGTAATTTAGAAATTTCATAACATTAAATTAATTATGTGGTTCATCAAGATATATAATTAATCAATCAAGGTCCACACTCCACATCTTTGTTTTAATTGTCAAATGCAATTCATTAAACTAACAAATAATCCATCAGTTTCATTGGACGGACAAATTCGATCTGCTTAGCATTTTCCTCTTGAAAATAGCTACAACGTTTACAACAAAGAGGAGAAGTTATGTCGTTTTAATTAGAGGTTGGAAAATCTAGTCCAATCAAGTTTCTTTCTATCTAGTACCAATTAAAAAGGAACATTTACCTACCAAAAAGGAAATGAGATAATAAAAGCAAAAAGGGAAGGTCGGCCTATTCTTCTTATCTTTTTTTTGTTGTTGTTCACACACATCCCCAACGTCAGGGTGTTATGGAGGTTTGAACGTAAGACCATTGATTCATAAATTAAGGTATTTTTTCACTGGACTAAACTAGACTTCGTTGGCGGTAGACTATTCATTTTTCTTTTATTTCCTTCGTACACCAAAGGGGGGAGGAGGACCATTAATTACTATTAAGAGCTATATATAAATGATGCACATGCACATGGATAGGCACCACAAAAATAGGGTATCAATCTTACCAACATGATTAGTTTCCCAGCCGCGCACTCACCACAAAATAGGGTATCAGTTTTAAATAAAAAGTAAATGTTCGATAAAAAATTAAAAGTAAAAAAGATGAGAAGGATATTGAATTTTACATGTTACCCCATGAGTATTTTGCATAATATTAATATAATATGTTTGTGTTTATTTTATTTTATTTTGGTCAACAACAAACAAAATATGTGTGTTTATTGGATTTCACCTTTTTCCTGAATCTGGCAACCTTTTAAAAACTCCCCATTTCTTGTTAGTTGATAGTTCCTAACGAGAAAGTAAGAAACTGGTTCCATACCAATGACTTGTCATTACTTCACCGTCCAAATAGGGTCCAATACATACCTGAAAGGGGAAACTAACATCATTCTAGTGCTTGCTAAAACATGGTGCTGCTTCTCGAGAAGTCATCTCAGCCGTTCAAAGCGTAGGGGCCACATCAGGATTGCTCAGTTGACCACTCCAAGATCATGATGGATGGTGCTAGATCTTGTCCACACTGGTGAAGCATGGATGGACCACAGCCACAGAGCAGGCTTTGTCCATGGTGCTCTCAAGACCCTACCACCATGCACATATTTACCTTCCCGCACATAATATGTGTAGTGGGGTAATTTGTGTGGTTGGCTTATACTGTCTGATGTGATTTCAAAATAGGGTTTGGTTCACCTCCGACGACAGATGTCCCTTATTACAGGAACACATAAATTATTTTCTCTCAGGCATTGTAACCCTGTTGGAGCAACAGGACCTTGAATGAAAGCCAGCTGCCAATTGGTATTTGGCATGTTGCTGCCCTATATAATGTTTCATGTCTTCATCTCCCACTTAGTGCCAACATCTCCCACTCACATTTTTTTATATTTTTCTTGTTGAATTAGATTCATTTCATGGGATTTTGGGTACTAAGTTTACTAGGTGCTAACATCATGATGATAGGGCGTATCATTAAGGTAGTGAGTCCGTCCTCTTGCATCCAAGTTCGAATCCCCTTTTATATAGAAAAAAGAAAAGAAACATATATATCTAGATGAATGGATTTCTATTTTCATGTTAACCGTCATCAGAAGGCTTTCATCTTAAGTAGAAGTTTTTCAATTAGAATGAGGCAGAGCTGAGCTTTTGCTTGTCCTATTCAATATATAAATATATACATATATGAACATTAATTGGAGTTATTTAAAATCATCTCTTGGGGTGGTCCTACATTCAACTATTTCCTTATACTCTTTGTTGGATGTGGGAGGTTTGGACCACAAGCATTGGCACCATTATGAATACCCAAGATGAGAAAAAAACTCTGCATTCCCATCCATCAACTTGTATGAATGCTCAAGGACAAGAACATAGATCAAGACATGTGGTCTGGTACTGTAGATCAAAAAAGGTTTTCTAACTTACCCCTAAGATTATTGTCCTGTATTATTATTAGAAAGCTAGAAAAATCTACCGGCATTCCATTACACTTGACAAAAGTTGAGTTGGTGCGCAACAAATATATGATTTGATGATGTAGTGTCAACTTTTTAACCTAATTTCTGCAAACACGACATGATCCAAGACCCAGAAACAAAAAAAATTAAACCAAAATTTAAATGCTGCTCATCTGAATCCCATCTGAAACTGAAAGGCTATATATAGCTTGCTAGGGTTCCACAGGCTATATATATATTCCATTGTCATGCTACAGCTATGTAGCGGGTAGCTAGCTAGAATATAAACAATATTGGGTTTAATTTTCAGACGTACACTCCTGTTTGTTTGTTTTCTGACGATACCCATAGCTATAGTATATCTGGCTCTCTCCACATGGATTTTGAATGTCACATGGATTGCATTAGGTTAGGAGGGTCTTTAACATAAAGGACAGATCAATCAGTGCTTAGGACACCATCCATGCCCCATGCCCCACTCCCCCTCTGCCCCCTGACCCAACTTGTTTGGCATCAAGTCAATAGCGCTTTCAATCTGGTTTCTGTGGGACTTCGATTTCCTAGAGACAGCGTCTGGTAAGGAATTAGGGTTTTGGACCCTCACTTGCAGACGATTATATAAATTTCATTATTATAATTAATTTATTTTGCTGGCTTCTGGGAACGGTTTGGAGTGGCTGGCTCTCTAGTTAGCTAGCTGTCACATTGGATCCCTTTTTCTCATCTTAATGTGTTTAGCATGCTTCTCATTTTTCTGCAACACCTTCTTCTGTGCTAAATTAGAAAGTTCGACCTGATATTATATATGGTGTTTGATGTGTAGAGTCTTCTCATCTGCAGACTGCAGCTGTGGAACAAAAGAGTGTATAAATATCTGATAATCAGAATGTGGTGACAGATAATAAACAAAAAAAATAGTAGATTTGGCTTACCTGCTCCAAATTGAATTTTCCTTAACTGTAACTCATCGCATTTTGTTCCTATTAATAAAATCCATTTTTTATAAATAAAAACCTATGACTAGGATCCAACTCATAAAGTTACCTTATCACGTTCAAGATCTGATTTATTATAATTTTTAGATGACCAAAATACCCCCACGTCTTTGCAATTGTTGTCCGTTGGTTGTTCTGAATATACTTTCAACATATTTGATGCTATTCAATTGTCATTACTTTGAACATATTTAATGCTATTCAATTGTCATTAATATTCAAATAGTTTTTTTTTTTGTTGAAATGAAACGATGATATATTATTACTCATTATTAATGCTAGGAAATGATTGCATTTGATTAGAAACTAAAACATCAAATGGTGTTTTAAATTGGCTTAAATTTAGGAAATTTTTAGGGTAAGTTTAAGTAAGTCACGATTTGGGCCTATTGAATCTATGAAGAAACATTTAACATACCTATCACCTTTTAGCATAAACTAATGTACCTATTTCTTATGAATAATATACCTATTTTTTATGAACATATCTTTTGAAATGTACCAATAAATAACATATCTATTTTTTGTTACCTAAATAAATACTGTACTTACTTTTTTTTTAATGTATAATCTACTTATGTTTTTATATAAATAAATACCTCTTTTTTGTGAATAATCTACCCTCTTCTCTTTTTTTAATGACTAATCTACCTATATGTACATACCAATTTTTTATTTATTAATAATTTACCTTTTTTTTAACACGTTCCTTTAAGTTAACTTTATTAACTGAGTGGAAAATTTGTAGAATTAATCTATTATAAAATAATTTATGGATTTGTTTTTGTCTAAATTTTAGGGATTTGATGAATATTGCTATGCTAGAAATAAGGGAGTATTAATTAGAAATCAAGGAGTTAATGACATGCTTCAAAATATAAAGGTAAATGACATACAGTGTAATTTAGTTAATAATACTAGGACGTATCTATCTTACACGGCAACATATTTCAATTTGGGTTTTAGTAGAGGTTTAATTGTAAGTGGATTATGTATGGGATATAAGAGTTGTAAGGACCTATATCGGCTAAAATTCTCAATTAGGACCTGTATTGTTTAGATCAAAACTTAAATTCACACAATTGTTCTCCACCACCACACAGCGTCATGAGGTGAACATCTGAGTCACGTCAAGGAGATGGAGCACCAGAAATTCCAGCCATCTAAATCCTCGTCACGAATTCGTTTGCGGGGCATTTGTGTCGGCCTTGAAAAGGGTCATTATTCGGAGATATATCTTTGGTCTTTGGTGATGCTGCACATGCTTTTGATGCAGTACTAGCGATGCATACACATGTATATGTATGCATCCTTTGAGTTTGCAGACCTATATTAGCAGAGCAAAGCAGAGCAGGTAACTTGGGTTGGTCGGTCCATTCACTTTGAATTGGTGGAAAACATGCACATCTTAGTTTGGTGTTCGATCGTCATTGTCATCATCTTGCTTCGGCCATTGATGTTGCATGCTTTGCCTTTTGTTCTTCTCTCTAGCTTTGAGAAAAATATATGCTTCTGTTTCTTTCCATATGGAAAAAGGGTTGCAACAAAAATAGGTAAAGCAAGTTTTTGAATTGTAAAATCAATGTCGTGGCCGAAAGAGGGTCCATGTGATGAGTCTAGTGGCAATCGAATAGATGCTCTTCTTGCATTGGCAAAGTTGGCACCCAATATGCGATTGGGCACATGGAATGGAACAAATCTTTTATTATTTGAACACATGCATGACCAAGTGTAAGAACTTTTAGCTACTAATTAATATAAACAGTTATTCTCATATGCAACGTCTCTATGTTATTATTGTGCGGATATTGTAAATATGGATAAAAGTAGGGAAGGATAGTAAAAAATACATGACATCTGCATGGTAATAATGTGTGGACTTCCGCATAAGAGAAAATCTATTAATATAAATATGTAAATTAAAATATAAATGTCACAAGTTTTTCAAATGGAAGGCACTGATTGATGCAAGAATTTTATAGTGAAGGCCTTATATATGGCCCTTAGGTAAGGTTTTATCTTTATCCTTAGATCAAATTGGTTAGCTTGATCCAATGGTTAAGAGATAAGATCTCACCTAAGGGTCATATATAAGCCCCTCACTATAGAATGACTCATGATGATGTTGCATGTGGGCAACATATGAAAACGAAACAAGATAATGGGCCAAGAGCTTATTTAAATTATGGGCCTGGTGTACGGCCCCAAACTTGGGGGTCCAATATGGGCCTGGCTCCCCCCAACAGAAATCAAATGGGTTGGATTGGTTTCCTCAACATATTTTCAGTGTTCAAACCAACCCAAATGGGTTGGATTGGTTAAGGTTGACTGGGTTTTTGCCTACCCCTGACTCCCTAATTGTGTCCAAAATAACTTGGTCACGGTGTATATTGCATTGAACGTTCCTCCAACATTTGTTTATTAAAAATTGCTAACCTTGGTCAATATAAATCATTAATGATTATCTGAAATTGACTTGAATTGTTCTCTAACATTGTTTTTGACTGGTAAACAAACGACGACATGTACAATAAAGCTTAATCCAGAATCGAGTGAATCCACTTTCTCAGCATAACTGAATCACCAGACAAATTAATTTCATGTCACAAACTTCTCTGGTGAACATGTTTGCCCAAGAATCTGTGGTTACTTTTCGGTGAAGACATGAGTTCCTGACTAACTGCCATGTTTTTGTCACTCAATCTTCTAACATAGTCTTTCTTCTTTGCTCCCGTTGTTGCATTATTTGAGCTCTCTTCCAGCATTGGAATTGCGTACCAACAAACAGACGTGCATAATATTGCAAATGACCGCCCAAACAAAGCCAACAAAACCAAAATGAAGATTATAACCAGTGGCAGATAATAAGCCGGCCTTCTCCACTTGTCCGATTTCATGTTCCAACGCCACAATGTCCTCTGCTCACTCTGTTTTTCAGGTTCCAATTTTGGTGGCGGCTTGACCTCTTTCACGGCTAAGGACGAAGGATCAATATTAGGGGTTGCATGCTTTTCTTCGTGATCAGTTAAAGTCTTGGTTTTGTCTTTGAGCTTAACCACGACTGGAACTGGAAGACTTGTATCAGTCGAGTCCTTGTACACAAAGCGGACGAAGCTTATGTCTTTTGAGTCCGGTTGAGCGTAAATCTTCTGTCTTTTCTCCTCAAGATCAGCTAGAAGTGCAGAGAACTTGTCAAGGCCCCGGCTCGAATACGGGTTCTTGGTGTCCCTGCTATGTCTTCTGTGAAAGCCAGTGCTTCTTGATCTTGAAGAATTTCTTGGTGGTGAAATCATGGGCTGGTCATCATCTTCATCAACTTCTTGGTGGTGGAAAGTGGCACAGCTGAAAGGGCTGAACATGGTGGTGTGGTGTGGTGTGGTTTTCAACTTTGAGGGATTTGTTTTCTGAGCTGGTTTATTTGGTTGTAGTTGGAAGAGAGGAAGAGAGAGAGGCACATATACTTGTTGAAGGGCTTGCTCCTTGCTCAGAAGGGCATATCCAAACAAACAAGCCTAGTCAATTTAAGGGTTTGAAAAAATAAAATCCTGTAGAAGCTTCCCATGCCTACATGGATTTTGGAATTTTTTGTGCCGTTTGACTTCTTGGGGAGGAGGGAAAATTAGGGATATACATGTGGAAAGAATGTTAGACTGAGGCCAAAAGACAAAAGGAAAAAAAATAATGAAGCATATATATCTAAAAAGGATTGAATAGGTCCAAAGTTAATGTCAATATGATTTACATAAGTTCTTCCATACGGCTACGCGCATACATTTTTTAGAATCTTAAACCCAATAAGTAAAATAATTTCTAGAAGGGACACTAAACAATTATGAAGGTTGAAAAAGGTTGCAAAGGTTAGTTGGTAGGGTTAAAAAAAAGTGTATATCATTTGGGAAACTATAGATAATAAGAAATGTGAATCACTTGACTATGATGAGATCATATCAGATGAGATGAGACTGTATATATATCTCATATGAAGCATGGGATGTTTGGCCGTGTTGACAAGTAATCGAAGGGGAGGTGTGGACTATGACCAAGATTTAATTGCAATCATTCATCTACCTGATAAGTGTCAAAACACCATTTGTTTTGAAGACGAGCTCTTCATCGGTTTTAAGGAGGTTAAGTTTTTTTCTAATAATAATACACGCGTTAGTACCTCAACACACATCAGAACAGATATTTTATTTATTTTCTTCTTTCAGTGTGGAGGTAGGGCAGAATATATATAAGAAGGCTGCAGCTTATACACGCTTACCTCAAGACTGCAAAAAAGACTTTGAGTCTTTAGTGTAACAGAGACGTTTTACATCAACAAGAATATAACGTCCTCCTCCAGAAGTCTACAACTTAGACATCTAGAAAGAGAGCCCACAGGGCATTATTATTTACTCTAAATTATCTGAAAGAACCTTCTCACCTAAACCTAACCAAAATTTCCTCTCTCTCTCTCTCTCTCTCTCTCTCACACAATTATTTTGAAAAGGAATAAACTCAACTGACTAGTGACTAACTAGAATATAGAGAATGAGTAGGATTGTCACTTCATGAAATGTGACACGTACACGCTGAGCCTCTCGTTGAGTTTCTAAAATCTTTTTACCTCCTGCTTCTGCTTCTGGATTTGGATTTCTGTGAGTATATGGGCTTTCTCATATTCTATTTTCCAGGCAGCCCAATGTTAGTGGCCTGTCACAAACCAGACTACCTGGAAGAACCCATACTCTCGCTCAAGATGGGCTATGTTTGCTTACATGCCCCACAAGTTGGGCCTTTTTTAAAGTGCCTTTGGAAGAGTTGATTGATATTATGTCTTTAAACTTTTCAAAAGCACTTTTACTAAAACCATGAGAAGAAGTGCTTCTCAAACAGTGTCAAAACAATCTCAACATTTTCAGTGCTTAGAAAATTCTTGTGAAGCCCAAAGTTTTGATGAAGTTTCTGATTTTACCAAAAAGAAAAAAGAGTTTTGGTGAGAAACGGTTTTGATTTATCTACCTACCAAAAGCAGGCACGCTTAAATTGCCCATAACTTCTACGACAACAACCAAGACGTCGTCTAGTAATTGCGTCCTCCCTTGAGAAAGTGAAAGCCCAGCCAGAGTCAACCAAGTCAAAAGAAGTCAAGTTCCAAAGTTTCGGAACCACGCGACGTCGACGTTTTACTAGGACACGTCCGTCATTTAAAAAAAACCGCCGTACAAAACCGGTATCCGAAACGCTCGTAATAAAGCCCAGTCCCACATTAATCGCTTTCCCATTTTGCAGTTAAAAAGGGAGGTTTGCTGGGTTGGTATTTGCTGCTCTCTGCTGCGCTTAAAACAAACCAACCGAACCCCTAACCAACCAACAACCCCCTCCCTCCCCATGACAGTCCCAAACGACGCCGTCTCCAAACAAGCCGACGACCGCCCTGCCGAGTCCGAACTCGTCCGCGGCACCGAGGCCGAGTTGATCGAACTCGGCGACGCCACCGAGTTGAACGAGGGCGCGCTGTCGAGCGGGAAAGTCAGGGGCCCGTGGTCGCCCGAGGAGGACGCGGTGCTGAGTCGGCTGGTCAGCAAGTTCGGGGCGAGGAATTGGAGCCTGATCGCCCGAGGAATTCCCGGTCGCTCTGGGAAGTCGTGCCGGCTCCGATGGTGTAATCAGCTCGACCCCTGCGTCAAGCGCAAACCCTTCTCTGGTAATTTAATCACCGCCACCACCACCATTATCGCTCTAAGCTTTGCTCTTTATGCATATGTTTATTTGTGTTTGGAATATTGGTTTGGGTTTTGTTGTTCGTTATTTGTCGATTTTGTTTGTATTTGAATATCTTTGATGGAGAGACAGTTATAGAGTTTTGAATTGGGATGATTAATCAAAATCAAGTGCAAATTTACCTGAGTGTTTCGTCCTGCTTGCTTTGCAATCAACTTCCAGTAAATGTATGTTGTATGCAAATTTGCAACTTGCAATTTCGGAATGGTTTCGAACTGTTTATAAACTAGCTTATTGGTTTTTGGTTACTTGCATTTGTGGAAATGCTTAGTGTTTTAATCAAAGTACAAGTATAAAGTTTTTAGAAACTTAGAGATGGTTTTAAGTAGCACAGGAAGGGAGATGGGATTGATGAATATAATGTGGTAACTGAGTTTAGTACATTCCTGTGTGCTTGTTTTTATCTTTACTGCACAAAATGTAGCATTAACATGGAGAAGTAAGATAAATGTATGTGGGTTAACTTCAATTTTTGTTGTTTGAGAGAGAGAGCCATTGAGATTTTGCATCTTGTTGGTTCTTGATGATTGAGGTTCTGTTTTATTTCTTCCATCTATAATGCCCTTGTCCCTCTTTTCTTTTTCTAAAATATTGCCATTGAGTCAGTCAGATTAGTGAATGAAATAGCTGAAAGTTTTGTACTTGAAAACTTCGTGGTCTTGTTTTTGCCTGGTTTGGTTTTGTTGCCATGACACAAAGAGAAAGAGGCTAAATGAAAATGATAGTAGGATGCTCTTCCATCCACTGTTGCACACTTATTTTCTTTTTCTGAAGTCTTTCCTGTGTAACTCTGTTTACTGCAGAAGAAGAAGATCATATTATAGTTTCAGCCCATGCTATCCATGGTAACAAATGGGCAGCAATTGCAAGGCTCCTTCCAGGTAGAACAGATAATGCAATAAAAAATCATTGGAATTCTACACTAAGGCGCAAGTGCATTGATAGAGGAAAATTCAAACCGGAACCTGATATGATGGAAGATGCCAGCTTTGACAGAACAAAGGCATCTTCAGAAGAAACCCTGTCAGTTGGGAATATTAGTTCATTCAAGACTCCTGAAGGAAGAGAGGTCTCGATGGACAATAGACTGGACCAGCTAGATGAAAGAGTTCAAGCAAAGGAGGGTTGTGGTGTTGCCGAATCAAACTACCATTCTACTCTTCTTGCCGGATCAAGATGCCATCCTACTCTTCTTGGCGAATCAAAAGAGCAGTCATCCCTTTGTCGTCCAGTGGCACGTGTTAGTGCTTTTAGTGTTTATGACCCTCCGAGTGGTCCGGCAAATACCTCTACATTTTCAAGGATAGTCCCAAGTCATGGTCCTTTGGTCCAAACTTGTAAACTAGATTTTGGCTTCGGCAACTTCCTTGAAGGTGTTTGTAATGAGCCTATGGTTCCTCTGCGTTGTGGCCACGGTTGCTGTGATCCAAGCGAGGGGCATTCTCAAAGCTTGCTATTGGGGCCTGAGTTTGTCGAGTATGACGAGCCTCCCTCTTTCTCTAGCCATGAATTAATCTCCATCGCAACAGATTTGAACAAGATTGCGTGGATTAAGAGTGGCCTTGAGAATAATGGGACCAGGATAACAGAGAATGCTGCAAGCCAGAGAGTCTCTCAAGGGGCCACTACTACCTTGCAAATGGGATTATCAGTACACAACTCGACGAATGACCAAATGCGCTACGAGGAAGGACGTAACAAGTTGATGGGAATGATGACAGAAGTGCTATCAACCCAGGTGCCTAGACAAACTTTCGCAATGCCAACTGAAGTTGAGGGATTAAGCTAGAACTCATGACTGGTGTTCCTTATTTTGGGGGTATTAAATTATGGCAGTATAATATATGTAATATAGGAACACGTTGTTTTCACAGCATTTTAAGTTAAAGTCTCCAAGTCACATTTAGAAGACTTTTAATTTCTGGCTGTCTCATTTAAGACATTAAGAGGCCTTTTCTTTAGGCATACATACATGAAGATATATTTAGTGCTCGTTTTTTTCCATTTCACTTCCTTTACCTTTTTTTATAAACCAGATAATGGAGGGAAAAAAAGAAAAGGGTTTCCGGGCTACGAGCTGCCTGGTCTATGGCCTGTGAAAAATGGGCCAAACCCTTCAGTTACAGGCTGAACAAGCTGATCCGAAATCGATCTTGGGCTCAAAACAAGCTCCAAGCTTGAGCCATACCCACCAATCCAATTTAGAAGACCACTTTTTGAAGACGCTAATGTTATATTATATCGGGCTCCTTTCCAATGCATTATAAAATTAAGAAAAATTAAAAATTACTGTTGCTGCTGCTGCTGCTACTTTTGCTTTGTTGTCAGTCACCATATTTTACGTTTTGACTAAAAGCTTGATTTAGGATGTTGCCGAAACTTAAGGTAAAAAAAGAAGAAAGAACAACTTGAGATTGCCTCTAATAATCATGCATAATGATGGAACAGCTGTTGGTGTGGCCCGTACCCACCTATCTTTTTAAATTAATCACAATGAAATCCATGTCCAACCCTACTGTTACACCACATATTATATTCCAAAAGTCAAAACTACCCTTCACATAACCGATGATTTGGATGAAAGAGCATGGGCAACCGTGACTTTCCACTAGTTAAAGTGGACTGGCCTCAGAAAACAAAAGACTGGGGTCTTCATGTCAGTTACGCAAGTGAAACAGACGTAGATGATAAAAGAAACAAGGAAAAGAAAAAACGGAAGGCAGCAGTGAAGAAGACAAAGAGAAATCTGCTTTTGATGCGTACATTTTCTGTGCTCTGTGGAAAAGAGAACAGTTTTTTTATAGTCACCTCAATCGCTATTTTCTCCCAAAACCTCATCATCACTGTCATCACCTTTTTTTTCTCGGCTACAATGATTAAGCAAGCAGCCCATGATGACCCCCCAAAGAAATTAACAAATTTCGCACACTAATCTCGCTCATCACTTGTTTAACCCAAAAAGCCAAATTGAATTTGCAATGTCAATTGATCACTATAAGACACACTAATCTGGTTAGTTTAACCCCAAAAAACAGAGCCGGTCAAAAGTCCTTTGGCAAGGACACAAAACTCAGCTTATATGTTTCACCTGCTCACTGCAGACATTGCTTTAGTATATATATAAAAATATTGTTTTAGTATATATATAAAATATCTTTCTTGATCTTTTTCCCTCCTCAAATTGATGTTCAGGGGGCACTGACACACCAAGTAGGAGAGATAGGCACACAGAGAGAGAGAGAGAGAGAGAGATCACCTATCAGCACAGTACCCAGTTGCTCAAAATCTAAGAAAACTGCTCCTACTAGTTTAAGCTGTGCTGCTTACCAAGGTTGAAAGAAGTGACAAGAGCTTCTTCAACCTTTGTGGGCATTTATGATCTCGGCCTCACAGAGCCATTACATGAAGATTCTCTCTTTGGCTCTTGGAAATGGCAGCCATAGACAAACCCCACGTTCTTGTTGATGTGGAAGAAGACGGGGTTCACCGCCGGAGGTCCGACGCCAGCTCAGACGGATCAGACGAGGAGGAGAGGTGTTCAAGTGAGTCTGCGTCTGAGATTGTGGAGAGGGAATCCTCTCTGTCAGAGAGTTCAGTGGATCTGGAATGTGAGGTAGCTGAGGTTAAGATGCACGTGGCAAAGGTGGAGAGGGACTGTAGGATTTGTCATCTGAGCATGGATGCAACCAATCATGAATCTGGGATTCCTATTGAGTTGGGCTGTTCTTGTAAGGCTGATTTGGCTGCTGCCCACAAGCAGTGTGCTGAGGCTTGGTTCAAATCAAGGGTAACAAGTAAGTATATCCAACTAAGTAATAAAGATGATATCTTTCTGTGTTTTTGAACTACCCAGATGTTGGGTTTTTGCATATATGGATTTTTGGTTCATGGAACTTGATCAGTGTTAAATTTGTGTTTAGCATTTTGACACCCAATTTTTTTTTAGTAGCAATTTCAGGAGTAAAATGATATGGTGATGTGATCATAATTCATAACCAAAATGCCAGATTAATTGTTATGTTGTTCTTCTGAAGATTGTGAAATGATGGAAATAGTTTTCCATCTCAAGGTGTTACGAATATTATTTGGGGAGATTTTGCAGACAAAGTTGTCCTACTTAATTGAAAATAAAATTAGAATAAAACCTGTACAGCTTTAGAAGAGTAAAGGAAAAGCATATTAGTGTAAATCAACAGCATCAACCTTAATAAAGCAAAAGATGAAGCACCAGCACTTGCATGGAATTCCAACTGTGCAAATATTCTTGTCTTGTTGGAACACATACACGTTGCATTTCTCTCACTGCTTTCCGACTCTTTTTCTACCTTTCCGCTTAGACATGCTGGTTGGCGATGTGTGCTTTACTGAAGTCAAATAATTTGGTTCTTGCAGATTCTTCTCATATGAGATGTTGACTGAAATCACTTTGACTCTATTCAGTAAACTTTTAATAAACATGTATCTATGTTTTCCACGCACATTTATCTTCATGATGGATGTTTTGAAAAAGGCAAGTGCTTTTACCCAGTTTCATTTTCCTGATATGGACATACTCTATGAACTTTCCAACTTCCCGGCACGTAGTGTTGTAAGATGCAGTCTTATGAATGGGTTGTCTCTGTCAGAGGCACCACAAATAAATTGGATACTTGTAGTTCAATGGCCTGGGTCTTAGTTGGCATGTCATTGGAGAATGCTCAGCATTTTTCCTTGTATTACATAAGTGAGAGGAAAATTTCTTCATTTTCATTCACCAAATGCTTATTCGATCAATTTTGTAGGTTTATATAGTTTTGGTAGAATCCATTACATGATCAAGTATGAGGAAACAATCATGTCATTAACACCTTTATGCATCTCAGGGTCATGATGCTAGAGTTTATGCACACATCAAAACTCTGGCTATTTTTTATTTAGACATTTTCCTTTGTCTGGTATATTTGTGAATGTGAATGTTTGCACAAGCTATTTTGGAAAAAAATTCACGATTATGTCCATTGCTTCCAAGTAAGCATATTTATATTCCTTTATTTTCCTCAAGCTATACCCAGGGTTCTGTTTCATATTCTGTTCTGAAACCATAACCTAGTATTGAATTTCTTCTTTGTGTTTGAAGGTTTCCTAAGGTTGACTTTTTCTTTTTCTCATTTTACCTTCCTTACTTCCCTTAAGACCAAGCCTTTAAGTTGCACGGTGCCCTTGTAATCCTGTAAATAAGCTTCCTTAATTCATTAATAGCCCTTTAAGGAGCTGCAAATAATCTTCCCTTCTTGTGATCAGTGATTATTTTTTCATTTTTTAGAAATTTCACTCCATATCTAATTTTGGTGAGCAACTTATATGGATAGAGATGTCTACTGGTACATTAATCATCCTCATTCTTGGAGTTCGCAAGCACTTTGATATGATTGTTAAAGTTAATCTTTACATGCTTTTCTGTAAATGAAAGAAAAGATAAAGAAATTATCGTGTTCAGGTTTACAACTGAACCACCCCCTCGCCCTTTCTCTCCCAAAAAAAAAGAAAAAAAAAGGAAAAATAACTAAAATAGAAATTGCTGACGTATTACTTTCTGCTTTCACATTCCAAATGTTGTTCCTGTAATGAATTAAATCCTTGGTATATGTTTCCATGTATTAACAAGAGTGGTAAACTGCAATGCTTCCTGATGACCTCATAAATTTCTAATATTTGTGCTTGGTGTGTTTCTAAAGGAAAATATGGCAGGAACCAATGTCAATCTGGCTGAGATGTTTAAAACAAGTATATACCAAAAGATAAAGATTTTACATTAGTGTATTAATGGAAGAAAAAAAAAAATCTTAATTGCTTCAACTTATCCAACTTTTCTCAATCCTAATACCACTGTTAAAAATGGTACTAGCTGTATCTTCACCTTGATTTTGTGTGTGTTGTAATTGGAATACAACATTCGTGCTTTTATGCAATTATTTTTCTTGTATAGGAAAACTGACATGAAGGCTATTTCAAAAGATTTTGGATAAGTTGGAAGCAACTTCCAGTATCAATATGTGATTATCTTGTTAGGCAAGTTCCCAGTCTCATATGCATGTGTCATTACTCAAACCCAAGCATTGAGCCGGGGAGACGAGTTTTTTTTCAGCACACTGTACTTACTGGTGGTTCCATTTGATCTATTCATAGACTTTGAATCCACTATGGGCGTCAGATTGCTAGTTGTGGCATAAGAAATTTGACAACTTCTAATCTAAACCTTCTTATACTAGACAGAGAATGGCTTCTCACGGTAAAAACCAGTTGGGATGCTGATTGGCTGGGGGCTCTATCTACCTACTTTCTTCTATCTTATCTTCGAAATAGGAAATATATTATATCCAGTAGTATCAAATTGATTTAGTTCAGATTGATTAACCTGCAGCACTTTGACAAAAACAAATGAGTTGCTTATGACATGCTTCTTTTGGGTAACATTTGCATATTCGGGTTTATGTTATGTTTGCTTAACTTCATACCACGTATACAATTGCAGGACCTGTGAGATCTGTGGATCAACTGCACGTAATGTAGCGGGTGTGACTGAAGCTGAGTTGGTGGAGCAGTGGAGTGAAACAAATGATACTGCAATGGCCACATCAGCAGCTGCCCCTGTGCAGACAGCAGAGAGCCGGAACTTCTGGCAGGGTCACCGGTTCCTGAATTTCTTGCTAGCTTGTATGGTCTTTGCTTTTGTCATCTCTTGGCTCTTTCACTTCAATGTACCCTCGTGAGAAACTGTTATAAAGTTATGCATTTATATTCGGTGATGATAGAGGGATAGCAAACAAGAACTGGGAGGTACTATCCTTATTCCCTAGGTTGGAGTTAGCTGTTTCTCCGTCTGCTTGTTGTTTATATATTAGTAAGCCAAGCTGGCTTGATCAGGTTGTGTAATGTATGTTTTCATTTCTAAATTCAATTTGGACCACCAAAGTAGTTTCTTGTACTGTAGTAACTTCAGATGCTTTATTTGGGCCAGAAAAGAGAAGCAACCAACTTATAAGATTTCTAGCAGATGCTTCACTTTTGGAATTGGCGTTTGATGTATTAAACAGATAAGATGGATAGTGATGTAATTTAAGTTCATTCCAATGAAAGCAATGTTGTGTCTATTGATGTTGAGTTTGATGTACTGCGGGCAACTTCAAATGATTACAAGATTTCTCGTTCAAATTGAGACGGTTGCTTCAAATCATTTAACATTTTGACCGTAAGGATTTCCCGTAGGCCTTGGGCCCTTGGCTAATGGTTTGCATGTTTCTCAGACAGTTAAAACAGTTGGTGACTGGAACAAGGCTTAATCTGACTTTGTTTGCTTAGCATATGGTTAATTGAACCTTCCCAAAGCATAAAACCTAGTGGGAGGTTCCTTATTCTGCAAATAGGCATTTGTATTGGATTTGAAGGGAAAGTTTTAAGCGGAGACCTCAAGCTAGACTTTTAATTCTTGAAGCATCATAATGGAACTGGTGAAAACGTTGACTCCACCACCAGCAATTGTATGCTAGGGTGACTAGTTTAGCTTTCTTGACTATCCAAAATGTCAAACACATGTTATGGTTGACATTCAAGCTGCATGCTTACTGGTTGGATTGGAATTTAGACCCCTGAAATGTGGTAAGAGTTTGACAACTTTTATACCCCTGCAAAAGTTGGGTAAGTATGCTTGCGTTGTGCTCAAACTTGGCATGCGTTAGCAAAACCGTATTGGAATTTTATGAATGGATAATACAGACGAGGAATTCTAAAGTGAGTCAGACGTGATCACTTGCTGAGGTCAGTCAGTCGTGCATGATATGAAAAAAGTCTCAAGCTCACATGCAATTTCGGAAGAAATGATACTTGATAAAATGACAAACAATGTGGGTGCGTGACCACTGACAACATTAGGCGTAAACAAAGAAAGAAGAGAGAAATTGGGGGTGAAGTTCTAGTTTTAGGTGTATGCACTAGTTGCTGCAAGGAGGGTGCCGTGATTGGCGGTGACAATGTTAATAGGCCACAGACAGAGAGCTCGTGGTAGGAACTCACTCACTTTCTTTCTTCCTTTCTTATGATTGATTTTATCCATAACCATAACACTTCATTAATTTATGATAATGTCATCATTAAGTGATTGCCTCCAAAATAAAATCTCTCTCTATTTTTTTTTAACCATATTAGAACAACGTAGGTGAATAACATGGTGTGTCGGACTTTTTTTTTGGGGAATTAGCTACTCACACCACCATCGCCATGGCAGACTCACAATTTTAAGCCGAAAAGACTTACATGTGACATCCAACCATCAGCTGTCACTAATATGAATTTATGTAGAATACTACAAATTGCGAACCAATGTACATGGACCTTTTTCTTCCGTGGTGTGTTGGACTTTTTCTTTCCTTGTATAACTGAGTTTTCAACCCACATCCAATTCACTGAAATTCTCCTTCTTTCTTTCTGTTTTTCTTTTCCTTCTTTTCAATGATTTTACTGGCAGGCACAAAAATTTTCAACTGCACCATTAGCTGGCTCATGACTTACGAATTGGACTTACACTCCATGAATCATGATCTCAAAAAAAATTATTGAAAAAAAAAGGAATATATAAATAAAGGGTAAAAATTCTTCTGAGCACTGGCCATATAAAATGCATAAGAGATGCCTCTTTGTGCTTTTATATATTTTGTTCAGATATGATTCTATTTGTTAAAACATTAAAAATAAAGCAAGACAGCAATGCATATCTCTTGAACATCAGTTTTTTTGTCATCCCTTAGAATGTCTGTAACAACAACAATACTGTTACCTTACCTCGTCAGTGTCACCACTCGACTGGAAAAAAGGTAATCTTAAATTAATTATATAAATATAATTGTCTTCAATATTTTATTTATTATTATTAGATTGAGATTTCATAAGAACGTGCTGGACATGATTTGATGAGAAGAACATCTTAGGCTCCTGGTTCAGCAGCCATTGCCAACACGTGTCGCAACCTCGCAGCGACATTTGGTTAATCTAATGCGTATAATTCAGGAGCACGTACAGATACAGCTAATGTAATTTGTAATGCAGCAATATTGTCAAAAATTCGAGACAGAATTGGATTGAGTGTCGTCCCAAGCAATCAACCACCACCATGCTCAATTTGCAGACTCAATTAAAATGTCGGTCGCATGCTCCGGGATAGCATCCAATGAATCATAATTAATCACTTGATTATTATTAATATTGTTAATGATCTTATCTGTTTTAATGCGTAAAAGTTTTTGCGTCAGATATGCTGCTGTTAAAGGCAGCAAAGTGCCACAGCCATATGGGGACATACTCTCTTTGTCACAGCAGCAGGAGCTACCTCTTTTGCTTTATCCTTTTGTCTCTTTTTCCTTCTTATGTGTATTGTGAATGAGCCTTGTTTACTGTATGCCGGTCAAGCTGACACTTTGGTCATGGGTGGCCTAATGATGAAAGAGTGAGCACGAAGCTAGGTTTAAACTACGGACATCGTAAAACCAGAGTTTTACCTAATAAGCATATTCATATAATAGGAAATAAATCTAAATTACAATAGGAAAGAAATCTCAATTATAATAGGACTAAATAAATGGGTAAGGAGCAAAATCCTAACTAAGTAAGGACTCGTCAATAATTTGCATGTATTTTGTCTTTATTCTAAGGCTTTTTTTGTATGTCAAAACTTGGTTGTTGTGTATATGAAAAAAGCTAAGAAAACGAGCCTTATATTTGATTGGTTGAAATCAAAGTCACACTCTAGATATAATTAATTGCTTTAACACTACTTCTACTTTAACCCAAGTTTGATTCTAACATACCCGTTTTGTTTGGACGAGTAGTTTACTCCATTGGATATCAATTAATATCAATTATAAAATAAGCTAAGAACAAACCAAGTTTCAAAGAGAGAGAGTGAGCGTGCAAACACGACATAGACAAAGTGAGCCACGTTAGAATGAGAGCCATTGGTCGGTTGGTATAATGTTTAACAGCTACAGAGTGCAGAAACACCCTCTCTATCCCTCCTCCCTCCCTTTGAATCAAAGACTGAACAACAACTTCACACCCAACTTAATTCCTCTTAGTATTCTTTCCTAGTCCCACAAAGTTAGCTCTGTTTCCAACCAAAACCCAACAGTCCCAAATATATATATAGTACAATCCAATACTCTCTCCTCCTAAACTCTCCCCTTTTTCCCAATTAATATCCGCTCTGCTTTCTTCTGCTCTTTCTCATCATCATGAGGAAGCTTTGTCCTAATTTGGACCGTGAAGATGGGCTTGAAACCGTCCTCGAGGTCCCAATCCCGGAAGAGATGTTTGATACCGACAATAACAAGAACAACAACACCATCTCATGGCACAACATGAAGTCGTGGATGAAATCCTCCAACACCGACCGATCACAGATCAACACCGTCTTTGGGAGCAAAAACGCCGAGGTCCAGCTCTTGCTTGGTGTTATTGGAGCTCCTCTCATTCCCCTTCCCATTCCTAAGGACCACCAACCCATCAACCGCACCATCAAAGACCAACCTATCGTAAGTAATTTGCATATATAATCAAATTAGGATAATATTCTCTTACGCCACTTATATTGCAAGACTCTGAATTTTAGTTACACGTTCCAGTAAAATTCAATATGATGGTGAAGATACAAATATTTACAGTTTGACAAGATAAGCCAAACAAGAGATTAAATTAGAGTACTTATGGACATGAAAATTTTGTTACACATGAAGTTTGCTTCTTAATAAATAATTACTTATTGGGTATTTTATGATTAATTTGTAGGAGGCTTCAATGGCTAAATACATAGTGAAGCAGTACATAGCAGCGGTGGGGGGAGAGAAGGCCTTGAACTCAGTAGAGAGCATGTATGCAATGGGGAAGGTGAAGATGGCGGCGTCAGAGTTTTCCACCGGAGAGAGGAGCTTGAACAGTAACAATAACAAGGTGAAGGTGAAGAGCTTGTTGAGATCAACTGGAGGTGGGGGCGAGATGGGTGGGTTTGTGCTGTGGCAGAAAAGACCTGAGCTTTGGTGCTTAGAATTGGTGGTGTCTGGTTGCAAAATCAGTGCAGGAAGCGACGGGAAAGTGGCTTGGCGCCAAACTCCGTGGCACCACTCTCATGCCTCTCGAGGCCCTCCTCGTCCTCTCAGGCGTCTCCTTCAGGTACCACCCCACTCACCTATCTTTCTCGATAGTTATTTATTTATTTAATAATTTTTGGTGAATCACCATTAGAGAACTCATCTAGATGATTAAATTTGGCAAAATCATGGGCATTTGGGAATTTTTGTCACTCACTTTGAAGGTGATCATGTGCTTTTGGTGGTGGGCTTGCTTTAATGATTGTTTTTTGTGTTGAGAGAAACTCTCAGAATAATACTTTTTGTTATGCCTAACTAGTAACAAAATGACGTGTATGATAACTTCATACTTTTTCACGTATGATTGTGTTATTAGTCGAATAGCAAAATAGAGATATTCTATTACAACCGGTCTAATAACAAAGCCTCCTTCATTATAAACTCTCGTTAATATCCCTCATTACACCCTCTCGGTCTAGAAAAGATAAAGCTACCCAGAGTCTCTTTTGGGTTCTTTTGACTTGGCCTTAGGAAGCCCTGACTTCTATGTTGGTCTGTCCCCATCTAATTATATGGCCCACATTGCACGTTTGTGGGGCACTCTCTACCGAATAGGCTTTGAGAGAAGAAGTCACAACAAGATCAATGTATATAAAAATATTTTTGGTTTTAAATATGCACAAAATACTCATAGTGGAATATAATTGTTGTACTGAACAGGGTCTTGATCCAAGGTCAACAGCCAACTTATTCAGCAACGCAGTTTGCATCGGCGAGAAAGCAATCAACGACGAAGACTGCTTCATCCTCAAGCTGGAAGCCGATCCCTCAAACCTAAGAGCACGAAGCAGCAACAACGTGGAAATAATAAGGCACTCAGTGTGTGGCTACTTCAGCCAAAGAACAGGCCTCCTCGTCCAGCTAGAAGATTCTCACCTCCTCAAAATCAAACCCCCCTCAGGAACCGACAGCGGCATTTTCTGGGAGACCACCATGGAGTCTTACGTCCGAGACTACAGAACCGTGGACGGCATCAACATCGCGCACGGGGGCAGGACGTCTGTCTCCTTGTTCAGGTTCGGCGAGAACTCAGAAACGCATTCCAGGACGAGAATGGAGGAGGTTTGGGAGATTGAGGAGGTTGATTTTAACATCAAGGGCTTGTCCATGGACTGCTTCTTGCCTCCTGGTGACCTAAAGAAGGAGGAAGAAGAAGCAAAATGTGGCGCCAATGCCATGGTGATCAGTGCTCATTCAAAAATGCCGTTTAAAATTCGATCTGCTTCTTGGAGAATCAGTGCTTCTAAAGTTGTTGCATTAGATGATGATGTTGAATATGATCCGGACAATAGTGAAAGCAGCAGCGACCAAGAATTGTAAAAATTCAGATTCAATTTTTGTACATAGCATAATTACTAAGTTTAGATATGTCGCCTGTCACACTTTTTAATAAAATTGGATTGTGGCATGGGCTTGGCCGGGCCATAATGATATTTTTGACAAAATCCATTGACCTATTATGTTATTTATGAAAAAGCAAAATTATCACCATCACCCTTCGCTCTTGTTGTTTTTCTAATTTTTCACTTTAGTTTAACTATCATTAGCCCATTGGGCCTTAATGATATTTTTGACAAAACCCATTGAACCTATTATGTTATTTACGAAAAGACAAATTATCACATTTCGTCCTTGCTGTTTTTCTGACTTTTCACTTTAGTTTAAACATCACTTTGGGTTATGTGGTGTCAAAGTTTTTCTGACTTTTCACTTTAGTTTAAACATCACTTTGGGTTATGTGGTTTCAATTTTGACACGTAGTTTAAATTTTAATACATAGTTTATTATGTTTAAATTTTGACACGACGTCGTTTATTATTTCTGATTTCAATTCTGATAATTTGACGTATGTTGTTTAACTATCAGTCCTAATTTCTCTTCAATTTATTGATGAAAAAAGAACATGTCTCTTATATGAAAGTATTTTTGGACGAAATTATAGATGTGTGATTCAATTCACTTATAGACTGATCTCAATAGGCCCACTTGTCAAGGATCCTAACACATACCCGGCCCCAAACTTGCCATCCCTAAACCATTCTTAAACGCGACAGTGGATCAGGTGAAGGCTGGGATGGAAAACGGCGTGCTCACTCACTATCACGGTTGCCTAAGGAGGAGGCCAAGAAGGTCGATATCAGGTCCATTGAGATTTCTGGTTAATTTAATTTAATTTAATTTAATTTAAGTAACTAATTAAGCTTTTCTGTATGGTATTATGGTCCAGCCGTCAGTATATAAATGTAGCTTAAATTGGGTATTTTGGACCGTCCTGCTATGTAATGTACTCGTTTTAATCCAAAATTAAGCAATAATTTAACAAGCAAACAAAATAAAAATTTATTATATTTCAGAACGAGAAACCGTACATGAAAAATAGCACACTGTCACTCAACTCTCACAGATAGACGCAGAAACTTAAAATACAAGAAACAAAACACAAGAGATTAACAAAACAAACCATGCTTATTTAACATAATTACGATTTAGCTCAAAGGGGAGGTGGAGTTGAGTTGATTGAGGTTGAGGAGGATTTAGTTTAGCCAGAGATGTCAATGGCCTTGACCTGTGGCCGCTTCTCCTCCTCCTTGGGCACAGTCACGGTGAGAACCCCATTCTCCATGCTAGCCTTGACCTGATCAATTTTCGCATTCTCCGGCAACCTGAACCTCCTCGAAAACTTGCCGGTGCTCCTCTCAATCCTGTGCCATTTGTCGTTTTTCTCCTCCTGCTCTCTGCTCCTCTCTCCGCTGATCTGAAGCACCTTCCCGTCATCAACCTCAACTTTCACTTCCTCCTTCTTCAGCCCCGGGAGGTCAGCTATGAAGATGTGGGCTTCTGGGGTCTCTTTCCAGTCAATGCGAGTGTTGGCGATGGCAGTCGTTTCGCGAGCAGAGGGTGGGATGTTGGCCAGAGTGCCAAGGCCCTCAAAGGGGTCCCAGATGTCAAGAGAAAACGGATCGAAGACGTTGCTTCGTCGGCCACCAAAGATGCTGAGAGCCATTTGGGTTGAGAGATTTGGGTTGCTTTGAGTGAAGGGTATTAAGCTTTGGACGATTGATTCTATCTGATAAGGTTGGTGTGGAGATATTTATATATATATAGGGTGACAAAGAAGGTTCAGGCACCTTCATGGTTCTTTTAGATCTACAATAATAATTCCAATCTAAAACAGAAAGTTCTGTAGTTATCCAAAATAGAAGAAAAAACCAGAGACTTCTATAAACTTCTACCAACTTCTTCCAACATGCAGAGCCTCTACGTGTCCTGCGGCAAACCCTGGTGTCAATTTCGATTCTTTCCAACCCAAAACAAAAGCCCGGTGCTGTTTTTCATCTCCAAGAGTTGGGTTGGTTTGGGTTGGGTTGGGTTGGGCTTTACAAAAAGTTGGGTTAATTCTATTTCAGAGACCATGCCACATAAATTTTACATGCTTCAAGAAATCAGCTCAAAATGTGTAAATGCGGTTGTTCAGAGATGTTGATCACAAGTCCTGCATGGTACAGTTCATAATTGGTAAATATAAGATGCATGGGAGCACGTAGTTCCAGACCTCGTAGTTTATAACTTTTCAATGGAATTGGATCAAAGATCAAGTGGTCCTCATGTTCTCATCTTCCCTTTGCCATTGCAAAGTCATGTCATTACAACGCTCGAGTTTGGAGAGCTACTCTGCCTTGCCAACTTCCACATTACCTTCCTCAATTCCCACTTTGTTCATAATCGCCTTCTTCGTCACACCAACATTCAATCCCACTTCGCACGCTATCCCAGATTTCGTTTCGACACCATCACCGACAGTCTACCAGATGACCACCCACGTTTGGGTGCTCGATATATGCTAGAGATGTTTGATTCTGTAAGTTGTGTGACCAAACCACTATTCAGAGAAATGGTGCTTTCTGCTCAATTGGGCTTGGACTCTTGGCCTGTGTTGTGGTTGATGGGATCATGAACTTTGCAACTGACATTGCCAAAGAGATTGGACTTATGAGCATCTCTTTCCGTACCACAAGTGCTTCTTGCTACTGGTCTTATTTTTGTATCCCAAAACTCATTGAAGCCAGCGAGCTTCCCTTCAAAGGTAACATATATAATACATACATATATTCCTATAGTTTAGTCCCATGTGGTATATTTACATTTGATCTATGAAGTTTGTTAATAGCTCATACTATCACTGTAAGCCGAGTCCCTTGGAAGACACCTCTTATACCGAGCCGAGCGTATATGACTACGACAAAGAACTCCTCAGGGAGAATGTGACAAATCGGAATGAGACCAGTTATTGGGTGTTCAAAGACCGACCCGACCACTACGACACCATGTCTTAGCTAGAGATGCATTAAATAAAACAGTTTGGCATACAGGAAAGGTCGGTTGATGCGCATCCTATCCTTAAGTAGGTGTCGCCTTACCCTTCGATCTCTGAGAAAACATGTTGGTGATAGAAAGAGAACATTTAATACACCTCATATCCTTGTTCATCTGTCACTTCGCCACCTGACCCTGTCACAAAGTAGGGTGATCAGAAACAGAGCATTAAATGTGATTCAAACTTAGGGGAATAAAGAAAAGATCTATCCCATAAAATATCTGGATCTCTCCTTCTCCTCTCCATAAATACCCCTCACCTATCTCTGGACTAAGGAAATAAATCCTCTCATGAGAAAAACCTTACATCCATTTTCTCTCCAGCTCAAGTTAGTTTCTGACTTAATCATCGGAGAGAGTTAGATTTGGATCAACTCTAGTCCGCCCTTATTCTAATATCGTTTAAAGTGTGCATATCTTCCTTTGGAGATACTCAAAGGTCCAGTACAGGCTCAAGCCCCGGATAGGGCCCGAGTCATCTATACGAGAAGGATACGCAGTTAACAAAGTTATGAACAGTCAATTTATTTGAACATGTTTTTAGAAAGCGAAATGGATATTCTGATAACATCTGTGCCAGGAATGGAAGACTTTTTGTGGCGGCGGGACCTCCCAGGGTACATGGTGGGTTGGGCACCACAAGAGGAGGTCTTGAAGCACCAGGCCATTGGTGGGTTCTGGACACACAGTGGTTGGAAAATATTGGAGAGCATAGTCGCTGGGGTGCCAATGATGTGTTGGTCTTATTTTGCTGATCAAATGGTGAACAGCAGGCTTGTGAGTGAGGTGTGGAAGCTGGGATTTGACATGAAAGATAGGTGTGACAGAGTGATCCTTGAGAAAGTGATTAGGGATTTGATGGGGGGAGAGGAAGGTTGAGTTTATGAAATCAGCAACAGAGATGGCAGATTTGGCAAGAGCAAGTGTGAATCAAGGTGGTTCTTCTTATTGCAGTTTAGACCGTCTGCTTAGAAAACAGAATACTCAAAATGCCAGGATCAACAACGCAGCTTCTCAATGCTCAAGCAGCCAAAATGATCTCACATAAACTCAGAAAGAATAGAGAGAGAAAGCTGAAGCTACCTCACAGATGAGTTCACATTCAATAATAATGTTTTTGCTACAACTCTCATTACAAAATAGGGACAACGTCTCTTCGAGAGACAGAGAGACTTTTCAGCAAAAAGAGAGAAGTTGCCTAGAGACATCAACCGACAGCATGCCTCATAGAGTAATACAAAATTAGCTCATTGAGCCAATAAACAAAGCATATCCAGCCGACAACATGCTCTCATGCTTTCACAAAATGGATAAAATATTAAAACTTGGCTTTGGATTCGTTTGGCTCGGTTTAACTTTCAACAGTCTGATTGACGACATTCGAAGGAGGAGCCTGCAACAAGCCTCTACTTGCGAACTTCTATAAACAAGGCCAAGATGATCAGTTTTTGCTTAAGAGAAGAACATAATGCATAAATCAAAAGCTTGGCTGTAATAGAAATCATGTAGTACAAAATGGAGTAGAAATGATATTATAGTTGGAAATCTACATAGTGGTTATTAGATAATCTAGTTCAATAACCCAAACACCAAATTGTGGATTCACCGACTCTGAGTTCGAAAAAGAAATGGTTCTAATGACAAAATGTGTTTAACCAATCCATCCAAGGATTGGCATGACGAGCCACCTTGTTTGAAGCAAAGATTTGCCTTCTCCATCAGCTTCAAGGCTCTCTCTCTGATCTCTTCCCCTTCTTTCTCCACCATTAGTTTTCTTATTGTTTTCTCAATCATAAATCTCTCCATCCCATCTTCTAACTGCAAACCAACCTTCCAAACATCACTTGCATATCTTGCATTCACCAATTGATCAGTGAAACATGGCATGCAAATCATAGGGACCCCCTCACAAACACTCTCCAATGTAGAATTCCAACCATTGTGAGTCCAAAAGGCTCCAACTGCTGGATGAGCCAGTACTTGTTTCTGTGGAGCCCATTGCACAATGTGACCCCTCCCATTCAAACTCTCAACAAACCCACTGGGAAATGGTTCTGATCCATGGACGAATCCGGGTCGGACTACCCACAAAAAGGGCTGGTTGCTGTTGGCTAGCCCCCAAGCTATCTCCAAAAACTGAGCTTCCTTTATTGCAGCAAGGCTTCCAAAGCTAACATACACAACAGACTTTGGTGCTTGAGTGTTTAGCCATGGAATGCAACTCTGGTCTTCTGATAATAAGCCACTAGAAGAAGAAGAGGCTGCAGGGAAAAACTTGTGAAATGGACCTATTGGGAAAATTGGAACATTGGAAATCTTTTGGCTTATTGTGGCCAGTGCATGTTGTTCAAGGTGTTCAAAAGTATTAAAGATGAGCCCACATGAGGCTTTGGCTCCATTTGACAGGCCGGCTACTAGCTGATTATAATCCTCTGAGGCACACCTGTTGATCAAAGGAAGGTCTTTGATTTTGAGAGGTGGAAACTCTGTCACCGGCTCTTCTAGTCGAGACTCTAATGCCAAAATAGAGAGGAGGGCAAATATTAGTTGTCAATGATTTAGATGAGCTCAACATTAGGTAATAGCAATTATGTGGTACCAAATTTTCCTAATCTAAATCTAATACCTACCAATTACCAAGAAGGAAGGAAAACCAAACCTTGTATGGGGAGGTAACCTTTTTCCCTCAGAAGTGGAAATGCAGCAAAAACAGCAAAGGAAGCAGCGCCCCCGGTTCTTAGCACAAGCCTTGGGAGTTTAAGGCTGTGAGCAACAGATTCAGTGAAGACATGGAGAACATCAGAGATCAAGCAAGCAACAGGCTCCTCTGAAACATCAGACAACAAGCTAGACAAGCACTCCCTCAAAGGCTCAACACATTTAGCATTTAGAAGGGAGAGAAGAAGGACAAGATCCTTTGTTGAGGCTTCACTTTCAGATAAGCCATCAGGGATTGAGTGGAAGGTGAAGTGTGGATGGGTTGATGGGTTGAGAGAGTTGAAGGTTGTGTGGATGATGGTTATGGAGAAGCCTTTCAGGTGCAGAAGATTGGCCAGCTCAAGCATGGGGTTTATGTGGCCTTGCAAGGGCAGTGGAAAGAGTATCAATCTCCTGTCCTTTCTTTGTTCCATGACTGCAACTTTTTTTTTGTTTTTTTTGCCCGTGTTATATATTATTAGAAGTTGTTTTCTCATATGTAATTTGCAGCATTTGCCCGTACCTACCTACCTACCCCCCCCCAAAAACCCAACACACACCGACATTTTCAGGCACAACCCAACAACATTTTATGATACGAAATATGGAAATTACCAGCCTAAATTATTTCGAATGTCAAAATTACCACACTGAATTAATTTTTCAGCTAATTTAGTCCTCGTATTAAATTTATTTTCCAATTTCACCCATAACGTTAGTTTTTTCACAATTACATCCAAATGCCCGTCAAATATAAGGGTAAATTTGGCATTTTACAAGGTACAATATTAAGAAAAATAAGGAAAATGTAAAAAAAAACCAACCACCACCTCCAATTCCCTCCCTCCCCCCCCCCCCCCCCCTTCTTCTCCCCCATTCCCCCAACCCACAAAACCCAAAATAAGTGCCCCCTCCCCCGATTTCTTCTTCCTCATTCCCTCATAGCCTCCTAGAACCAGGGCCCCCACCCTCGATTTCTTCTCCCCCCATTTCCTAACCACCACCCATAGACCCATCCCCCCCTCCTCCCACCCCCCTTATATCTCCCTCATTCGAGCTCTTTAAAGAACTAGAGAAAGAAAAAAAAAAATTTGATTCAACAGTGAAGCATATGCCTAACATGATACTTTTTTAACAGATATTTGGATGGAAATTGCAAAAAACTAATTGTGGGGGTAAATTGGCAATAAAATTTAGTATGAGGGCTAAATTGGCAGGAAAAAAAGTTCATAGTGGAAATTTTGACAAGCGTGATAGCTCAGGGGTATTCCACAGTTTACCCTTTTATTAAAACGCAAAAGGCAACAAAACTACATTCCATAATAAAGGAAAAGGGAAACAGAGCCTCACTTTCAATCTGTTTTCTGTTCGCTTCTGGTTTTGTAATACAAGGACACATACAAACAAATTCATGATTTAATTGAAGGGGTTTGAAAAACGAGGGATCACTCACTCTGCCTTCCAAAAGCGAAGGATGTTATTGATAAAATATGTTTAACCAGGCTGTCCAAAGATTGGTATGAAGAGCCAGCTTCTTTGAAGCAAAGAGTTGCCTTCTCCATTAGCTTCAAGGCTGTGTCTTTGATATCTTCTCCTTGTTTCTCCACCATCAGCTTTCTGATTGTTTTTGCAATCTCATTTCTCTCAACCCCATGCTCCAACTGCAACCCTACCTTCCAAACATCGCTTACATATCTTGCATTCATCATCTGGTCAGCAGAACATGGCATGCAAATCATAGGGATCCCTTCACAGATGCTCTCCAGTGTAGAGTTCCAACCATTGTGACTAAAAAACACTCCAACAGCTGGATGGGCCAGCACTTGTTTCTGTGGCGCCCACTTCACAATGTGGCCCCTCCCATTCAAACCCTCCAAAAACCCACCAGGAAATGGGTCTGGGCCATGGAATAATCCGGATCGAACCACCCACAAGAAGGGCTGGCTGCTGTTGGCTAGCCCCCAAGCTATCTCCAAAAACTTAGCTTCGTTTAGTGTTGCAAGGCTCCCAAAGCTAACATAGACCACAGATTTTGGTGCTTGAGTGTTAAGCCATGAAATGCAACTTTGGTCGTGTGATAAACTTAATAAGCTGCTTGAGGAAGAGGCTGCGGTGAAACGTTTCTGATAAGGGCCAATTGGGAAAATTGGAACGGGGAATTCTTGTCGAATTGTGGCAAGTGAATTTCCTTCAATGTCTTCAAAAGAGTTGAAAATGAGTCCAGATGAGGCCTTAACTTCCGTTTTCAGGCGGCCAGCTACTAGTTGATAATATTTTTCTGGATCCAGCGTATGGATTACAGGAAGGTCTTTGACTTTGAGAGGTGGAAACTCTACCACTGGCTCTTCAAGTCGAGAATCTAATGCCCAAAATAGAAAGGTGTTCAAATGTTAGGTACAAGTTTGAAGTTTGCAACCGATTAACCAAGAAATGAAAGAATTACTTAGAAAACACACACCTTGCTTGGGGAGGTAGCCCTTTTCATGCAGAAGTGGAAACTGAGTATAAACAAGTAAGGAAGTGGCACCCCCAGTCCTTAACAACATCCTTGGGAGCTTGAAGCTTTCAGCAACAGATTGAGTGAAGTGAAAGCGGAGGACAGCGATCAAGCAAGCAACAGGCTCCTTGGAAACATTAGATAACAAGTCAGCCAAGGCTGCCCTGAAAGGCTCAACGCATTTAACATTAAGAAGAGAAATCAGGAGGACAATGTCCTTCGTGGAGGCTTCGCTTTCGGATAAGCCATCGGGAATTGAGTGGAAGGTGAAGTGTGGATAGCTTGAAGGGTTGAGAGAGTTCAAGTGGGTGTGCATGATGGTTATGGAGAAGCCTTTGGAGTGTAGGACGCTGGCCAGCTCTAGCATTGGGTTTATGTGCCCTTGAAGGGGCAGTGGGAAGAAGATCAATCTCCTGCCCTTACTTTGCTCCATTAATTAGAGAGTAGCTTGAATATGTGATCTCTGGCCACAAATCTTTATTCATAATTGCTCTTTATTTAAATAAAATAAACTCAATATTATATAGCAAAGGCATGTCATGCAAATCATGTGTTATGTACACATTTGCACTGCTTGTAAACGTAAATGAATTTCCACAGAGAAGAAGAGGTTGCAAGGGCAGTGGAAAAAGTATCAATCTCCTGTCCCTTCTTTGTTCCATGACTGCAACTTGTTTGCTGTCTTGTGTTTGTATATATATTATTGTCATTTTCATACAGGACCAAGAAATTGTTTTCTCATATATGTAATTTGCTAGGTTTCCGTATGCCCTCCCCCCCGACATTTTCAGGCACAACACAACAACATTTTATGATACAAAAGATGGACCATCATTTATTAAAACTCAAGGCAGCAAAACTACATTCCATAACAAAAGGAAAAGGGAAGCCTCACTTTCATTCTGTTTGCTGTTCGCTTCTGGTTTTGTAATACAAGGACACATACAAACAAATTCATGATTTAATTGAAGGGGTTCGAAAAAAATATAGAAAAGTTTATATATATCCAAATTCCTATTAAGAAGTTGGTTTTAATTCTCGAAGTTAGTGACTTTGATACTTTTGTGTCATATAGGATTATATTCATTTTAAAATATTTTATGATGTCATCTTTTTCTTTTTTTTAAAAATCATTTTTTGTTCCAATCTTTTTACCTAATGCATAGGTGTATAATTTCATGTGGGTACTTACCAAACCGATTAGTATAATATGTGAGTCTTTACTTTTATTGATTAAATTATATTTTATACATATATTAGGTAAATATTCACAAGGAAATAATTCAAAATTTAAATTATGAAATTCAGTTACAATGAAATAATGCATTAAATTTGGATTTTCAATGTGTTTCCTTATTTACCTCAAAGAGTGAAATCGACACAACAACACAATAATAAAAGTCAAAGAACCTGCATCTAAAACCAAAACGGCGAGGACTTAGCCTAATGATAACTAATCGTTTTGGACTTAGATCTAAGAACTCCTTTAAAAAACGAAGGATCATTCACTCTGCTTTCCAAAAGCAAAGGATTTTATTGATAAGATATGTTTAACCAAGCCATCCAAAGATCGGTATGAAGAGCCACCTTCTTTGAGGCAAAGATTTGCCTTCTCCATTAGCTTCAATGCTCTGTCTCTGATCTCTTCCCCTTCCTTCTCCACCATTAACAAATTAATGGTTCTTTCAATCTCAGCTCTCTCAATGCCATGCTCTATCTGCACCCCAACCTTCCAAACATGGCTCACATATCTTGCATTGGCCATTTGATCACTGAAACATGGCATGCAAATCATAGGGACCCCCTCACAAACACTCTCCAATGTAGAATTCCAACCATTGTGAGTCCAAAAGGCTCCAACTGCTGGATGAGCCAGTACTTGTTTCTGTGGAGCCCATTTCACAATGTGGCCCCTCCCATTCAAACTCTCAAGAAACCCATCAGGCAATGGTTCTGATCCATGGACTAATCCGGGTCGAACTACCCACAAGAATGGGTGGTTGCTGTTGGCTAGTCCCCAAGCTATCTCCAAAAACTGAGCTTCTTTTACTGCAGCAATGCTCCCAAAGCTAACATACACAACAGATTTCGGTGCTTGAGTGTTTAGCCATGAAATGCAACTCTGGTCTTCTTCTAATAACCCAGTTGAAGAAGAGGGTGCAGCGTCACACTTGTGAAATGGGCCTATTGGGAAAATTGGAATATTGGGGTAAGAATCTTGGCGAAGTGTGGCAAGTGCGTGTTGTTCAAGGTCTTCGAAAGTGTTGAAAATGAGTCCAGATGAGGCCTTGGGTTCATTTGCCATGTTGGTTATCAGTTGGTAAAAACTCTCAGGGTCACAAGTGTCCATTCTGGGCAGGTCTTTAACTTTGAAAGGTGACAGCTCTGTCACTGGCTCTTCTAGTCGAGAATCTAATCAATGCCAAAAACAGAAACCGAATTTATAAGTGCAAGCAATTTTAAACATTAATTTTGTTGTCTTGATATATACAGGCAAATTGCAATGAACAAAGAAAGAAAGAAACTTCGAACTTGTACCTTGTATTGGGAGGTAACCCTTTTCCTTCAAAAGTGGAAAAGCAGCATAAACAGCAAAGGAAGCGGCGCCCCCAGTCCTTAACAGAATCCTTGGGAGCTCAAAGCTCTCTGCAACTGATCGAGTGAAGTGAAGGAGAGGATCTGAGATCAAGCAAGCAACAGGGTCCTCCTCTGCATCGGATAACAAGGTAACCAAGCATTCCCTGAAAGGCTCAACACATTTAGCATTTATAAGAGAAAGAAGACGGCCAGCTTCCTTTACGGAGGCCTCAGATTCAGATAAGTCGACAGGGATTGAGTGGAAGGTGAAGTGTGGGTGGCTTGAAGGGTTGAGAGAGTTGAACTTGGTGTGGACGATGGTTATGGAGAAGCCTTTGGAGTGAAGAAGGTTGCCCAGTTCTAGCATTGGGTTTATATGGCCTTGAAATGGCAGTGGGAGAAGTATCAATCTCAGGCCTCTGCTTTGCTCCATTAGAATTCAGAATCACTGACTGTGTTTGCTTGGCTTCTGATTCTGAGATTGTTATACTCTGCTACTTGTTGAGTTCTTATAGGCAATATATTTTTCTTTATTGTGAGATTTATATGACTGGTCAACACAGGCAACCCACACCACAACCCATTGTGATTGATGGGTCAGTGGAGGGTTTGAATTCAAAGTATGATCTTTTTCTCAGCCACCGAACTCACGACTTAACTGGAAATTGCTTACTTAATAACATAAACAACACCCACGTGACCGCATATAGCGACACCCGTGTATATAAGCATACAATCACTGTACGTAGTATGATGGCAATGTTTACTAAGTCACCGAGGTGGAAGAATAGAAGTTTGCTTAGTCCAACGGGATGAAAGGTAGTTGAGGAATTGCGTTATCAATTCTCTTCCGTTATAATAAACTATTCTCTTTGCACGCATTTCCGTATTTGTGAGAGGCTTTTTATTTATTTTTTATTTATTTTAGAATTAAAAAAAGGTAATAGGTAGTTGTGTTTCATAAAAATATGATCAATTATCTTATTTTTCTTTTAATATAAAAAAAAATATGAATTTACCATATGGTGGGGGAGGTTGGGATGGGGCGGAGCGTCTGGATTTGGGGATGGGTGGCCTGAGTAAGCTTGGGTGGTGGTTAGGGTGGCTGGGGGCTAGGAGGAGAGGAGAGAGATTTTTTTTTTTTCATTTTTTTGCATTTTTAAATAGTGATTTAAATATTTTTTAAAAGTAGATAATTTTTTATTATTTGTTTTGTCCACTAGGAATCCATGTCATTAAAAAAATGGATCCCATATTCGTCATGTCAACATTTAATAGATTCACTAACGGTTTGACTAACGGAGAGGGCAATTTGTAGGGTTTCCAGGAATTTGAGTATATAATCGTAAATGTCTCTAAAATTGAGTATGAACTTGAAAATGACCCCTATAGTTTGGGAGGTTTTATGCAGTTTGTCCTAAAAGTTAACAAGCTTCCTCAACAGGCAAACAAGCCCCTCTCTCTCCCCTCCGTTTTTCTGTTTCTTTAAGTCATTGGTGATGTGAAGTTGCTTTTGTTTGGGTTATGCATTTCCAATCTCCTTTTTTGTGTTTGTGGTTTTAAGATTGTCCTGTTTCTGAACTTCTATCTATCACTCAACCTGATTGTTTCTTGCTCTTATGATGTCAATTTTGAAAGTTGAAGACTAGCTGAAGGCAATTTTGTGAATGAAAGTTTTCTTCAACTACATGGCCAATGCTTAATCTCAATGTATCTTGTTTGCCATCTGAATTCCATCAAAACAGGGATCTTCTTTTGAAGGTTGATGATCGGTTCGGGTTGTGTACGCATCAATCAATCATGGATGTTTTTGGGTTTAGTTTTTCTTAACAAGAAAATCAGTTGTTGGTTCCTTACTGTTATATGGACGATAAAACATTCAGGGTCAGCTTAGGTGTTGGCATATGTTCTTGTCTGGTAGTGATTGCTCTCTGTCTTGTATAATTGCATATATGTTGATATTATGTGGACAAATTTTGAAGGGTTTTCTTTGGCCATATATCTGATGTTCTGTTTGTTCTGGTTCCCTGTCTGCTTTACTTTTCAATTTATATGTTTCCTAAGAACATTCAACAATAAAACTTTTCTTTGAAGGACTTCTCTGCTAATTTGGGAAATCAACCAGTTAAGGGCCTTTTAATTTCAATCTGTGGCATAGATGGGTGGAGTGATAATTTGGTTAAAAGGAAATGTAGAGCAGGAGGGAGATGAAAATATTTGAGTCTTTATTCATTCACTGCTGTGCAAAACCAGAGAGAAGATTGGGTAACTAGTCCATTTAACTTACATTCCTTTTCTTTTTTTCTGCTTCCTCTCATAATGTGATGCTGTCTCCTGACAGAAGGTTTGGATTTAACAGAGATTGCATTTGACTGATTTATTCTATCATGCTACTCATCTGGATAACTAAACCAGCTCTCAATGAAAAAAAAAAGAGCCAGGTTGGAGAACACAGCTGAAATTTTGACATAATAGCTATAACAGAAAGCTGCAAATGCCATCTCATGAGGCCAGACCAAATCAATCATAGCAAAAACCGTTAGTGGGAATGTGTTGTTTTGGACCTGTTGTTGGTAGGTGTGTGTGGTGCCCCCACCTACCAATTCAACACAAAGAGGCTCCAGTTTCAAACTTTCAACTGCTGTGATAAAAAGTTGGAAGGGCTCTCAAGTTGTCCCTGAACAAAAGCAAAGCATGGAAGCAAAATACCAAAACAGGATTTCTTTATGCGCAACGCTTCTCCTCAATAATGCCTTCTCACTTTATATTTTCTCCAAACAATGGAAGCAAGCAATAGCTTTTTGCAGCTTTTCGTTTCAGTGCATTGCTGCCCATCTTTTGTAAGTTGATTAATCTTAAACATTCGGGACAGAGCAACAGATAATAATAATAATAATATAAACCCAAGCACTTGGGAATATTACCAAAAAAAAAGAAAAAGAAAGAGGTCTATTTGTTTTCTTCACCTGCATTAATAATCCATATCCATCCAAAGAAACTCTAATTTATAAAGGAAGCCATGTGCTAGCTGATAATGCAAATGCCAATGTATTTATTTATTTTTCTCTTCTCTTGGGCCCAAAACCATATTTCTTTAAGTCATGGCTGAGTGCACTAGGGACAACTCATTGGCATTGCTTTGCAATCTATGCACGTGGCTATGGAAATTTATATTCTTTGACTGCCCTTTAAAGAAATGGGGTGTTCTTTTCCGTGCGTTGTAGTTGTTAGAAATGCCTTATTTTTTATTATAGAGAAATGTGATAGTATTTTATTGATAGGAGAAAAATTAACTAGTACTTTAAACGAGTTATATTGTTGAAATTAGGTGAGTTTTTCTACACATGTGAACTTAGTTGTCGGCCTAACTAGATAGCTTTATTTTTATGTTTTTTCAATTGTGCCTTTGGCTAGAGAGATATCAAAGAGGAGATGGGCAATCCAAGCAATTCATTGGTAAGAGAAACATTGGAGAGGGTTTAAAGAGAAACAAACAAAGAAGACATTAGAAGAAAGTTGAAATTAGAACCTAAAGATATGGGTGGCATAATATTTAAAAATAACATCATCCTATATATCAAAAGTGTTGACACGTGAATACAACACTTATAGTTTAAGTGGTTAGAGCCCGCATTTCATGTCTTATAGTTCAAGTGGTTAAAGCCCACACTTCATGGCTTTAGGTTCGATTTCTCCTCTCGCAATATCACTTGTATCAAAAAGTATTTTAATTATTTTAAATAAAGGTATATATGTGAAGTGGTTATAGCAATTTGGGCTTCTTTCTCTCTTGGGCTATTTCCCCTGGTTTTGTTAACTTTGTTTTTTTTTGTTGGGCTTTAGCCTCCAGTTTGTTGCCTTGTTTCTTGAATATGGGCTGGACCCTTATTCCACAACAGTCAACAAGTAAAAAGTCACAATAGCCCCTATATTTCCATGTACGTGGATCTTATGCCACTTGGCTCTGGATCTTTTTTTTTCGCCACAACAGTCAACAAGTAAAAACTCTCTGGATTACGAAAATGCCCGTGTCTTCTCCCTACAGATTCCTCATCTTCCCTCCCAACGTACCAACGCAGAAGAGCAATTAGCCAAAGCAATTCAAACGAGTTCAATTAGCCAACAAATCAAACACTCTTTCACTCACAAATTCAGAATGTCTCTGATTCCAAGCTTCTTCGGCGGCCGAAGGACTAACGTCTTCGACCCATTCTCTCTCGACATATGGGATCCATTCCAGGACTTCCCGTTGATCAGCGGCGGTGGAGAACACGCGGATCAACTGGAAGGAGACGCCGGAGGTGCACGTGTTCAAGGCGGACCTTCCGGGGCTGAAGGAGGAGGTGAAAGTGGAGGTTGAGGAAGGAAGGGTGCTGCAGATCAGCGGAGAGAGGAGCAGAGAGGAGGAGAAGAACGACAAGTAGCAGAGGGTGGAGAGGAGCAGCGGCAAGAAGTTGTTTTCTCAACTGTAATTTGCAGCATTTGCTAGGTTTCCGTACGCCCTCCCCACCGACATTTTTCAAGCACAACCCAACTACATTTTATGATACAAAAGATGGACCATCATTTATTAAAAGGAACAGGGAAACAGAGTCTCACTTTCAATCGGTTTGCTGTTCGCTTCTGGTTTTGTAATAAAGCACACATACAAACAAATTCATGATCACTCACTCTGCTTTCCAAAAGCAAAGGATTTTATTGATAAAATATGTTTAACCAAGCCATCCAAAGATTGGTATGAAGAGCCACCTTCTTTGAGGCAAAGATTTGCCTTCTCCATTAGCTCCATTGCTCTGTCTCTGATCTCTTCCCCTTCTCTCTCCACCATTAACAAATTAATGGTTCTTTCAATCTCAGCTCTCTCGATGCCATGCTCTATCTGCACCCCAACCTTCCAAACATGGCTCACATATCTTGCATTGGCCATTTGATCAGCGAAACATGGCATGCAAATCATAGGGAGCCCCTCACAGATGCTTTCCAATGTAGAATTCCAACCATTGTGAGTCCAAAAGGCTCCAACTGCTGGATGAGCCAGTACTTGTTTCTGTGGAGCCCATTTCACAATGTGGCCCCTCCCATTCAAACTCTCAAGAAACCCATCAGGCAATGGTTCTGATCCATGGACTAATCCGGGTCGAACTACCCACAAGAATGGATGGTTGCTGTTGGCTAGTCCCCAAGCTATCTCCAAAAACTGAGCCTCTTTAACTGCAGCAATGCTCCCAAAGCTAACATACACAACAGATTTCGGTGCTTGAGTATTTAGCCATGAAATGCAACTCTGGTCTTCTGCTAATAAGCCAGTCGAAGAAGACGGTGCAGAGTCACACTTGTGAAATGGGCCTATTGGGAAAATTGGAAAATTGGGGTAAGTTTCTTGGCGAAGTGTGGCAAGTGCATGTTGTTCAAGGTCTTCGAAAGTGTTGAAAATGAGTCCAGATGAGGCCTTTGGTTCATTTGCCATGTTGGTTATCAGTTGGTAAATACTATCAGGGTCAGAATTGTCCTTCCCGGGCAGGTCTTTAACTTTGAGAGGTGACAGCTCTGTCACCGGCTCTTCTAGTCGAGAATCTAATCAAGGTCAAAAACAGAAACTAGAAATTATATAAGTTTGTCAAGTGCATGCAATTAGGCAATGAACAAAGAAAACCAAGAAAGAAACTTTGAAATTGTACCTTGAATTGGGAGGTAACCCTTTTCCTTCAAGAGTGGAAAAGCAGCATAAACAACAAGGGAAGTGGCGCCCCCAGTCCTTAGCAAAATCCTTGGGAGCTCAAAGCTCTCTGCAACTGATCGAGTGAAGTGAAAGAAAGGGTCTGAGATCAAGCAAGCAACAGGATCCTCCTCTGCATCGGATAACAAGGTAGCCAAGCATTCCCTGAAAGGCTCAACACATTTAGCGTTTAGAAGAGAAACAGGACGGCCAGCTTTTTCCGATTCAGATAAGTCGACAGGGATTGAGTGGAAGGTGAAGTGTGGGTGGCTTGAAGGGTTGAGAGAGTTGAACTTGGTGTGGACGATGGTTATGGAAAAGCCTTTGGAGTGAAGAAGGTTGCCCAGTTCTAGCATGGGGTTTATATGGCCTTGAAATGGCAGTGGGAGAAGTATCAATCTCAGGCCTCTGCTTTGCTCCATTAGAATTCAGAATCACTGACTCTGTTTACTTGGCTTCTGATTCCGAGATTGTACTTGTGAGTTCTTACAGGCAATATGTTTTTCTTTATTGTGAGAAAAGTAAGATATTTTTCTCGGCCGCTGAGCTCACGACTTACAAATTTTAGGTCCTTAGATTAATTACGTATGGCAGACTTTTCGATCAATTTGAGGCTTATCCTTTACAAACATTTAGTCACCCACAGATGGCAATGTTTGCTAACACTTGAATAAGTCAACGAGGTGGAAGAATACAAGTTGGCTTAATCCAACGGGGTGAAGCAGGTTGTCAATTCTCTTTCGCTATAATAATTTTAGAAAATAACATGCTTCTCCTCCCGCAATTATTATAGCGATATGGGCTTCTTTCTCCCTCCTTCTTTCTTGAATATGGGCTGGATCCTTATTCCACAACAGTCAATAAGTAAAAAGTCACAGTCGCTCCTTTATACCACTTGTCACAATCCAGAAAGGTCTCTCTCTGTCTCTGGAAACCTCTTCCCCCCTACAGAAAATACCAGACACTTCTCTTCGCTCCCTCCATCCTCCTGAAATATCAGGAAGGGACGAGGGACAGTAACACAATTACGAAAATGCCACTGTCTTCTCCCTATAAATATCTCATCTTCCCTACCGACGTACCAACACAGAAGAGCAATTAGCCAAAGCAATTCATACCAGTTCAATTAGCCAACGATTCAAACACTCTCACTAACAATGTCTTTGATTCCAAGCGTCTTCGGCGGCCGAAGGACTAACGTCTTCGACCCATTCTCTCTCGACATCTGGGATCCATTCCAGGACTTCCCGTTGATCAGCGGCGGTAGCAACGCAGCCTTGTCAGGACCGCGGTCGGAGCTGGCGAGCGAGACGGCGGCGGTGGCGAACACGAGGATCGACTGGAAGGAGACGCCGGAGGCGCACGTGTTCAAGGCGGACCTTCCGGGGCTGAAGAAGGAGGAGGTGAAGGTGGAGGTTGAGGAAGGAAGGGTGCTGCAGATCAGCGGAGCGAGGAGCAGAGAGAAGGAGGAGAAGAACGACAAGTGGCACAGGGTGGAGAGGAGCAGCGGCAATTTCCTGAGGCGGTTCAGGCTGCCTGAAAACGCGAAGGTGGAGGAGGTGAAGGCTAGTTTGGAGAACGGGGTGCTGACTGTGACTGTGCCCAAAGAGGAGGTGAAGAAGCCTGATGTTAAGGCCGTTGCGATTTCTGGCTAAGAAGAAGACTAGACAGGGGCATCTTTTGAGTAAAAGTATTATCGAGTGTTAATTTAAAAAAGTAAAAATAAAAAATATGACAGGCTTGCCATATTGACGTGTGTGGTGTGTTTATCTGTTAAGAAGTTTTGAGAGTTTGATGTACTCTCAGCTGTGTAATTGAGTTTTGGATCAGTAATAATAAAATAGTTTTTTGTTTTCTTTCTTCTTTTGTGTGAAAAGATAGAAATTTTAATCGATAATAATTGGAATGGAAAACATCACCGGCGAGGGTTAATTGTTAAATTATATTAACTAATTTGATTTAACGGTTAATTAGTTTTTATTTTTCATTTTTCAACTTATAAAGAGTTACGGTGGCAGGCGTGGTTCGGATTAATTGATCAAAGCAATGTGTTAATTTCTTTCTACTCAAATTCAATCTACTTCCTTGTATATTAGAATAGTTAAAGTATCGCTTGAATTTTCAAACAAAAAGGTTTGGGTAGGGTGTGCTGATTAAATTGTTGGGTGGACGCTAGAGGGAATAGAAATAGAAATGGGTTCGTGTACGTTTTGAAACTTGATTTGGAATATGAAACCCAAAAAAAATAAAAACCGAACTGGGTGTTCTGACTAAATTGGTGGGTGTCTAGAAGAATGAATGTGAAGACCGTAAAGCCGGCCCAAGAAGCGTCCTGGACGCGTCCAATTGATATTCACCGCGTCCAATCAATTGATAGATTCTTAAGCACTAAGGCATAATGGGAGAGAGAGACCAACCGCGTCCATAAATATAGGGAAATAAAAACGATATTTTTCATTATAAAACAGGCGCGTCTCCTCCTCCATATCTACATCTTCTATTATTTGCTTTTTCGTTTGCTCTAAAGTTTTCAACTGAAACAACAACAAACAGAACATGGGTGGTGGCAAGGATAAGCATCAGGACGATGAAGCTGACAGAGGGCTTTTCAGTCACCTTATACCTGGACATGGGGGTCAACACGGCTACCCACCTCAGCAGGGCTACCCACCTCAGCAGGGCTACCCGCCGCAGCAGGGCTACCCTCCACAGGGCTATCCACCGCAGCAGGGATACCCTCCACAGGGCTATCCACCGCAGCAGGGTTACCCGCCACAACAAGGCTACCCACCGGCTGGATACCCTCCCGCTGGCCATCAGGGCTCATCTGGTAAATTCATTCATTCATTCCCAAATTCTCTATGTTCATGAACTTGAAAACTATGTGTTGGGTTGGCGTTGACCCTACAATTTTAGGGTTTCGTAATTGAGATTTTATGCCTGAATTTATTGTCACTAAATGGATCCCTCCCTCAAATCATGGCTGAATGTTGTGCCTGATTGTACTTCGATTCTAGTTTTTCTCTTTTGGAGATTCTCTTGTTCCTAGTTCACGTTTTGATTTCTCGTCCAAATTAAAGTAAAATGATATCACCATTGGATGAAAAAACCCTTTATGAATTATGATGCATCAAGTAGGAAAGCCGAAAGTTTTTATTTGGTTTCTTAGAAGATTAGAACAAATCTTCTTAATTCGTGATATGGTGTCATCTGCAAAAGAAAAAGAAAATCCGGCACCAAATTAACCGGAATTGGTTTTCACGGTGTTACTTACTCCCCATGTTGCTGCAAATTTATTCAAAGAATTGTTCTTTTAATGTCGGAATTATCTTAATTAATCAATTTCCATATGCTCATATGGAGTTTGCTTAGCTTGCGGATGAGGAGCTGTTCTCTCAAGTCTCAAGTTATATATATATTTATATTAGTGATGGCTTGGTAATGTTAAAATTATAGCTGCTGTGCATGTGTTCATGTGCAAGTATGATTTGCTAAGTGGTTGTGTTGTGTTATTTGATCTTCAGGGCACCACGGCGTAGGGGGATTGCTGGCTGGTGGTGCAGCTGCTGCTGCAGCTGCTTACGGTGCTCACCATCTTACTCACGGATCATCTCACCACACTCCTAGCATTCCTGGTATTCCTGGCGGTTATGGTGGTGGTTATGGGGGTCATGGTGCTCACAATGTTGGCCACGGTTCTCACTTTTCATCACATGGCGGCGGCAAGCATGGCAAGTTCAAGCAGGGGAAATTTGGGAAGCATAAGGGCAAATTTGGCAAGCATGGTGGGGGCAAGTTCAAGAAATGGAAGTAATCCCTGTCAGTCTGCACAAACTCATCTGAAGAATTGCTGATCCTACATATATATTATGGACTAAAGATAAATAAATCAGCTATCAATTACGACATGTAGTTCGTTGGACCTTGTCATCAATTTATTTGAGCATCTTTCACTTGTGTATTTTAATTAGAAGTTACCATCTGTTTTTAATTTCTGACTCGAGTTCTATGTTGCCGCTTGATCCTTGAGCTTGGGGAGGTTTCAATGTCAACTCACTATTTTAATTTCTCCCCAACTATCCTTGCCACTGTGAGCAGCTAACCCACATGGTTATCATTCTGGTTCTGGTTTTGGAGATGCAATTGTGTAGGGGTTAACTTGAAACAAAGTGATACTTGTGTACATCTTAGTTTGGTCTTTTCTTCTTCTTCTTCCTCCTCTTTTCTTCTCTGGTTTATTTTCTGTAAAACATTTATATAATTCAGATCCTTGACTGCATTCTTGTAGGATACATAAATTGAAAATTATATAGTCTGTGAAACCCATTTTACCTGTTCTCTTCCTCCTTGTTTCAAGTTAAAGATTGAACAAGAAGGGAGAACAACTTTTTTTCTCAATCTTTCTTCTATGCAAAATAAAGACATTACAATTCTTCTGCTTCTTCGTTTCTGTTTTTGGGTGGTTAAAGGTAGGCCCAATAATATCAAAACAAACCCAAAAAGAAACGCCCATTGGGACGATACATACAGCAACCCATGTCTAATTTGATGTTTATAAGAACTCACCTAATCATGTCCAATCATATATCACATCTCCTAGGCATGGCCTTGGCCAACTTTACTAAAGCGAATGTGCTCCACAAGGCCTCTCTCTCTCTCTCCTGCTTTGAGTTGCTGTATTATGATCTGGCTTAACAACTTTACTTCTGTGTCAAACAGTAAAGATATGATTTAACCAGGAAACGTAAGAGCTTGAATTTGAAATTTTGTTTTCGCTCGAACATTTCGCCTTTTCTTTTGCATCAAATAAATATAACAATCCTTCGATTACAAACTTTTAAGGGTGATAGTATACTAAAAACACACACTATACGGATGCTAAGCTCTCTCTCTCTCTCTCTCTCTCTCCCCTGCTTTGAGTTGCTGTATGTTAACAACTTTACTTCTGTGTCAAACAGTAAAGATATGATTTAACCAGGAAACGTAAGAGCTTGAATTTGAAATTTTGTTTTCGCTCAAACATTTCGCCTTTTCTTTTGCATCAAATAAATATAACAATCCTTCGATTACGAACTTTTAAGGGTGATAGTATACTAAACACACACACTATACGGATACTAAGATTCGAACCGAGGACTTTGTTTGAGTGAGTAAATACTCCAAACTACTACTTGAACTTGGCAAGAAATACGGCCCTTCAGTTACAAACTTAAATAAATAAATAAACAATTCTAGTATATTCATCATCAACGCTTAATTATATTATTGAGGATTAAGGCATATCAAGCACCATGATTAGCAAGTAGCACGCCACTAATAATGGTGAACTGAACAAATGCATCACAGACGGCATCAACGTGAATGAATATGAAGTGTGAACCTCCCTCCATTATCTATTTTGTTGTTTGAAGATCTTTCACTTGTTTATTTGTTTTCGAGTCTCCGTGGATTATAGGATTAGAGAAACACACTTCAAATTAGACTACTAAGATTTTTCTTCATGTATTTGATATTTTTTTCTAATGATTGTGATAAGCAAAGCATCAGTGTGTTGTGTGTTTGAAGCAAAGATCATAATTCATAAGTGTCATCAACGAGAAAATAAATATAAACAAATGCTGGAGCTGATCCGGCCCAAGTTGGACCCATCAGAACGTGATTGACGGCCGGAGATGGGCCAGGGATCAAGAAAGGCTTCTTCTCTAATAAATCAAATATAAACTGTAACAACGTCACTGTCTCTTCTTTTTTCTTTTTCTTTTTTTTTGGTGGCTTGGAGCTCGTCTGTCAAAGATTTTTTTATTCATACTATATTTCCTTGTATCTTTTTTATAATATTTTCTTCGAGAATGTGTTTTGAACCCACCATGTGCTGACAACCCCTCTAATTCCACGTTCCTTGATTGGCTTGGTTGGTTGCTGGGTAAACTCAAATGCACTTCAGAGAGTATATCAAGGCTTTCCCCTAAAAAGAATCAAATTAAAGCACCAAGGTCTCCCCTCTATCAAGTGTCTGGTTTATTTTTGTATGAATAAAGTTGTCCATCCATACGGTGTTACGCATGTAGTTAATTTTGAAACAAGCGATGTAGAGAGAGGGAGGATTCGAACACAAGACCTCGGTACAAGAATAATAACTAAACTACTTGAGTTACAAGCCCCTTGCAAACATAAAGCTAATTAGCAATAAGATAAACACGAGGTTGGTTTTTAAATCTTTTTCAAATGAGCAAAACACAAATTTCACCTGTGCTATCACAGCATCCAATGCTGGAACAAAACCCTACTGCATATGTTAAAGAAGTTGGTTACTTAAATTGTTTTGTTTGCTTTTGTTTGATGATTGGTTTGGTCAAACTAAAGTAATAAAATTAAGCTCTTTCACTGTGTTAATCATGAAGGGGATAAAAAAAAATTAAAAAAAAAGGTGCCTTGGATCTTGTAAAACAAGGCATGGCAGCATGGCATAGTTTGTTTACAATTGGAGGCAGGCTTTGTCTAACTTAAAACTGTACAAACACGAGAGTGATTATGAACTAGGCAAGCTGGTTCCTTAACATGAAAGCTAGTGGGTCTAAATTTAAACTCACTGGAGGAGGCAAGCTTTTTACAACTCCTTTTTTTGTAAGGTATTGATATCTTTCCTCTTTTACTAAAGTGAGAGGGCATTCGGTTCAAATTTAAACGAAAACGAAAGAGAGATGGGAGTCGTGTGTGTGGGGGCCATAGAAATCACAAATCTGGAAAATAGAGTGCATCAAATTTTCAAACCTTCATGCAGAAGCAAAACACCACTCCGTTAATATTTGACTGAATCGTGGGAATAAAACCAAAAGATACTTATGGCAGAATGGCAGGCCATCGCCAGCAAGGACTTGTCCCTCATTGCAAGCATCAAGCATTAGAAATTGGCTTCAATGGCTTCAAAATGGGTTTAGGGCAAATGTGCTACAACTGTAACCAACTGTAGGGTACAGCTTTATCATCAGGGCCCAGTTATGATTTGCTTAGTGTTAGATTAAGAAAGACCTGTGATTAGTGAAGTAGTTAAGAACCAAAGTCTTTTTAAGCCTTTGACTGGTTGACCTAATATACACTATACAAAACCCAGCATCACAAATAAGTAATAGCTAACAGAGTACTAATCACTTTCTTATTAGTAAAATCTTACTTCCCCAAGGGATGATAATACAAAGAGGGTTGTGAATTTCACTTACAGAACAAGGAATTTAATCACCCTCACCCTCCTTTTTCCCCCCATAGAAATTTGGAACAATTAGCCAAATTTATTACAAAAAAACACCCAAAAATAAAAACACATTCTTCCTACCTACTAATAATAATACTAATCTTCCTTCTTTTATGTTCCCTTGATCTAAAAGCTATTAGCTTTAGCCCCCCACAGAAGCTGCAGCATCATCCTCCAAAAAAAAACCCTGGATATCTTCTTATTTGCTCCTAATCTAATCTCACATGCTTGAATCTCCTTCATTATAAATAATAATAAAAAACCATATATTAGAAAATCTACTTTCTTCTATAATACTTGCTTGTTGCCTTTGGAACTGAAACTAATCTGAGTTTGAGTCAGTAGGTCCACTCCTGAGGCAGGCGCACTTCATAATTCAGTGGCCCCTCTGGCCTTAATCCCCCAAGCCTTTGCTGAGCCAGCAGTGCATTTCTTCTGGCCAACAGAGCCTCTGCAATATTCAAAGTGGAAAAAATTTATTAGACTGATAGATAGATCTGAAACACCAAACGTTACATAAATGGAAAGAACGGGGCATACCATGGTCTGGGGCTAAACCGGAGTTGAAACGCGGCGGAGCTTGACTGTTCATGTCCTCAAAGTTCAAGTTGAGGGCCTGAACTACCTTGGCGGGGAGCAGAACAGTTGGGCAACCTGTAATTTAAACACAGCATGTTAAACAAAATAGTTCCAAAATGAAACAGAACGGTCCTAATCACAAATAGTTAAGAGTTCCAGAATCTCAATTTCAAAATTCAAAGAGTTCACATTAGTACCTGCTTTCTTGCGAGGCTCAGGAGCAGGGTTGGTGTATCTGCGAGGTAAGAACACGCCTGTTCCTGCACACTCCCGTTTGATATTAGATCCGTTGGGCAAAATGGGACGCACGGATGCATTGTTACGCTGTGGATGTTGATTTTGGTGTTGTTGAACTTGCAGAGGCGGCCATGCAGATTGGGGTAAACTCACACCATGCCCACATCGACCACTCTCATACCCAGGAATACTTCTCCCTCTGCTTTGGATCTGTTGCTGTTGTTGCTGATATGCTGACCAAGGAAGCTGGCCTTGTTTTCCCCAAGCTGCAGAGCACTGTGGCTTGTTGAGCACCTGGTTCTGCCTCACATGCTGAAACTGCAAATGCCCAAAAGACCCATCATGTTAGTTCACAACACAGGCGCACCAAAAAGCTCTGTTTTAGCACAAAAATGAACTGGGTTTTACCTGATTGAAGCTCTGGTTAGAGCACAGCCCAGGAGTTGGATTTTTCACACAAGGCAGGGACGAAGGACTGGGGCTCCGAGGTGGGCCCAGAAGTCCTCGGCTATGGTTGCTGAATTTGGTTGCTCCTTCAACACCATTGGTCATCTTCAACCTCGCAACTTGCCCAGCAGCTGCGTATATCAGATCCCAGGTGTCGTTCTGAGCTCCAAACGGCGACGTTGGTGGGGATGGCACCTGGGAAGAAGGGCCTGTCGGGCTTCCATTGCTTGACCAGCTCCCGATTCCGCTCAAGGTCGACTGAGGCGAGCCGGCCATGACCCACTGAGTCAACACAGTAAAACTCGGTCACTCAAAAAAGCTCAAAAATCTAAAACAAACAAGAAGAAGAAAAAATAGTAAAAACTCTGGTCAGTTATATAAGCTGCGAAAGCCTACCTCGGGCTTGTCTTTGTTGAAGTTGGGGACAGAGAGCTTCTGAGTCTGGTGAGTCTGCTGCAGCGAAGACTGAGCGAGGCGGCGAGTCAACCCAGAGAGGAAGTCCTCTTCGTCGCTGCTCTCAGTCTCAGTGGAGCCGACCACGGACTCGACAGGCGAGCTGAGGGCTGAGTTAGAGTCGGAGGAATCGAACTCGTACGGGAACTCGGTGGGGAACCGGGCGACTGATCTAACTCCGTTTTGGTGGAAGCTGTTTTCGTCCATGTTGTGCAGAACGACGTCGTCTGTTAGGAAGTGGGTGGGGAGATAGAACTCGGGATCGTCCCGTGACTCAGCCATATGAGCTAAAACTGAAAAGGGTCAGTTTAAATGGATGAGGAAACTGAAAGCAGAGAGAGAGAGAGAGAGAGAGAGAGAGATGGGTTTTGAACTTTGTGTGAGAGTGGGAGATAGTGTTGCTGGTTGGGGAAGATTTAATAATGAGAGCCCAGTTTTGAGTTTGCAGGCTGGGACCCAACAAAAACAACAGAGAGAGAGAGAGAGAGAAGGGATGGGTTGGGGCTTGAGGACGAAGTGGAAGACAAGCTGCCTTTATTAAGGTTTCAGGGTGTATTTGAGACACTGGAAAATAAAAAATAAATTAAATTAAATTATGAAAATTAAGTGAGAGAGAAAGAAGGCTCGGTCGCTGGGATTGTGCAAACAACTGGATCACTGGCCCAGTGGTTGGATACATTTGTCCTTGTATATAAACCCCACCTGCCTTTTCTCTAATTTGCCCACCTTTCTTTTAATAAATTACACATTTCATTTCAACTGAGGACTCTATATTTATACTTATCATAAAAAATGTTCATTCAGTCAGACTTTTTCCACTTACACTATATATATGATTGGAAATTGGAATGAATTGAGGAGGAGAGTCTGCAGAGATTTGTGGGTGCTTGCTTTTTACTGCTTATATAAATCAATAATTGGGTTTTTTAGATTCTTATTCTTTTGTTCAAAAAAGTTTAGGGGAGATTTGCTAGTCTCACTATCGGTGTCGAGTAGACTCATAACTTCGAGTTGAAAGAACTTACGTGTGGCACTCAACTGCCAGTTGTCACAAGTATGGATTTATGTGAAAAATTACAAATCGCACACCAATAAGAACTACTGACAGCGAAACTCGAACACTAATAGAGCTACGCACCGTGCAAAGACCTTACCAACTGAATACAAGTAAGCCATTGGCCAAGGATTGGGTTTATACTTTGTTTTAAGGGGTTTATCTTAAGACATGCAATGACACAAAGAAAAACAAAATGAAACAACAAAATAGCATATTGGCAACACTTTCTACTTGATTCTATTTATTGACTTGTTACTAATCTTAATCATTATGAAGTGACCTCTCTACAATTAATTTATTATTTTTATATTATAAATGATATCAGAGAATCGGAAATTTGATTACATAATCTAAAGAGTAGACGAATAAATGCTTTGAACCACTTAAATTACGAACTCGTTGTATTTTATATGTATTTTTAAGATAACATCAAAACCCCAACATTATATTTTGTGTCGCTATTAAGACGAGGGATACCAAAAGCATCATTGCAATGAAGTCAACTGAGGTTGTTTACAAAATACCTTTCTTTTTTTCCCACTATTGTTGATTAAGAGCCATTAACCATGTCCATTAACATTAATGTCAATCTCAAAGATACTAGTCGCTAATTTACTTGACTGGCTGTTGGTAGCTAGAGATGGCAAACTATATACAAATACAATAGATCATGCAATGTCTTCTCTTAATTTCAACAGCTACAATATGTCAATTCTTCCCAAATTAGAGACCAATAATAAGTGATCACCTAAGCAACTACCTTCCAAGTTCAAATTCAACTCAATGGCATGAAGAATTCAAAAGTTTCTCTTGTAATAATATTCTAGAAGATTTGCATAACACAATTGATATTAAATGTATCGAGATTTAATTGTTATTGATTTTACATAATCTAATCTTCGTTATATTACGAAGAAATTAAGAGATTGATACTAATTTTTCAGAAGTAATATTTCTCGGTGGACGATCCCGACGCAAATCGGATTCAAATCTCACTGACATTCAAACCTTAAATCCTTTTCCTTTTGCTGCTTTAATTACCTTTTGTTGTTGATTAAGATGATTTAGCAGTGGAACCCACGACGTAATTTTATCCAAAATTTGGTGTCCTTTGGTCACTGCTCTGCTGCATTCTTCCCTCTTTTTCTTTTTCTCTCTCGACAAAATTAATTATTCAACTTTGTTGTCATTAATTAAAGTAGCAGACATAATCATTTAATTAGCCTTCTAATGTTGATGATTTGCTATTATTATTTTGTTTTCTTCGCCTTTGCCTGACATGATCAACATCTCTGCCCAGTAATTTTTTTTTTTTGCTGCCATGCCAAGATCCAAGGTTTAATCCAATGGAGAGTGATGCTGACCTCACGACTGCTTTTTCCTCGCACATCCAACATTTGCAAGTGGCTACAATCGATTTAAGGTTGTACAATACAACTATTTTGGGTCCATCATGAACAATTTGATTCACTGTAATAACCAATAGCGGAATTAGGAGTTTTAGATTCAATGAGAATTTAACATATGACTTCAAATGTAAACAAACACACTGACAGACCCAACATATGCCAACTAGGGGCTATTGCCCTGCTCCCAACCACTCGTTATTTTATAAATATTTTCTTCTACGCTTCTATGATACATAATCTTGTCCATGCTATATACGACCTTTTTACATACAAATGAATTAGCCCCACAAATAGCAATACTTAGAGGGACATTTAAACTGTTTTTGTCTGTTTCCCCTTCCACTAATTATGGGTTTGCTTTGCTTTTTATTTGTATGTTTATGTTATATTTATTAAATATGTATATATATATATATATTGTCCCATTCTATTGATTGACGTCTTTTAGGGTACTTTATAAATTTGTTTTCAACGATCCAAACAATCTATTTTTTAAGTCTATATTCATAGATAATCCTTGTAAAAAATTAGACAAATCATAAACCGTTTTGACATCCAATTGTATCATACAAAATCAATGAATTAAGAAAATCCTAAAATTTCAATAACACAATTGAGTGATCAAATGATATTGGATTCAAATGATTTTTTTGTAGAGATGATCCCTCAAATAAGCTAATTTGGCCATATATATATTATTACAATTTACTGTAAGCAATTTCACCCATTCAAAGTTAAATTATGAGTTCGCCACTGTGTAAAGGTAAATACTTTTAGCCCCTTCACATCAATACTAACATAATCATTTACTTAAGGAGACTTTGTAGTTTAGGATAGAGCTAAAGCTATACCTCCAGTGACCGTGGCATTAGAGCATTTCCAGCACACCCCCCAACCCGGGCAAGAGGGGGCCTAGGCCCATAAAGCAGTTCTTAGCGGTACAAAACGGCCCAGGCAAGTTGTGGGCTCCACCAGGCCCGAAGGTAAGAAAAGCTCGAGCCGTTGTTCGAGGGTTGTGACATTAGCAACGGAAAAAAAAAACAAAAAATCTTTAAAAAACAAAAAATTTCAGATTTTTTTATTTTATAAATACTTAGCCATATTTTTCAATTCTCATACGACAACTCTATACAAATTCCTCTCCTCATATCTCATGTAAATAATAGTTGTCATGACAATGGGTGGAAAACCAACAAAAAAATGGTTCGGGGAGGAATGCTAGCAACCTTGTCTTTAACCTTCTCCTTCGGACATTCTCCATTTTTTGTTTGACATGTGTCATTCTCCTTACACTTGAAACAATGTCATTAATATATTATACAAACTAACTTTTGCTTTCCAAGTTTACCCTTATTAAATGTATTCAATTTATCCAAACAAATTTCACAACTTTCTTACCATCTTATTAAAAAATTTAACATCAATTATTTTTTTGAAATAAATTTTTTGCTTAAAAAAAAAAAAGAGGAAATGTCCTTTTTAAAAATATATATATATAAATTTGAAGTTTAAAAAAAGGGGGACATTTCCTTTTTATTTTTTATTTTTTAAAGCATACATTTTCTTAAATAAAAAAAAATTATCATTTAAAAAATATATATATATATATGGTAAGAAAGTTGTGAATATTTTTTGGATAAATTGAATACATTTAATAAGGGTAAACTTGAAAAACAAAAGTTAGTTTGTATAATATAAGGATAAGATCAGGCCCCACCCTCGCCAAGTCACCGTCAAAAATTACGAAAAGAACCCTCCTGTACGTTAAGTACATATCAAATTGAAAATTAAATGTTTAATGATTTAAATTAATGACCTGCTTGAGCGATTAGGCCGTAAGAAATTGCCAGCTCAGCCGGGTGTTCCCGCCAAACCTTTCGAATTTCCCGCCTGGAGATTCAACTGCTGCGTCACTGTCAAACGTCGAGGAGTAAGTAGAATGATGTTGCAATATTTTTATTTATCGTCGTTCGAAATTTGAACTCAACGGCCAGATTTCGCTTCCATCCATCTGTTTCTCAAAGTCCATTTTCCCACTACCATCCAAAACCCTCCTCCTCCTGTTTTGTGGACATATTCTTCCGTTGCCTCGTATCTCGCCTTTTCTCTTCCTTTTCTGATTCGTTTTTTTTTAAATTTAAATTTGAACACAAATGAAAATCACTGTCTGTATGCAGTGTTAGAAAGCTTTCTTATAAAAATGTGACCCATGTTGTTGAGTGACAGCCTATTTTAGTATGTTGTTTCAAATTAGGTCAACTTGAGTTTGGCAAGTTGGCAACCAACTACACAATTATTTGACCTTTTGCCTACAGGGTTAAAACGTCAGTCAACTTCACATTCCATTCTTTGTTGTCTTGTCACTATAATTTGTCAAACCAAATTCTTTGTTCGCATAATTATAGACATGATTGACTCCATAATTTCGAATCACAATTCGGTTATTACCATGTCACACTAATGTGATTGCATTCATGTATTAGAGAAGCGTGTACAAAAATAGTATATGGTATGAGATCAGTTCATCTGAGTCTGACTGTATTTTTAGTGGCGTACCAAAATGAATAATTAAGATATTCGAAATCGAATTAACGGAGTGCGTTACTAACTTGTCAACCATGTATGTATATAACAATGGCTTATAATGAGCCTCGACTGAAGTAACATTAAGATTGAGACAAAGACTTTGAAATATAGGTTCAAATTTGGAAAAGGAAAAGTCATATAAAAGAATATGCTGGGTAGGTTCTTAATGATGGGGATTTATAGGGAGAAGGTGAATGTGGGTGGTGCGTATAATTAAGGGCAGCTACCTCACAAACAATTGGAGTAAATGGTAAGCCTTCTTTCTTGAAAGCAATTATGAGAGATCAACCACGTGTCCTCTCAACCTCTGCGCTGGCAATTTCAATAGCAGCTATGGGGCCCCCATATGTAGAAACTATACAATGCAAAATATACGAGTAAACTAACCCCAACTAATTTGTTTTCTTCGGTATTTAAAGGCCTGGGTTTCCTTTTTGGTGAAAGAGACCCACGCCGGAGGAAAAACAAGAGCCCCAGATGGAGATTTGTTTACTCTCTCCTCCACCCCTGTTGTGTTCTGTCTTCTGTCTTGTGTTCGTGTTCATGTTCAAATGGTGGTGTACGTACGGCAATGCATCATGGAGTGTGATGGCGACAAGTGGCACCCATAATGCTGTCCTTTTTAAGATTTTGTTGCCTAATTTTCAAAATTCGAATAATTGGATCGACTAGGACCCGCACCACCACCACCACCCACTCTCTCTCATGTCACATGCATACTATGCTATTTTGATTATATTCAAAGATTCAAAGATTTGTGTTAGGAATTTGAAATTATGACGGACAAGAGAGGAAGCTACCATTTCACTCAATCAAGGCAAAAGGAAAGCACCAGGAGCAGCATCACGATTCACATGCCCTGGTCAATGGTCAAACCATCGGGAAGCGTGATGGACTTGGTCCAATGGTGCACCATACCATACGGCTAAGTTTTAACTAAAATTTGTCTTGCTTATGTGTTCTCTTAAAAGGTTTATAGTTTTATACGTTGTCAAAGTTCGACTCTCGTTTTCTCCCTCGTTCATCTTTTACCTTTAGATAAAAAAAAGAAAAAAAGAAAAAGAATTACATGTGAGTAACTAGCTAGAGGGTGAGGCTAGCACATGCAAAAGTTGTTACACTATGATCCACCTTCAAATGGAGTGGGCTAGTAGCCAAAATAAAAATATGAAATGACTCACCAGATCACATGCTCATACCCGTTACTTTAAAAGATAATAATAATAAGCACTGCGTTATTGCGGGATGAATGATCAAACCTTCCAAACATAGATTCTTAAATCCTTTTGGGTCATAAAAATTGCATTCGTTGAATTTGGGTTTGTGATGAGAATTTGCTGAAATTGAAATTTGGATAGTCAAAAGAATATGAAAGTAATTATTGTGGATATTGACATTGAATTTGGACCTTAATTTATCACAAGGCGAATTTTTTTGATATGAAAACTTGACGGTGCGTGTCTAATGTGAGACAGAAATGCATGAGAGCGAACGCACATGCTTTCTTTGTACCTTTTGATTAGGCAAGCACATTCCCTCTGGACTAAATAAAAGTCCCTAGAGAGATAGAGACCATCTCAGTCTCGGTGGGCAAGTAGGCACAGCTGTGCACACCTTCATCTGCTTTGGTTTTGGTTTGTTGTTTTGTTTCGTGATTGTCATCTTCTTCAGACTCAAACAAAGAATTCAAGATTACAAACCCTTCAACGCATTTAATTTGTATCAGAGTCGTATAACTCAAGTGGTTAAAAGTATTTATGCTTATAGCTATAATCGCAGTCAAAATAAAATCAATTCCCCGATGATTGTCTGAGCTTAAAACCTATACTCGGGAAAAGAAGAATATTAACATAGAATATGTGACTATGTTGTACTTTCTAGTTTGACCGACATAGTTGGCTTGGAACTAGATAACAGCATGGGTTGCCATTCTTTTTCAAAGGAAGGAAAAAGAAGCACAGCTGGCTAGACATAGAATAGAATAGAAACCATATTGCCATATAAACTGACACAGTGACACAAAATACCAAGTTATGGGGTGTGGGTATGGACTATGGAGAGACATGTTTCATTGTTCTCCGGGAAAAGCCTAATCTGTCGGAATCTTTGTTTTCTCATATTCTTGGAACTATATGTGTGTGTATATATATATATATATATATATATATTTGCCAGTGCACTTTTGCATCACCTCCCTTTGACCTAAACTCAATCTTCCATGTCTCTGCAACATATTCCATTTTCACCCTAGATTAATCGAAGGCACATTGTTTATAGGGTAGTGTTTGTTTAGCCTCAATTATTAATTCAAACCATTGTTTAAAGTTGAGTTTATTAGGACAAGACATGGGTAAGTGGCGTCTCAAATGTTGCAAATTAAGTACCCTAAATCGAGGATTAAACTATAAAACACAGCTTGGATAATTGGTTTCTCTACGTGCACACGTGCGTGTGTGTGTGTCTCCCAAGGTCGGCAGGCACTTTCACATATTGTCTAGAACATGCATGATGCATTTAGGCCCACACCACAGGAGCATATAGACGTACATGGTCACACGAAGTCCACATGAAACTAGTTTATGGCTCAAGCATGCTTTAACTTGAATAATAATTGCAGGGCTACATTTACAATTCTGACGAGGAGCGCATGAACTCAGAAGAACTAAGATGAAGTTGACACGAAAACGATGGCTACATGAGTCGCATGCGTGTATTAAAGCCAAGTGCCTCCGGCTCGAGAAAAACTTACCTATCCCTTGTTTTCATATTATGAGAGAATCATATAAAACATGTTACATGAAAGTTTTACTCCTCCAGCCCCCTATGACTATGGCCTAGAATTTTGAAAATTTGCAGTTGAATCACAACACAAGTAGAGTCTGAAAATTTCAAGTGCATCCAGTCCATTATGGTCGTTTTTCTTTTATAAAATTATAACTTGAAATAATAAAAATGAAGGCAGAAAACCAGGAAGGGTCCTGTGAATTTCATTTATTGAGCCTTTAGAATCTGTATGGAGAGGGCTCGAAATAGAAAATACATACATGTATGTTACATGATATACAATTAATCGGGGCGTATACGTGGTGTGCATGTTATCTTAAGTGCACAACCAAATCCTCTGCTCAATAATACTGAGAGAGTTTTCAATGAATAATCGACTAACAATTTTCCCCCCTTTTATAGTACATGTTATACGTGAATCAACTTGTAATATATAGGGGATCCAATAATAGATGTCAACGGCAATCGATATTGTCACGAGCGGGACGTTGAATTAAGGGGCTATTTTGCTTCCCACTCCTCTTCAAAGATATCTGCATGGAAATCCCATACGAAATTAGTGATTGAGAGTATCTTGCCATTATTGGGGTGCATGCAAAAGTGCTTTCATTAGAAGTTTCTTTATATGAATCTTGTGATCTACAAAACTTCCTGAGTTGACTTTTTCAGGATATCAGCAGATATTGGCTCTGTAAACGGGTGGAAAGAGTCTTCACCACCGGTGCATTATGGAAAGAATTATGGATATTCATTACTAAAATGGATGTAACGGGTTTCCTACAAATGTTAGGTGCCCATCTCCATGTTTGAGCCAACAACCTAGCGATTTAATAATCTCAATGTACTTAAATGACAAGGGAGACACACAACAAGGTCAAGGCTGATTTCGGATTACCAAGAGAAGATCCTCATCAGTGCCAAACGATTTCCGGGCTTCTTCTAAGCATGTTGATGACACCCGCTCGTGTTTCCTGCACAGTTTATCCGAAGGGGCGCTTATATAAGCTAAAAGAACTTTGGACCACAATAAAACATGAGATTAGTAATTGACAGCCAAATAGAACAGTTCAAAAGTTCACCCAGCCTAAAAGAATGCACATGTAAGCAGAGACTTGTGTGAGTAGATTTTTTTATCAACGACTACTCCCATGAAAAACCAAACTCATTGACTTCTTCAGCACTATCAACTATATTCAAGCATAATACAGCCTTTCTCAGTAACATTTGCAGGCTTAATGAACATAGATCTTCGTAACTGTTCTTATGATGAACTCAGTGTAAACTTATTACATGAATTAACATAATTTTTGTAGCTGGACATTAGAAATCACAAATGCTGGATCGTTAAAGAAGCCTCTCTAACAGTTTGACAAACATAAGGAAGTTTCTACTTTTGACGCCCGTCTTACTGGAAGAAATTTGTTAGCATGGCATGTTCTTAACGGTATAATATCCCACAAATTTCAAGAAGTTTTTGGAGTCAGATAATCACCAAATTGATAGGTCTATCATCATGATTTATACCCATCAGAAATTTCAACATGAATGAGGATGGCCCAAACACATGAATAGAAAGATAACATAACAGCTTTTCTTCTTCTTACCCACACCCTGGGCCCCCAAAAAGACAAAAGAGTTGCAATGAAGATACCTTGAACAGGCCGGATCTCTAATCTCAAACTCATCTGTAGCAGAGTCATACCCACATATGATGACATAGTGACCTAACAAAAACAATAAACTATCCAGCAATTAATTCATCTAAACATGCAACCTTCTTTAAAAAGAGGTGGGGAGCAAAAATGATTAATCACGGGATGCATAAAGAAGATCTTTCATCCCAGCAAAGAGCACTTATTCAAGTTAAATTATGATTCTATAAAAGTATTTATGTCCACTTTTTCTTTCTTTTGCCCAAGTTATGCATGTACAGCAGATCTATCCATCTCCCCCCATAAAGTTGAAAATAAAAAGAAATCACAACCCTGAAGCACCTTCTTTACATTGTCACAAACAAAAGGCACAATCATGTCAGTCTCAACATTGTGCAGGGAAAGAAGTTTAATTCAGATTCTAACAGAACCAGTGTAACCAAACATGACAGTCCTACCTGTGTAACCAGAGTTGCTTCCATAAAAGTCTGAGACAAAAACATCGTCCGAACAAGACCGACTGTGACACAATTTTGACAGAAATATTTAACATTAGCCCAGAACTTCGATTTTTAACATGTATCTCATACATTCCAATCAAGGGGAAAAAAAGAAAGAAGAGAGTACAAGAAATTTGAACCTCAATTTATACTGATCAACCAATACAATGGCAATGTATTTTCCACACAAAATCAAGAAACAAATTTCTTCTCGACTGATTGACCTGCACTGTAAAGAAAAAAAGGTTTATTGGAACATGAACATTATGAATAAAAAGGATGTCCGACTCTTGATTTGGGAAGAGATCAACAAGAGCTGAAATTATGGTCTATATGTTAGCTTTTTGCGGCTAAGCTAACAATTATACCTGTATACTAACTCCAGCTTCCCGTGCTTTCTGAAATAGTGTATCCACTCGCGCAAGATCATTAGGTAATTGCTCCTGCAGAATAAATGAACCGAAACTTTGTGTATCAATGTGTGAACAAGTATATGAAAGAAGAAAGTGAAACAACATGACAAGTTCATGTGAAACAACAATCTTTATATCCAAAACATTTTCTTTGGATAAATAAAATGAAATGTCCAAATTCTCATTTATTTTACATACCAAACACAAAAAGTAGCATTTGCAAACCATCCAGAAATAGGTGGCACCCATTGCTAAAGATTAAAATTTCAGCTAATACCAGGAAATCGTGACAGCTAAAGATCTTGCTTATGCAGTTTGGGTCCTCAAGTCATATGATATATGCATATATAATTCATAGACAATTAAGCTAAGAAATGCATTCTGGAACTTGAAAACAGCCAATATGGTCTAGTTCACACGCACCAGCAAGAAATACTGTCATTTAAATACTTCGTTATTTTAAATTCAGAAAATCACCTTGTAAAATGTCTCGCCAGAATAATTTGGGTTTGCTCCAAATGTCACCGTGTAGTAGGAAAAACTGATAGAGAACTTCTGTAATAAATATGCTAGATCAACGGTCCAAATGCTGCAAACAATATGTTAGCATGCAGATATATCATATAAGCTTATATTGAATATGTGACTGATGTATCAAGTAGGAATCTACCTGCAACTTTTAGCAACAAGAAGGTATCAAGCATTCTTATGATACTCCATACCTATTCCAACTTCACAACAAATTTGTATGAAAATACAAGGGGGGAGGGGGGAACATTCAGTCATCTGTTGTTTGAAAATTGAATAAAAGAGGACAAGTATTGCTTGTTACCTCATTTCTGCAAGACAATGCATAAGCTATAGCCTACAGCATGCCCTTATGTAAATAAGATCTTTTAGGAAAGAACAAATTAATCTAGTAATACACATAAGAATCTAGCATTTTAAACACTAGGTCGAGACTTGAGGAAGGGCTTTCATTCGTCTACACTTTATATCTTTGCCAATCTCAAAAGTCAGAATCCTATAATCATCGATCAAATTCTTACGAGCAATACTCAAAGGAACGTATATAACAGACTATCAGAGAAGGAATTGAAGTTCTGACTCTGTAAAGAAGGGAGCACCTAGTTGTGCAACATAGTTCTGCCAATGTCTGAATATCGCAGCTGTCTATGCCAACAGTCCGAAAAACCATCACAAGGCAGGCGAGGCCGCAATCCCAAGAATGCAGCTGATTAATGTGTGGGACCTATAAGCACCAAGACAAGTAAACAAATTAAAACTAACACCACACTTTAATGAATTCAAATCCATTGGTATCAGAGTCCAGAATGAACAAGTTATCAATAAGAAAGGTAGGGACAGAATGGCAATGCACTCACTTCAACAAAGTGTGAACATGGCAAGGCAGCAACATGGCATTTACCATTACTCGATGACTGCCCACAAGGGAATGATTCAACGAAACTTGAATGTTCTCCATCTGATTCTTCTTCATCTTCCGCCTTAATAATATTATTGAACAGTAAACATGAAGGCCACATGAATGACCAATTCAGCTATGGTTTTTCACCACCACACTAATGCTCAGACATTTAAATACTCAAAGCGGTTATTTCACTCGGTAGCCCTGTAATGTAGTTCCCCCAAATTATTTAAAGGGTGTATATATATCTCTGCAACCTGTTCCAGTTTGAACATACAAAAACATCAGGTTTCTGGACTAAACAACAAAAAGAAAAGCGAGATCAATTTCTCCAACTGTGAAAAACATGTCGAAATCAAACAATATGCATTTACTATTTCCAGGGAACGACTATGATTTGAGAGCTTCAGTGAGACTATTTAGTTCTAATACAATTGAGAATCTGAGACAGAATAAAGCTGAGTTTGGACATCCATGAACCAATATTGGGTCGTCAGCATACTAAACAACAAAAAGAAAAGCGAGATCAATTTCTCCAACTGTGAAAAACATGTCGTAATCAAACAATATGCATTTACTATTTCCAGGGAACGACTATGATTTGAGAGCTTCAGTAAGACTATTTAGTTCTAATACAATTGAGAATCTGAGACAGAATTAAGCTGAGTTTGGACATCCATGAACCATATTGGGTCGTCAGCATACTAAAAAACAAAAAGAAAAGCGAGATCAATTTCTCCAACTGTGAAAAACATGTCGTAATCAAACAATATGCATTTACTATTTCCAGGGAACGACTACGATTTGAGAGCTTCAGTAAGACTATTTAGTTCTAATACAATTGAGAATCTGAGACAGAATTAAGCTGAGTTTGGACATCCATGAACCAATATTGGGTCGTCTGCATACAGAAATTTTTGGCTCTGACACTTTTTTTTTACAATCAACTATTCAATTTAAAACCCAAAGGTGAAGCTGATACACATCATTCAGAGGGGGAACTCAGGGTTTCTTATATTAAAATGAAGCTAAAGGAGGTTCACAAGAACGTATCTTTACACACTCTGACGAGTTAGATAAGAAATCATCAAATATAAGTTATAGAACTGAAAACCTGCACGAAATCGATTGAATTTCCACAATCAAAACGGTCGAAAAATTGAGCAAAGAGCTCAACTTTTACATCTAAATCAACCAATTGAATAAGATAACAAGGAAATGAACAGCATCAACAATAATAGAGCTGAATAGTTCATCAAAACAAGACATCAAAGCTTAATATTTTGCAATCCAAGATATCAAAATGAAGGCGCTGCCGGTGGGTAAAGTAATTCAGCTACAGCTTCATCAGATCAAAATCCAATCATTTCTGAGAATAATAAATTGTGCAGCAAATGATTAAAAAAGACAAAACCTTTGCGGAAAAGATAAGAAAGAAGGAGAAAGACGCGATCTACACTTCGGATTCCTTGTCTGGCTTCTGTCCCTGTCCGATTGGATCCAGCCTGGAAATATTCAGATTCTAAATTCTATATGTCCTGTATTTTTTATCTTTTTTGGAGTTGTTAAATATATTTTGGTTTTGTTTGATCGAAAGAAGAAATTTTGGTTTTATTTTTCGTTGTTTCTAAAAAAATCATAATTCCATTTTGGGCTGACGGATATTGGGTTTGGTGGCAAGTGGACAAGTAGGACTGTGGAAGAGAGAAGATGAAGAAGGCCCAATGATGTCTATTTTGTACTCAAGCTGATGGGCTATGAGACGAAGGGGAGGACATCGCCTAGTGTAATTTTGCATAAAGACATCCAAATTGTCCTAATTAATAGAAAGTTTCCTAACACAACTCTTATCATTTATTAGTGTAGTGGTTTGTAGCAATTGTTCATTTAGGAGAGTCCTTAAATTCGAGTCTCATCCTTGAATAGAAGAAGAGACTACCAGCTCATCTTGGATCAAATGCTGATTCTTAACATTTGTGAAGTGTGTGTGATTATTGTCTATCTCAATATGAAATGTTTTAAAAAAAACAAAAAATACGTAAAATAATAGCTTATTATATGTAAATAATTAAAAAACCAAAAAGAAATAAAAGTCCATGTCTGACAATATTTAAAAAAAAACATGGATATTAGACGAAATAAAAAATATATAATAAAACAAACTGATTGACACCCGTGATTGCAGCGGAGAAGCCAAAACTATTTGTTCTGGTTGTTCTTATTTTGTAAGTACATGCTATTTATTCAAACCGCCAGAGAGTCCGGTGTATATAAATGAGACAGGCTCCTAACTTCCCCAGCCTGCAAAGTCTGCCACTTGCAGGCCTATTCAAATTTAAATTGTTTTGAATGTTAGGGCCCAAAAGAAGAAAAAAGAAAGGAAAAGTAAAGCCTCATCTCTTTTGCACATGAACATTGGCCTCATCTCTTTTGCACATGAACATTGGCCTCATGGCAAACTAAGCGTCTCAGATTTAGTGATAGCTTCGTGAAATTAGATAAGCTCAGCCCCTCCTCCCTCTGATTCTATAGTTTTAGATGTTTTTTTTTCTGGTGTCTCAGAAGTTAGTTTTAAAATTTGAAACTGTACGAGTATCTGTGAGGACTGTACATTACATTTACATGCTAGTATGCTACATGTTTAATGTCAACACTCAACGTTGAAAGAAAAAGGAGGGAAATGAATGCGCAAAGAAAATGCAGCAACTGTAGAAAAGCAACCAGTACCACATAACATAAAAAACCAAAAGTCAAAGATTTTAGCTTGTTGCTTTCGCCGTCACAAACGGCTATATACACAGTGCATGCCATATGCTTTTTGCTTTTCTGAGCTCATTGGTTTATTTTTGCAGTTGGGGTCTTGAATTTTCAGTGCTCTTGCTCCTCCTGCTGTTCAGTCATCATACTTCATAAACACTTGTGGGTCTTTCTTGCCCTGAGGAGGCCCTTTCTCCCTCCTTTAAAATAATTAAAAAAAAAATCTGTTTCTGTTGGAAGTTGGAAGTTGAAATTCAAAATATAAATATAACTTAAAAGAGTTTTAATAAGAACATGAAAGCCTCCCGACTCTTTTGAACAATTTATATTGTACTAACTTTTCTGCACATATTGAACTTTTCTGTAAGAAGATGGGCCAACTTTTCTCAAACACAAAGATGAATTTTGCAGCTAAATTAATCTTAACTGTGGGATTTTCACTTTTTACTAAAATTCAAGCATAAAGGCCAAAAAGATGGTTTAGAAGGTGATTAGAATAGTATCAGGGAGAGAGTCATATTCTACAAGGTGCTTTTTGCAACAGCCGATGGACCATTCGTCCTACACCACCTACCCTCCCCTCCCTAAAACGGCTACCTATTCAAATTTCGATGATGGTAAATTACCAAACCACCCTCCATCTGCCTTCACTCAATACTCTGCCCTCACCTAATTACACAATATTTGTTTATAAAAGGCAGTAACCATGAGCATTATGATTTCTAGCCATTAAAAGAAATTCATAAACTTTACTGATTAATATAAATATAGCAATTATATTTGCGTTTTGGGCAGTCCATGGTGGTGGCCTATATCATCAATCTGGTCACCATTAATTGAACATTGCTATGTGATTATGTGGGTTGGTCACTTGGTGTACCCATACTACTATGCAAATGAAGAAAAAAACACCAGAGATTAAAAGATACCTGTTGGGCCAGGTTAGGTCTGGTTTTTTTTAGGCTAAAGCAACAGACTTCCTTCCCCTCACTGTTAAACCACACTGGTTGATTTGATGGACTGGAAGGAAAAATGCAAAACCAGGCATTTAATTAAGATCATCAAATTTCAATCTTGACCTAACCCACCTGTTCCATTTAATTTCATGTTATGATCTTCATTTTTCCATTTCCTTTTTTCTAAGAAAATTATGAAAACAATGCACATGATCTCAGTAGTACAAAGCTATATAAAAAGACCATGCATAGGCCAGAGGGTGAGTTTGTAATTTCAAATTCACAAATCCGTACGCTGTCATCTACATGGTCCTATATTTTAATAATATTTTTTGAACGTATTCTGTCCTCAGAGAGTGAAAGACAAAGAGAGAGAAGGATGGAAGAAAAGAGACGTTGGTATGGCATGTGACAATTGGCAGTTACCCTCATGAGTCGTGAACTTCAAACTCAAATCAAATTTAGAAAGGAGTGGAGAATAAAGGCATAACAAAGAGAAAGAGACCCCATATCCCCTCCTTGCAGCTTGAGTGGTTCCATTGCAACCTCTGTTACTGTTACTCTGTGGCTAGCAATCATGACCACTTCAGTTCCTGAATAAATCCTCCATAAAATTCAAAACTCATCTCGCAATTCTTCTGTAAGCTTCAATTGTACAGCTCAAAAGTCTAAATCTATGCTGGAACAACTTGGAGGATCAAGTTCATAACTAAAGCAGCTGAGCTAGCTACACACTGGCTCAATTTATTTGCTTTCCTTGTGCAGCTCAAGCATTTTCAGAAGTTGAAAAGATGGAAGCTTTGGTCAAGAAAAGGGAGAATTTACAGAAAAAAAGAACTGGGTTCGTCAAGTCTTTGGCTGATAATGGGGCTGGAAGTGAGTCACTCACCGATTCGAGTGGTGAGTCCAGGGAGAGCAGTTCGAGTAGATCGAGCTCTGAGACTTCCACTGAGGAAGTGAAAAGAAAAGGGCCTTCATCACCGCCTCTGTTGGGCTGGCCTATAAGAAAAGCTGAACTGTGCAAAAATTCGGTTGCTGCAGATGTGGGTGAAACAGAACAAAAAGCCCATGCTGATGATTCGAAGTTTAAGGATTTGGCTTCGAAAATTGCAGGTTAGATTTATTTTTCTGCAATTTGTGCTTCACTTGGTTGCCAAGAGTTGTAATATTTTTTTTTGAAACAGAAGGTCAACATTCAAAAATTTGAAACTTTACTATGTTTTCAACCCCACCTCTTTTCTTTAGCTTAATACAACTTCTTTAAAGAAAAAAATGCAAAAAGTTTATAACTTTTTCCTTTATATTACTAGCAACCAAATAAAAGGTTATTAGAATCCCATGTGACTTATTATGCTTATTTTTCCTTTTTGTAATCCTTCTGCGTTGTTGAAAATTCAAACAGAGATGGATATGATGAGAGAGAGATTTTCAAAATTGTTGCTTGGGGAAGACATGTCAGGGTCTGGTAAAGGGGTTTGCACAGCGATGGCTATTTCAAATGCCATTACGAATCTTTGTGGTATGTTCATCCTCTCAGTCCCTGGAATCGGTTTATAGCACAGTAGGGTTCAATTACTTCATATTGCAATTTTTTTTTCTTTTGGTTTTTCAATTAATTCAAATTTTATACGACATGAAGCTTCCATTTTTGGGCAACTGTGGAGATTGGAACCCTTGCCTGCTGAAAAGAAATCAATGTGGAGAAGAGAGATGGAATGGCTAATTTGTGTTAGTGATCATATTGTCGAATTGATACCCTCTTGGCAAACATTTCCTGATGGAAAAAAGCTAGAGGTAATCCTTCCTACAGTCTTAATTCTGCTCAGAATTGTGATTATAAAACATCAAAGATATTGCTTTATCTATCCTGTTTGTTAGGAAGACAGAAAAATTAAAATTAATAATTTGAAGCTTTGATGTTTCACATCACTATGCCCTGAGAATAATTCTGCCTTGGTCTTCGTTCAAATTCAATTACCAAACTTTCTCGTATCCCCATTTCATTATGACTTGGTAAACAAATGTGAAAAATCTCAAATGGAAAACCGGTGGCAAAAACATGACAATCAATCTAATGTTTCTTGTTTCTTACTGTTGGTGCATTCTGTAGGTCATGACTTGCAGGCCCAGATCAGATCTTTTTATGAATCTGCCAGCACTGCGTAAGCTAGACAATATGCTTCTTGTGAGTTCTAACCTTGATTGTTTCATAATGTACTGTTTTCATTTTTGGAAGTCATTATGATTTCAAGGAGCCTTTTTTTGTCTTTTCTAATGTAGGACATATTAGATAGTTTCACCAATACAGAGTTCTGGTATGTCGATCAAGGAGTTATAGCACCAGAAGCAGATGGCTCAGCCTCTTTCCGCAAAACACTCCAACGGCAAGAGGAGAAGTGGTGGCTACCTGTACCTCGTGTGGCAGCCGATGGTCTCAGTGAAAATTCAAGAAAGCAGTTGCATCACACACGGGAATGCACAAATCAAATACTAAAAGCTGCTATGGCTATCAACAGCATTACTCTAGCAGAAATGGAAGTTCCAGAGTCGTACATGGAAACTCTCCCCAAGGTTTGCAAACCAACATTGGATTATACTTTTAAGTGAAGCAGAAGTTACACAGTTATAGTGTATTTGAATTGCTAAAACTTTATTTCTTAATCTTGCTTTTATCTTACAAGATTATGCTTAATAACTCTAGAGGTGACATACACATACGAATCTTGGAGTTAAAATGTGCTGCCTGTCACCACTCTAAGATATTAGTTGATAGACATTGATCATGATGTTGTGTGAACCCTTGAATTGATGAGCATGAAAGGATTATCTCACATTGAACTCTTCATGATTTGTAATCAGAATGGGAGGGCCTGTCTTGGGGACATAATTTACCGGTATATTACATCAGATAAGTTCTCCCCGGAGTTTCTGCTTGATTGCCTTGACCTGTCCAGTGAACATGTTGCTCTCGAGATTGCAAACCGTGTTGAAGCCTCAATATTTGTCTGGCGTCGAAGAGCTCACTCAAAGCCTCCGCCTAATCCAAACCGCTCCACTACAAAGTCATCATGGGAGATGGTAAAGGACCTAGTGATTGATGTGGATAAGAGAGAACTGCTGGCAGAAAGAGCTGAAAGCCTCCTGCTTTCCTTGAAGCAGCGGTTTCCTTGTCTTACCCAAACTATCTTGGATACGAGCAAGATTCAGTGCAACAAGGTTAAATTTTACTTCTTTCAAGAAACTCTTTCCTCCACTCTTGTTTTCCTTACATCAAGTTTGTTATAACAATAGATCTTGTTTTCATACTATTCAGGATGTTGGGAAATCCATTCTTGAAAGCTATTCAAGAGTTCTGGAGAGCCTGGCATTTAACATTGTGGCTCGCATCGATGATTTACTATATGTGGATGACTTGGCTAAACAGACTGATAGATTGTCATCAGTGGCTACAGTCAGTGTAATTACTCGCAAGAAGGTTCCAGTCCAGTATTCGGTGCCTCCCTCAAGCACTCCTCAGAAAAGAGCTTCTGCTAACTTTTCACCTGTACCTTTAATTAGCCCTGCAAGGGGAGAAAGGACTCCTTTTCTCCACACTAGTAACAACAGGGACAAGCCTCCCCGTCGCGGCTTGGGAGTGAGAAGAGTCTTGACAAATTATCTTGGCGTTGAAACAAAAGCAAGAATCTGCAGCAACACAATGGAAGGGTCTGTTTCGATACCAAACTTACAAGGCACAGAAAATTTGGATCGTCAGAAGGACTCATCACACCAAAATGGGAGAAAATCACATCAAGTTGACCGCTGAGGTTTTGCCTCTTAACTTACAGTCGTCTCTTGAAGTTCTGGAGGAAAAAAAGTGGAAAGAAATGCTATAGTTAGAGAGCTGTGCAAGTTTTAAGATAGAGAACCTCTTGGTGTAACTAAGTATTGACGCTTATGAGTTAGGGGAGTTTAATCTATTTGTTAAAGTTCCTGGTTTGCATGTTGTTTGCATTTAAAATATTGTAGCTAAAAGGAGAGAGAGCGAATAGAGAGATTAGATTGCTTGTTGAAACTTCTGCAGAAAGAATATAGACATGAGATTGCTTGTTCAAATTAATGACTTATACTGCTCATACTAAAGAATTTCAAAATTGACTTCAATGGAGAATGGAACCACTAGCACTCTAAGCAAACAAGGTGCCAAAAGAAGAGTTGTTTAAATAAAGTGAACAAATTGGCAAAACAAAACAAAAACAGAAGAAACTCCTTCAAAGATTAAAACTTTTGAACTTAATCTATATAGTGTCTTATATAAAAAAAATTTACAAGTTCATCATCAATAATAAAAATCACTTTTGGATGCAATTTTCAAATAAAAGATTTGAGCAGAGCGTTTCGAAGCCATATGGTTAGCATTTATTTTAAACAATATGGTAAAATAGATCAACAAGGTCGTTGTAGTATAGTGGTAAGTATTCCCGCCTGTCACGCGGGTGACCCGGGTTCGATCCCCGGCAACGGCGCAAATTTTTTTAACCCTCTCGCTAAACTCCGTTAAACTAAAAACCCATTAAACTCGTGACACGTGCATGTAAAGTGCACTGTTACTGATAAAACGTCCAACTTTCCGTCGTTTCACCGACGGAAGCTTCCTTTTCTTTTCAGTTTTTAGACGAAAGAGAAAAAAATAATAAGAAAGAAAGCAGACTCGGCCGCTGCTTGTTGTCTGCACAAACACTTCGCAAGTTTGCGACTTTTCCAGCTAGTCAGTGAGATACTTTCCGAAATCCCCAAAATGCCCTCCCGCGGCGGCACCAGCGTCCACATAGTGGCCCTAGACGGTATCGTGAACGTGAACTCCCTCTTCACCTTGGCCGTCTTCATCGGCCTGACCTGGGATCCCAACGACCCGAACAACACCCTGATTGAGGTAAACGACCCCACCACCTGCCGCGCCGGGCCCCGCGTCGCGGAGGACCTCGTGGCCTTCCACGTGTACTCCTTCAGCTCCTTCCTCTTCTCCAGCCTCGTCGCCGTCGCCCTCAAGCAGGCCATCCGGATCACCCGAACCCCGTCCTACCACCCGGCCGAGCTCCTCGCCCGGGTCAACAGCTCCGCCCTCCGGGTCGGGATGCTCGTCTCGGGTGCGGGTTCGGTTTGCGGGTGCGTGTTCCTGATGCTGGCTCTCATCAACGTGGTGCAGATCAAGCTCGGGACTTTGGGTTGCGGGAGCTCCCACACTTTGGCCGCCGTGATCCCGCTTGTCATCTTCGTCCCCGTTGCGCTCCTCATCTATGTTTGTATCGTTTTGTACGCTTTTACGCGCTAGATCTTTTGTATAATTCCTTATGATTTTGCAGAATTTTAATGTATGTTTTGTGTGTCTTGAAATTGAAGTAGTTGAATTCAATTGAAAGAATGGAAAAGCTTGCTTCTTTGCTTGATTTTTTTGTTTGTTTTTGTTCTCCTAGTGGTAATGGTATAGTGGTGTGTGATAATTGAATCCAGGAAAAAAAAAATCTTTGGTGGATTGGGAAATCAAATTAATGCTTCACAGATTTGGTGAGATGAAATTTATGGATGAGTGGTAGTACAGGTGGGTAGAGAGTGCTGATATTCTAATGAAATTGTTCATGTAGCAATTATTCTTTTTGTTCTGTATGGATTGCTGATGCTATATGCATCAGGCTATCATCATAGAGCATCATAGAGCAATATTAACTGCTTGGTGCTTTTTGTTTAGCTGGTCTTTGTGATTGGTTGGTTTAATACTTAAATGCCATGTTTTGGGTGGGAGATTATGAGGGGTTTAGAGAAACAAGATTTTCTTAGTTACAAGAGGGAACTGAACCTAGACTCTACAGAAACAAGATTGAGGTAGCATGCCGCTGTGGAGAAATGACAAAAGTATAGGAATGGTGGCAAGCACTTAAGCTAGGGGCAGTAATTTTTATTGGCTTAAAGTTGCCAGGTAGCCCTAAACCATTTCTGAAGGAGTTGCAATAAACAAATTGAATTCCTCCTTACCAGTGCTACCTCCACTATGTCTTGTGGGTTTCATTTGTAGGTAACTAAGTACCTTTTGAGCTGCTTGGTGTAGTATATAAAGCGGGAAGTTGAGAAGTGTTTCTACACTGCATTGAAGAAATGGAATCTACAATGAAGTGTATGTGCCTTCTAGCGTTTGTTGTGATTCTGGGCATCAATCAATTCGATGGGGCTTACGGGGCTGGCGAGTGTGGAAAATCTAGCCCCGACAAAGAGGCCTGGAAGCTGGCTCCTTGTTTAGGAGCAGCACAAGATGCAAATGCTGCAGTTTCTGATAAGTGCTGCAGTCAGGTAAAAAGGATAGGCCAGAACCCAAGCTGCCTCTGTGCTGTGATGCTTTCTAATACTGCTAAGAGTGCAGGAATCAAACCAGAAATAGCTCTTACCATTCCGAAACGATGTAACATTGTGGATCGTCCTGTGGGTTTCAAGTGTGGAGGTTTGTTGACATATCCCTAACAATTTGTTTATCAAACCAATTGTTACTGAATGCTTCTTCCATATTCATTTGCAGTTTATTAACACTAGCTATTCTATTTTTCAGCATATACATTACCCTGAAGATCATGAAGTCACTTATGGTGCCAGCTACAAGGACTGTCAAGGAGTGCTGGAGATTGTATCTCTGTAACTAGTTCATCTAGCTTTTTACTATGACATCCTGATCTAGACACCTGAATATTAAATAAAATGTTTCTGTTTAACTGTCTTTGCAAAAAATTTCACTTCATGTTGCCATTGTTGCGGCCAACCATAGCTATATTGGTAACCAAAAGGAGAGAAAAGATGGGAAGGCGGATAAAAGGAACATTGGACTATAAAAGAAACGCATCTATGACTAAAAATGAAAATGGCAGGTTCATTAATTTCAAAACAAACGAAGATGGCAGGCTCAGTTCATAGGCCATATATATTACCTCAAAAAACAAAAGGAAAAATTTCATTATAAGGAATGCTTGATGACTTTTTTGGAATGTCGATATCGGCTCCCTATATAAAATGTCAATATCAGCTCCCTATATAAATTGTTAATTCGAAGATGATAATCCATTCATTTATAAGCTGATAAAAAAGTTCCTTGACCCCTCTTAAGGTTAAGGAGCTAGGTAACAAAATGTGGTCATTGAACACTCACTAACCCTCGCTCTCGTTGGCCTGAGTGAGAGGCCAGGCAATGCTCAAGGAGTGAGTAGGTGCTGCACTCCAAAGCCTGCAATAAACAAAGAGAATAATGTGATCTCCTCAGTCTAATTTCTACCTGCATCCATGCCGTGTCTTGTGGGATGAGTTTCAATTTGATCTTTGACCCAAAAACAGAAGCTCCATTGGATCAAGCTGCCACTTTGAGTATAAAAAAACCCACCAACACCAAGTTGGGAAATTGGAAGCCATTGACTATCACATTGCAAAAAATGAAGGGTCCCATTAAGAGCTTCTGCTTTCAGGCCTTTCTTCTAACAACCATTGCTGCGTTTGGTTGAAGTGCTTATGGGGTAGGGGAATGTGGCAAAATCACAACTGAGAGGGCAGGCTGGAAGCTGGATCCATGCACAGCTGCATCAAAGAACAAGAACGTGAAGGTTTCAATCAAGTGCTGCGCGCAGTTGAGAAATATGATCAGAAATCCGAGATGTCTTTGTGCCATTGCTCTTTCTCAAAATGCCCAGCAAAGTGGAGCCACCCCAGAAATTGCTCTCACCATACCCCAACGTTGCAACATTCCAAACCGTGTCAAGGGTTACAAGTGTGGAGGTCAGTGACATAATTCACATTGCAATCTCAGCTTCTAATTAATTAGCATACTAATTTTGATTGCTTCTAATGTAATTCTGGTTTCTGGGTTGCAGCTTATACAATGGTTTGAAGACTGAAGAGCCTGAGCTGATCAAGGGTTTTACAAGTTCATCTATATTACACACACACATATTATATGTAGTTCATTTCGATATTGGGTTAAGTAACTTATTGATATGTACAAATTTGTTGGTGTTTAATTGATTATTTGCATTCTGTAAGGCCAAAGTCTTATGGATATGGTTCCAAAACAGAGTAATCCAAAAGCACTGTGAAACTTCTTAACATTAAGTATACTGTCCGTCAGCTGATTGGAAGGCAATCAATTAATATCCAAGTTCATATGTCATTAGTGTTGAAGAATATACAAGTTCTACATCGGAAACTTAACAAAATAGAAGTCCCATATAATAACACTGTTAAATAACAGTGTTGTCGTTTTAATACTTCTGTTCTAGGTAATATTTTATTAATATACTATATATAGATAGCCCACCTATTATATTTAACAGAGTAGATTTTTGTTCATTATTTTAATTCAATGTGTACTCTCATCGTCTTTCTTAACACTTGACACATCTCCATAAACATAACCATAATTCCAATAACAGCAGTATTCCAATACTGGGTCAACTGAATAATTCCATTGCAGTCAACTACTAAGCAACAATAGTCACTTTCAATTCCAATAAATCAAGCAACTCCAACAATAGTACTGATATATAGGACATTGCCTCGCAATTTCTCTGTCAAAATTCAAAGGCAATTGATCATGTATAGGAGATTGTCGGGAGACTTCGAATTCAAAGGCAATTTCTGTAACCCGTCTTATTTTAATTTAAACTATATCTTAACTTCCAGCAAAATATATATAGAAGGACACATGATATTCAAGAGAAAGGCAATTTCTAAGTCATACTTACAATAGACGTAGCTAACTAGTAAACCTATACGTATCAAAGGGTGCCTATGATTATTGGCTGTTTAATCAACTTAAAACAGGCGTTAATACTAAGAAAGTAAGAAAACCGTGTACTGAACGGGTGAAAAAAGGTATTGACTTGCAAATTTATCGTTATCTAAATCAACATTCAAGTGGAGATAATAGTGCTTAAACTTGTATTCTAGTGGACATGTTTGAAAAAATTAATCTAAGATATAATTTATTTGTTGTGGTGTGTAGTGGACGACTTAATGGTCGCCATTTCAGTCAACTGAACTTTCATTGAATAATTTGCTATATATATATATATAAGCTCAAAGTGGAGAAGAAAGAAGTCGTGCATATATATTATTCAAGTCATGCATTACAGAAGAATTGTATAAATAAAAAATGGGAGGAGGCTTAATATTGAGGTACATGTGGATGGTGGGTTTGTTTGCAATTGTAGGCAATAATTGGGGGTTCGAAATTGAGGGGGTGGAGGGGGCTGGGGAGTGCGGGCAGCTGGACCCGGAGGTGCTGATCTACAAGCTATCATCTTGTGCAGCCTCCGGACAGGATAAGAACGTGGAGGTTCCTCCCAAGTGCTGTAGTCTGATGCAGAGGGTCCGCACAAGCTGCCTTTGTGCCATCATCCTTTCTAAAGAAGCCAGGAGCCTTGGGATCAACCCCGTAGTTGCCGTCACCATTCCTAAACGCTGCAAAATTGCTGGACGTCCTAGGGGTTACAAGTGTGGAGGTATGCATGTCATCTGCATTTTATTATGCTTATTAACTTAATTAACGGCTCAGATAGTTTAACAATTTACGACGCCCAATTTAGTCTGACTTTAAAATTCAGTCCCGGCAAAATTCTTGATTTTGCTGCTGTTAAATTTTTTTCATTTTTGGTGATTTGCAGCTTATGTGGTGCAAGCATGACTAAGAAGACCATTGGGTCATGGAGCGCGGCATCTATGGTTCTCAAGTAACTTATAGACAACACTCTTAATGATATGCTAATCTAGCTTACAATGTTTAATTAGTATAATTAACCTTGAAGAAACTTACTATTGATAAATAAAAGGCAAAAAGCCACTTTATGATTCATGCGGTTTATCACTTTTGTTACTAAAATTCCTGTGATTTCAATTTGATCATTTTTACCTTTATTGTTTTCAATTTAAAATAACTGTTGTTACTTTGTTGAGGGACATTTTGGTCCAAAAATAAAGACCGGAAAAACAAAAAAGAAAGAAAAGAAAAAAGAAAAAAGAAAAAGAAAGGTAAAAAGAGGAGAGAGAAGCCCTCAGCCACACTGTTTTACCCCGTTGTTGGCCGGTGGAAGAGCCATGAGACACCTTTCGCATAGTAGTGATAAAAGCAATCAAACCCATTAATATTATATATATATATATATATTGATAATATGGTTATTATCTTTTATTGATAATATACTTTTTTGTCAAAATTTTAAGGATTTTTTATTGATCAAGATTTTAGGGGTTAGAGGGAATGATTAGGGGTGCAAGTTGGATTGGAACATTTGATTTCTTTCTAAAAAATTCCAATTTTGGCAAGTCCAAATCAATTTTGACATCCGAAAGTTTCGAAATTAAAAATTTCGATAAAATTGGATTGGGAATTGGAATGTATCTAGAGATTCTAAAAAATTTCGAATTCCGAAATATATTGAGGTTTTAAGCTTAGACTACACACAATTACTAATTTCATGTTGAATTAAATATAATTTGATGACCAAATAGACATAGACAAGTTATTTCATAAGGATAACATCTAAGTACTAGCATATAATAGTTTTCCAAGTTTACGATATGAGTTTCAATTTTGAGTCAAATTTAATCCTTCAAATGGTTGGGCATCTCTCTTTTTGACCTTAACAGAGAAAAAAAAACAAAACCTGCCTAACCCCTTCAGCGCCGCATCTTGGAGGGGGAGGTGGTCTGCCCCTCCTCCTCTCCCCTCATCTTCCTCCTTGAATCACACTTTTCTCCTTCTCCCTTTATTTTCCAATCTGGTGGGATGAAGATCATGGACATGATTTCACCTATCACCACCCTTTTTACCCTACGGCCCCGTTTGGTTCATGGGAGATCAATTGCTTTCCCATGTTTGATAAGTCTAGGCATGGAAAATCGTTGTCTGGTCCATAATAAAGTAGGGGGAAAGTGAAGTCATCCTTCCAACTTGGGTTTTGATTTCCTTTCTCATGAGAAAGTTTGGGAAACTGAACCAATATTAAATAAATATTTTTCATGAACATTTTGTCCCCATTAACAATTTAGAATTACAATATATCGTTAAATGCATTCTTTTTTTATTTGATTTAATATGGGATAATTGAAAATTTATACAAACTTTGTTTTCCATTCCTACTCAAAACAAACATGGGAAATGAAATAAAGTAATATCTCCTGGTTACTTTCCTAATATTATCAAACGTGGGAAATGAATCTTCCATTTCCCATCCATTGGGAAATGACATGAGAAATGATTTTCCCTCAAATTCGTTCCGTGAACTAAACGGGGCCTGTGTGTCTTGCTCCATATCGACCCAAAATCCATGGCTCATCCAGATTCCTTCACCTCCCTTTTGATCTAGCCTCATCCTTGGTCTGTAGATGCAAATTTCAAACACGTTTTGGCGCGTATTTATTGGAAGGTGTGTAGAGCTCATGCTTAGGTGCTTGTGTCACCTCATTCCAGGTTCTTGGTTCTTTTTCTCCTGGATATGGAATGGGTTTTCTCATTCTTTTTTTGCTGGCTGCTGTCTTTTGGATGTATTGGTTGGGTTAATTATGATTATGTTGGTGAATCTCGGGTGGGCTTGTTTTGAGGGCTTGGTTTGCTAACCTACGAGTGTTTGGTTTTTCATGGTGGTGATTGGTGGTTTGTCCATCTACAGTCGTGGAGTTTCTTTTTGCTAGTAGCGGCTTGGAGTTTCTCTTTGGTTATGGCGGCTAGGTTTTCTGTGATTTATTTTATGTATTTTATGTTTAATGTGGGCTTTGTCTCGAATGTGGGTGTAACGCCTCTTTATGGCTATATACCTTTATGTGGGCTGAATGCCTTTATGTTGGCTTTTGCCGTTTTAGTTTTTTTACTTGGGAACATGATCTTTATGCTATACCATGATGGTTTTAGCTAGATTTGTTCATGTTTGTTTTCAGTTGGTTTTCTGGCTGGTGTTTTTGCCAGACTTTGTTTGTATTGTTCTCTGCCCTTTTGGGGGATTGCAATGAATTGGAACTTTGACAACAACAAAAAAAAAAGTTCGGCATGTTTAGAATGTTCAACTAGTTTCCAAAATTTTCCAATAAAATTCCAAAATATGTAAGTTCCAAAATTTTCCAATATTCCGAGTTTTCTGAATTGGAATAGAAATATAAATTCCAAAATTTTTTGGAACGAAATTGGAATAGAATTTCCATACTGAATTTTTTTGGATCAAAATTGGAATTCCCTGATTCTGGTCCGATCCATATGAAAATCAGCCCATGACCATTAAAAAATGGAGTCATTGATATGCTATAAATCAAGAAGTATTAATTAGAAACGAGGGAGTTAATAACATGCTTGAAAACCATTGGGTTGACTTATCTAAAGTTTGGTGGCAAACAATGTAAATATGTAGGAGTACTATAATCTTTTATATCTTACGGTGCATTACAATTTGAATTTGAGTTTTATATATAGAATTCAAAATTGATGGGTTTATGTATAGGAAATAGAAGTTATAGGGTTTATATTAGACGAGGCCTTAACAATATTGAAACTAATTGCACAATTCTCTTCAAAGCTTCAAGATTGAGGATATATTCATTGAAATTACCTCATAGACTTGTTCGAAATAATCGAGATCAGCACAACCAGTGGCTTCTGAAACATTCAAGTGAGATAATACCTACCCTTCGGAGGACTCTCAGTCAGCCTTGGAGTGCTTACATCGAATATATTAAAGTTTTATTGTAATGGACATGTTTGAAAAAATTAATATAAAGATATAATTTATTGTTGTGGTGTGGAGGACGACTTAGTGGTCGCCATTTCCGGTCAACTAAATTTGCTATATATAATATGCACAGAGCATTCATTTGTACAAGAACTGTAAAAAGAAAAAATGGAAGGAGGTGTAATATTGAGGTACATTTGCATCGTGGGTTTGTTTGCAATTGTAGGCAATAATTGGGGGTTCGAAATTGAAGGGGTTGATGGGGCTGGGGAGTGTGGGCAGCTGGACCCGGAGGTGCTGGCCTACAAGCTAGCACCCTGTGCAGCCGCCGCACAGGATAAGAATGTGGAGGTTCCTCCCAATTGCTGCTCTCTGATGCAGAAGGTCCGCACAAGCTGCCTTTGTGCCATCATCCTTTCTAAAGAAGCTAAGAGCCTTGGGATCAACCCTGTAGTTGCCGTCACCATTCCTAAACGCTGCAAAGTTGCTGGACGTCCTAGGGGTTACAAATGCGGAGGTATGTATGTCATCTGCATCTTAGTATGTGTATTAACTTAATTAACGGTTCAGATTTATAGTTTGACAATTTACGACAGCCAATTTAAAGAGTTTGACAATTTACGACAGCCAATTTAGTCTGACTTTAAGATTCATTCTCCGCTGCTTAGCTTGCGTAATTCTTGATTTTGCTGCTGTTAAAAACTTTTCATCTTTGGTGTTTTGCAGCTTATGTGATGCAAGCATGATGAGGCGTAGGGAAGAAGACCATTCGGTCATGGCCCGCGGCAGCTATGGTTCTCAAGTAACTTTTATAGACAACACTCTTAATGATGTGCCAATCTAGCTTACAATGTTTAATTAGTATAGACCTTGAAGAAACTTAACTATTGGTTAAAAAAATGTTGGTCCATGAAACGCCCATCTATATATGTTTTTATGTTTTGTTTTGTTGATATAATCACACATACTGTCAAAGTGGCAAAACGTTTCTTGTTATGGCTTCATATCATAGATCGATTGCCAGAATTAGGATTGAAATATTAAAAACAGTGTCTAAATTAAGTAGATGAAAGTTCTCTCTTACAAAACAAAACAAAGTACATGAAACATTAATTAGCTCGTATATATTACATAACTTGCCCAACTGGGATAAAAATACCCAACAAGCTAAGTTTCTGGATCAGTCCTGGCTCTTCTGCACATATCTACCATGCTATATATGTATTCTATATAACACACACACCATCTTATTTTCCATACATAGTCTTTAAGGTAGATGTTCATACTGAGATCTCACCCTGCAACATAACAGACATTAAATTTTTCAGCGTCAGACAGCTAATATTGCATTGCATGCCAAGCACAAGTAAAACATAGGATTTAATTAATCACCATTAATTAAGGGGGATGAACTTGTGTTTATTACCTCTGCTAAAAGGTGGTGAGTTCACATAAAACGCACAGGAAAGAGTTAGTAATAAAGTGAACCTGGACAGATGAGAAGTATAGATATGAATTAATATTGCAGACTAGATTAGTATAATTAATAATCTTGATTAGTAAACATAATTACATGAAAAAACATACCCTTCCACCAGTTTCCCCTTGAAGCACAGTTTGAATTATTCCCATTTGCATCATCATCACCCCCATCTTTCTTAGACTGAAGAATTACACAATTAATATCAGCAGAGTTCACTTCTTTCATAATAAAAAAATCAAATAACAAACCAAAAAAAAAAAAAAAAAAAAAAAAAAAAAAAAAAAAAAAAAAAAAAAAAAATTTAGTACTTGCACACAGGTGGTGCTGGTGGGATTCAGTGGTCGTCCCAGTTCTTGGACTATAATTTTCTTGGCCACCATAGTAGATTGAGGAGCTGAAGTTGCATGGCTCCACAGCTTCATTTTGATATATCATGGAATCTTTGCTTGCGCCTTTCGTGTTTTGGCCTTTCGTGCTTTCGCCTTTGCTACTGTAAAACCCTTGGCTCTGATTATCCAAAGCGCTTGGATTTCCGTACTTGCCACTGCTCCCAAGTCCCTAATCAAAATTTAAACCCACAGGTCATTTAGACTTGTTCCCAAAAAAAAAAGAATAAAAAAAAGGGCAATAAACTCACTTACCGCTGATGGTGGTGGTGGGAAAATAGAGCCAAACAAGGAGGATGAAGAAGATGAAGAAGAGTCCTTGGGGCCAAAGAGATGATCCAGAGTCCTGGAAGAAGAAGAAGAGGCATGGCTTGAACCACCACCACCCACCTGGTTCTTGTTCTCCATACTAATATAATTAGTTATGTATATAGAACTCTTGTATATACTAGCTAAGTAGTTGATAGTGTTTCACAAAAGCTGATTTCTTTGTCAGCCAAAACGAACAAAATTAACTACTGCTGCTGCTTCTGATAGCTGATAGTTTATCTCTTAACGGTCAAAGACCCAGAAGCAGAAAATTGGATAAGATTTGCAGAATATTGATGAGAATAAATACAGAAACAAACAAGTTAAGAGATAAAACTGGAGAAGGTAAGGGGGGCCAGAGAGAACACGTGAAGATTTGCAGATGTGGAGATAGTGAAGGCGTGACAAAGGTATTTATAAGCCCAAAAATATATGGAGATGGAGTTAGCTGCTGGTTGGGATACATGGATGCTAACCTCATCCCCTGTCTCTGGTCCCCATGTGCCCTTCAACTCTCCCCTGTTTTTTGACACATGGGTTGCCTCAGTTTGATCCAAGTGGACATCTTGCCAACTCTAAGCCCCTACTGCCGCGTTTCTCAGTGGGACCCTATATAAATCAATCTTTGACCAATACATACATGTTCTATTATGTGCTTTTGCTTGAGTTGGTCGACATTCAGATTTTTCTTCTGTGAGAGAGATGAGAGGTGAGGAGATGAGGAGATGAGGAGATCTGTTCATGTCTTAAAACGGATAAGGTGTTGATGTCTCAAATTGGGGTTTTGATGCGGATATGCCCGTTTACATCAAATAGTTGACTCAAGCCACACTAGATGCCATGCAATTCATATCAAACATATTGCATGTGTGCATGTCTTCCTTGCAATCTTTCAAGAATCGGTACCAATACATGCCATCAAATATTATTATCTTCGAGCACAATTTGACCTATAGTAACTTATAAGAAGGATATAAAAAAATAGATATTCATGATCATTTCAAATTATGTTAACTTGTAAGCATTCTTTCACACCGTTAAATTACAGTCTTATACGTTTAGCTATATATTTTAAATCAAGACATATCTCATTATTTAAAGTTATGGAATGAAAAGATAATGTTTTTTTGTGTGTGCCGCCAAGGATGATATCAAATTTCATTTAAAAAAATATACTCATGTGATCAAAAAAGAGTACGTCGTGATCAACATGGCTAGCAAAGATGCCACATGGTCAAATGGTGCAGTGTTATTAAGAAAATTCAACCCAATGAAATGATACCTCAAGGTTCTCATCCGCGTGCCTTAGAACATATTCTAATTCAATTTAATTAAAGTAAATCCGTATCAGCTCCGTCAAAGAGAACTTCAATCAGATGATTAATTGATAACCAATGCGGGGCTTACAAGTAATAATGTTTAGGCGGCTTATAAGTACTGTTTGGATACTATATTTAAATCACATTATCTTGAAGATACGGTAGCTAAAGGATTTTCGTTCCTTTTGGATAGCTTAGGATAAGCACTGCATTTCGACCAAATAAAAGGATAAGCACTGCATCTTCCCATTACATCCATATCACCGCCACTTTCCCGGAAACAAAAAAAGGCGTGACAATTTTTATTTATCATTATTATTTTTTCGCAGAGCAAAACTTTTCCATTTCTGCATGTAGATGAAATGGAATAACTTCATATCAAGTTTCCGATGTGGGACTTTATTCTTCAACATATCTTATGAACCACATCCTTTTTCCTTCATTTTCTAGGGACAGTTGATCTGACTCAACAAGGAAATAGAAAATTTCTTTTTACCACTTCTTGGATCGATCTTAGTTTGGTCTGGTGGGTTTTGACCCAGCTTGGATCTCAGATTGTTGCAACCCAACCCAACTGAACCCAATTCTTTTTTCATTAGAAAGGTGAGGCTTGGGCCCAATTCAGATAAAAAAGAGAAAAGAAAAAAGTGGTTCGACCCAGCTAAACTCGCTACTTGAGCATGCATGTGGAACAAGTTGAGATTCCCGTACCCAATTTGCAAAAAGTTGTATGTACGAGTCATTTTTGTTCGTTCTTTCTGGTTGTAGCCATGGAGGAATGAATGTTGTAAAAAAAACGCATATCAATTTGCCGTGTCATTTTCAAGCCCAACTTTCCATGGGGGGTTGTTGCTTGCTTTAGAAGAAGGAAAAAGCTTTAAGAGAAGACCTGTAAATATATATTGTTCATCTTAATTATATCATCACCTCATCCAAATGCCATCTATATCGAAAGGTCAAAGCCTCAAAGGTTCAGGTGGGCCTAAGATAATATGTTTTTGGGTTATTATTGGTGTCGGTCGTTTCCTTTTCAAGATTGTATGGTCCTATACAAAATGTAACAAAAAAGAAAAAGAAAAGCCATACGCCAAATTATGACAAGCGTGCATGTGATATGGATGATGAAGATTAAAAGTAGTAGTTATATGCTCAAACAAGTGAGAAGTGAGAAAAAGGCTACGAATATTCCACATTCCAATTCCCACCACTCACCCCTCGATGGCTATGTTATGTGGGTGGATTATTGTCCTTGGCACAACTTGCATGGTAGGTCGTGCATTGTAAGTATTTGATGTGCCAACATCATGTGTATGTGTTCATTTCCAAATGTTCCTCTCTAGTAATGGAGAAAAATTATATATCACAAGGATAATACTGTTTTGTTATCCTAAATTTTATCACGCATAATAAAGATTCTATATGACGGAGCATAATTAGATAAGGATAGCAAAACAATGCTATTCCGGTGACATATAAGTCTTTCTCCTTGTAATAACGGCAATGACTGAAAATTAGCCATCAATCAATCATTCTACTATGAAGAGGAGGGGGTCACTTAAAAGAGAGGGGCCAAACATCGTCTTAGGTTTAATTCTCATTCTCGCCTCATTAGAGTATTTTCAGTGGGAGGGGCTAGCCCCGGCAAGAGGCCCCCTAGGCCTCCAATCCTGTTTTTAGTAACCAAGGCTTGCCAGGGCAAGCGTTGGCTCCATCAACCTAGGCAAGATGACTTAATGCTGACGTCATTGTGACGTCAGTAGCCAATTTAAATAAAAAAAGAAAAAGAACAGGGATAAAAATACCAAAATTTTTAGAATTTAAAAAATAAAATAAAAAATACCTAGCCATATTCTTCACTTCTCACACCAAAACTCTATACAAAGGCAATGGGTGGAAAACCAACAAAAAAATTGCTAGGGCATACACTATTCATGTAAATAGTAACAACCATTGCCTCTCCTTGTCTTTTGCCATGACAAATACGTAAAAATACTCTTAATAATATATTGGTTCAGGAGAAAATTTTGGACGGACAACTTCGTGTCACGTGGCAAGTACCCGTTAAAAGTTTTCTGGTTGGTCTCTTCTCGTTCTTAATTAAAGTATGAACAAGGAGGGTGTGATTTGGTATGGGAATGCTACCTACGTAGCTTTCAATTTATTGTCCATACATATACACCTATCAATTGGGGGAAAAATTCCCTTTCCCCACTCCAAGAATGGACAAAGAAAGTGCAGACTTGGATTACATAAAGTACCATAAAATAATCCTTGATAAAGGATACATTTCAAGTTTTTGCATCACAGTAAAGCCTCATCACTCATGATGTACATATATAATAAATTTTTATAATCTGGCATTTTAATCCTCCGCAAAAGTTTCAGCAACTTGCCGTTTCTTATTGATACATCAATACATGATTACATGGTCATGCACCTTTTAAATTTCAAGATATACAACAATGGGGCTCCTCAATTGGAAAGTACCATCATCACACACCAGAGAAGCAGAGACTATGGTTTTGTTAATTAATCAGAGTGTTCCATAATTATTTTTTGATGAGCAGCTACTCTTGTCCCTGCTAATAATTTGCAATAATTTGGTACCATAGCCTTGTGCACATAAAACATTTACGTAGTCACTTTCTGTAGCGTCATATATAGAGATTTTTCTTTTGGTGTTTTTAATGAATTGTTTTTGTATGTGTCAAACCTTGATTTGCAAGAAGTAGTCTCCTTCCCCTTGTATGGTGATGGTACTACTCTGTCATCTTCTTCAACATACTAAATAGGGACATTTTTGGAGGCCATGCTGCTAGACTAGAAGCTCCCGGAGCAGCTAAATCTGGCTGCAACATAACAGGAGAAAAAAAATTTCAGAGATGAAGTACTGCGGCCCAGCTGATAATATAAAAGACTCTCGAATGTTCATCAAGTTATTCTTTAGGAAAAATCAATTCGTAGCTTATGTTATTGGGTGTCTTGAGTAAATTTCCCAAGGCCAATTGATTATTAATAATAATTATTATTCATGCAAAATCCAAAGCCAAACCTTATAGCCTAGCCCAACAAGCACATTTCTCCAAAGTCCACCACACAACACAAACCAAGAAAGTGCTTTGTTTGAAAACTTGAGGTTTCGCAATGCGGGACAAGAACCCAAACCACAACATTTTGCTTTCAAACTCCGACAGTTATTACCTTGATGAGAAGGATGTCATATGGGGACAGGGTTTATCAATTAGCTATAATCATAAATTAGGTTAGCTAATTCTCTGTTGTAGCTTAGAAGTTAGAACTATTTTTTTTTTAAAAAAAACCTTGTTGAGCGGATATGTAATGATAAATACTGTTGCCACGCTGAGAAGGAGAAACGACCATGGAACTAAAGCCATTATGGGGGTCAGGGTCACTACAAAACCTATAAACGTGATTGGAAAAAGATGGGCAATCTCATCCAAGAACATCATGTATTCATACTACGATTTAGCCATGCGTTTCACACATGTTTGCTTTAATCCTAATGATTCACATTTGATCCCACGCACATTCAAAATGCACTACTCTTTTGTTCACACATACTTTTTGAATTTGTGATGTATGGTTAAGATTAAAAGGCAAGTAAATGACAAGCACATTAGAATCTGCAGAGGATCCGAATCCGAAATTTTGTGATCATAGTCTTCCACGCACTCAAACCATTTCTTCCTTAAGTATAACGCTTATATCTAGCTGACGTATTTTCATCAACCCCTCTAGCTTAAGGGCATATTGAGGTAGGTAAGGAATCAACATGTGCAAGAGATTAATAAGCTGATCTTCGAAAAAGAAATTACAGCCACAATAAATTTACTTGTCGTTAATTGTTTAATCTCCAACCTCGTGAATCACATATTGTTATTCCATGCTTACGTCAATTTGTTTGCGTCATAATGATGAGATCTCCATTTCCATTTCATTTCAACTAGGGTGATCATGGTTTTTTTCTTTTTGTCAAGAGGTTCGGTTTGGTTACAATTATAAGTTAAACCGAGCATGTCGATAATGACTTGGTACCCCAAAATGATAATGGACTCACTAGTGCATCCCAGCTCAACTTTCACTAACAAAGCAAAAGCAATTTTGCAGACGCCATAGAGAAGTGAACGAAAGAACGCTTGAACGATTGGATTTCTCAATTGACCCATTACTGTGACTGAAAAAGATAGCTTCTGCCCAAGAGATGTGAAAGAAGGAACGCTTGGATTAGCTTTGATTTCAATTGCTTTTGGTGCACCGATAACTTTAGCTTCATATGTCGATGTTGGTGACCCAACATTGGGGACAGTTGATTTGGATGCTGGGTGGAAATCACAAGGGATGGTTGGTTTAGGTGATCACTGAGTACATTTCCATCGTTAGATTCTGATGAGCATTGGCTGTTATTGTTCTTTGTTATCATCTGCAACAATTTGGTGGTGTAGCCATGTGCACACAAAAATTTGATGTAATCTGTTTCTGCGGCATCATATACCAAACCAGGATATGGAGCCCTGATAGGGTTTATCTGGCCAGCTCTGTATGCAAATTCGGCATCAGAATTAAGATTGGCACTCATGGGTTTAACTTAAAAAAAAAGAAAAAAAGAAATTTAGTCATATACCAATTCTTAGCACTAGTGATATATAGATAAACCCTACAACATTTAATTTCTATAAACAAACCCTAAAAAAACCTAAAAAATGCCAGCTAGCCCTATTGATTTTAATTTTGATTATTAAATTACTTTAATGTTCTAGTGAGGGTTTTTTGAATGAGATTTTGGGGTTGAGTTTGTTTTAAGAAATTGATGGTAGTTTTGTAATTTATATGAAGTTTGAAGTCTCTTTTTTATGTTGTAAATGGGCTTTGGGTGTGTTTCTAAAGTCCATTTTATATAGAGTGTTTTTATAATTTAGGCCCCTATATTGGATATAAGTGAATCTCCAAAAAAAAATAATTGTTGGAATCATTTTTCATACAACCCCAATGAAGTCCCATGACCTTGTTGTGTGGAGCTGCTTAACAGACACAACACCATCCCCACCAACCATCTTTCGTGCTTCTTCCGCTGGGGGAGAACGACACTGTTTACTTTTTCCATCTTGAATCTCAATTTTGAATTAGTTATTTTTTTTTATATAAAAAAACTAATGAACTAGCTCATTTAATATTCAATATCTCAATTTTGAAATAGATTAATTAAGCATAAACAAAAACAACAAATGACTCACTAGTATAGTGGTTTGGAGCAAATGCTCATTCTTAGGAAAGGTCTTGGGTTCGAGTCATAGTATATGTGTAGTATGTATGAGTTTAATATATTATCACCCATCTCAATAGGAAATGTCCTAAAAAACCAAAAAGAAGAACAACAACGAGGGTGGGATTTGCATGGGATCACTTCAAACAAGTACAATAAAATAAAAGATACATTTCAAGTTTCTGCATCATAGTAAAGTCTCATCACTCATAATCGATAGATATATTAAATATTAGAGATGTGGCATTTGATCCTTCGTAGTGCAATTTGCTTTTTCTTATTCTTACATCAATACAGGATTGCATGATCCATGCACCACTTAATATATAGCATAGACAACAATGGGGCTCCTGACTTGGAAAGTACCATCATCCCACACCAGAGAAGCAGAGACACTGGATTTGTGATGAATTGACCCTTTTACCGTGACCTGAAAGGATAGCTTCTGCCCGAGAGATGAGAACGATAGAATGCTTGGATTAACTTTGATTTCGAGTCCTTTCGTTGCACCGATCACTTTAGCTTTATATGTGGACCTTGGTGATCCAACATTTGTGGCTGTCCTATTGAAAACCCCACTGATGGAGTTTGGATTAGACGAGGAAAGTGCAAAAGATGGATAATTCAAATTATCACTGAGTGCTCCATAATTAGTTTTTGATGAGCAGCTACTCTTGTGCCCGGTAATAGATTGCAATAATTTGGTACTATAACCTTGTGCGCACAAAAATTCTATGTAGTCCAGTTCAGTAGCATCATATACCAAACCAGGATATGGAGCCCTAACGGGGTCAATTTGGCCAGCTCCGTATGCAAATTCGGCTTCAGGGTTAAGATCAGGACTCAGGGGTTTAGCTGCAAAATCATTACAAATAATCCAAGATATACATGGTTAGGCCATGCTAAAATTGTAAGTAATTAAAATAATTGTTCTTTCATAATAATTTATCACGTTTATACACAGCCCTACCGGTGGTGATAATAGCGGATTGGATAGCAGCAGGAGACCAATTGGGGTGAAATGATTTGACGTATGCAGCTACCCCAGTGGCATGTGGGCAAGCCATTGATGTCCCTGAGACGAAATTGTATGATGCTACTCTGTCATCTCCTTGAACAAACGAAACAGGGGCAATTGGAGGAAATGCTGCCAAAATAGAAGCTCCCGGAGCAGCTATATCTGGCTGCAACATAACAAGGAGAAAAATTAAGGAGAGATGAAGTGCTGCAGCCTAGCCTAGCTAGCTAAATCTGTCTTGAGTGTTCATCAAGTTCCAAGTAATTACGTACGTACCTTGAGAATGTTAGGAGTGACTGGATTAGGACCCCTTGATGAGAAGGATGGCACATATGGGGACAGTGTGTCAATATCCTCAGTACTTTTAAAAATTGTTGCAGTTGGGTTCCTACAAATTAATCATTACAATATTCAAAATCATATCTAAATTAGCTTAGCATCATTCTGATCTGGTTTAACTGGCAAAATAATATTTGTGTGTACCTTGTTGAGTTAATGTAATAGTAAATGCTGTTACCACTATCCAAACCAAGGCAAGAGGCAGGCATGGGAAAAGGGTCAAGCACATCTGCAACAGGTCGGCTTTGCAAAATAACTCCAACTGCACCTGCAAAATAGGCCCCATACCCAGTCGTCCCATCGCAAAGAACAATCTTGCCCTTCACCAAATTGTGGTCTAACGTGCCTGGTTCGCATGTCCTGTACGGTACCACTATACATTATTATCAGACTGAAACTATATCCCATAAATATTACACACCGTGTATAATTGTATTTACTTAGATGTAGACTCGTCGTAGCCTGCTGTCCTATTGGGTGCGTCTCCAGCATATATCAGAGGATAGAACTTGCCCTTGAGGTCAAATGTGTTTGTTACAATTCCCTATATACCCCAATGAAGCAAATTAATATATTAATTCAATTGCTTAAGTGAGGGCAGGTTAATTAGCTATAGGTTCTATTAATTGTACCTCATAGATTTTTTGGTTACCCAATTGGACCTTGGTAACAAACTCCCGATCTATGGTGCTTGCAGCCACAGAAAGAAACCATGGCGCAAAGTTTGTGATGGTCTTGGGGCCTGGACCGTCGTTCCCAGCAGCAGTGGAAGTCAGAATTCCTTTTCTTAAAGCGTGAAAGGCTCCAATGGTAATTGGTGTCCTGAAATAATCTTCGGGAGATGCAGGTCCGAGGGAGACAGATAGTATGTCGACACCATCCGCAATCGCATCATCAAATGCCGCTAGAATATCATCGTCACTACAATCACTCGGCCAACATACTTTGTACACCGCAATACGTGCTGATGGGACCCCTCCTCTTGCTGTCCCCGATCCCAAACCAAATAGGCTTGCTTTGCTAACTACGTTTCCTGCAGCCGTTGATGCAGTGTGGGTTCCATGGCCACCCGAGTCTCGTGGAGATTTGATGTCACCTTTGACGAAGGGTTCACTATTGCGGTAATACCGTGCTCCAATGATTTTACTGTTTCAACCATAGCAACAATACGTCAATCAATTATCACATAAAACGGATAATTTTTACATTTATTATCTAGCAACATGACAGGTCTAGTATATTAGCCTTACTTGTTGCAAGTAAAATTGGATGAGCCTTGGCATGTGCCTTTCCATTTTTTGGGTGGTGGACCGAACCGGCATCACTGAAGCTGGCAGATTCCGGCCAAACTCCAGAGTCAATCACCCCAACGATGATATCGCTTTCAACAGTGCTTCTCTTCACGTTTTCATGAAACCCGATGAAGTTCCATGACCTTGTTGTGTGGAGCTTCTGCTTCCCACTAGGGAAAACAGACACCACACCAGCCATTCCTGTACACACACACACACATACACACAAGCTTCCAGTTAGATATAAACTTATAATGATCAGTACTTTTTATCCAAATTGGAAAGAAAGCTAGATCCACAACCAGCCATTTTCTGAGCTTCTTCCTCTGTTAGCTTTGCAGAAAAGCCATTGAAGCTTCTCTTGTAGCTGTGCAGTAGGAGAGGTTCTTGTGCAATATTGCTGAAGATAAACTAACTCAAGTTAGGAGATCTTCTTCTTCTGTTAGCTGTAGTTTACTAAATTGCAAATCATATCCTTGTAATGTTAATTAGTTATATAATTGTCACCAATTACTCATCTAGAAAACTCGTTAATATTAACAAAAAAAGGCAGTAAACTTATATTATATATGTATAATTAACCTGCTGCCAACTACGTTTTGAAGCATGTTTACATGAAGAGGCAATGTGGTAGTCGTGGGAATGTCGAGCTCTGGCTTGTCCCCCATGTACACAATATAAACCTGCGATTAATATAATCATAATTAACGTTATTAAGGGTCCGTTTGATAACGATTTCAATTTTAGTTTTTAATTTTCATTTTTTGTGATAGAGTATAGAGGAAAATGAAAGTGAGAATGGGAGTGAGAATAAAATTGAGAGAGAATGGGAGGAGTAACCAAAGTGAAAACAATTTGAAATAGATTTCAGTTTTTAGTTTTTATTTCCACTTTACTCCTCCCTCCCATTCTCTCCTCTCAATCTCATCTCCACTCTCATTCTCCCTTCCATTTTCCCTCTATTTCCTCTATACTTTGGCACAAACAATAAAAAATAAAAACTAAAAACTAAAAACTAAAATTGAAATTGTTATCAAACGATCCATAAGTATATAAAAGCCAGTTTTAAACTAAAATGCTATATATATATATGGAGGAGAATTGCATGCCTTTCTGGTATCCTTATGAGCAGCAGAATGAGTGACGTCTACTAGAAGAGTACATGTGAGGCTGAGAAGGAGAAACCACACTACATGGGAAAACCCTTTTCGCGACCATGGAACTAAATCCATTATGGGGGGTCTCACTACAATACCTAGAAAACGTACTACTTGGAAAAGATGGGGCAAGCTCATCCAAGAACATCATGTATATTTATACTAAGAAGTAGCCATGCGTTTCACATGTTTGCCTCGATCCTAGCCGTGCATTACAAATCTAATGAATTCGTACATTTGATCCCACCCATATCCAAAAGTGCACTACTCTTTTGTTCACACACCTTTTGAATTTGTGATGTACAGTTAAGATTAAAAGGCAAGCAAAGGGACAAGCGCGCATTAAGAACTGGTAGAGGATCTGAATCCGAATCCGAAATTTTGTGATCAAAGTCTTCCATATGCACTCACACCATATCTTCCTTACCTTAACTATACCACTTCTTTAATGTTGGATTCCATATTTGAAGCACCTGACTTTACTTAAATACTGAAGATTGATTGCATTTGGCACAGCATAAAGCAAAAAAACATGCACTTTTAACAGAACATGTTTTGGTATATTTGACTATTTAGCTCAAAATATTGAGTTTTCAAAAGAGAAAAACTAGAGACTGAAAGAAGCTAGTTTTGACTTATCCGGAAATTGATGGGTTTAAGCTTTCCAAAACTAACCTAAACCCTTTTCAAACTCCGCACAGAAATTCCAAGAACATTTCACATGTTTGCTTCGATCCTAGCCATGTATTACAAATCTAACATTTGATCTCACGCTCTTCCAAAAATGCATTACTCGTTTTTTTGTTCACACAGTTTTGAGTTTGTGATACACAACTAAGATTAAAAGACAGATAAATAAGGAACATATTAAGAATTTATGGTAAAAAATCTGAATCCGTAGTTATTTATTTCATTCTAAATTAAGTAGGCTTCTGATCATGCTCTTCCATGCACTCACACCCTCATCTTCCTTGATCATAACACCTTTTAGAGGCTGTCTGAAAAGCACTTTTTCAAAACTGTTAGAGGCTGTTAATTTTTGGGGTATTTGACTATTTGTTAAAGTACATTCATCCTTCATGTAGCTAAAAATTTAGTTTTCAAAAAAGAAAAGCTCAGATTGACTTAGGTGGGCATTGATTGATTTAAGGTTTATTCATTGTAGTATCTTCCGAAATTTTGGTTTAGTCTTACTTTACCCCTCAAAATTAAAGTAACCCCTTGGTCATAATTTTGTGTTTCCCTACCGTTGACTCCGTTCACAATGGTAATGGACTCACTAGTGCTTCTCAGCTCAACCGCACCACTACCAAAAAGCAAAAGCATTTTCATAATAATATTGAGCCTATTGAAAGTCACACCCCGGATCGGCTCCGCTGTAGAATGATATTGTTTGCTTTGGGCCCCTCTTTTTGCCTCACGGTTTTGTTTATGGGAACTCACGAGCAACTTCCCAGTGGGTCACCTATCCTAGGATTGCTCTAGCCCCAACTCGCTTAACTTCAGAGTTCTCATGACTCCAAAGCTAGTGAACTACCAAAAGGTCTCGTGCTAGATGGAGGCGGGCATGTACATATAAAGTACATCACCCCCTCTCCGTTGGTCGATGTGGGATGTTACATAATGTAGGACGAAATATGGGTCAATTACGGTGTGAAAAATTAATTAAAATAAATTGGCTCAAAGTTGGAAGGAAATCGTGCAAGAGAGGAAAATTCCAATTAAATGTCAATTATGGCTTTGAGAAAAGAAGGAAGGCGTATCGTTGAGATTTTCTAATTGATTGAGGAAGTTTGAAACAATTATGATTCTGTCAAGATTTGTATTTAATTTAATGTTTTATTTTATATTTTGATTTATAAGTTATCTATTAGGATATTATTTTCCTAATATGATTTTTATTATTTTCTTGTTAGCTAAGTTTGAGAATATTCTAAAACCTAGGGTTTCCTACGGTTTTAGGGTTTCTTTGTTTTCTATTTAAGCCAACTCATGACTTTGTATTTGTAAGTTTATTCATCTTATTTTCAATCAATATATTTGAGGTTTACTCAATTTCTCTGGTGGATTCTAGTTTGTTAGTGGATTCCGACATTGTTACTTGTAGGGTTATCGTTTGATCTCCTTATCCCTTATATCTCGTTGCGTCAGAAAGGTCATGGGTTCGAGTCCTAACATCCGTGTAATATGTGTGAGTTTAGTATATTATCACCCCTCTCAATAGGAAATGTCCTGAAAAAACAAAAACAATAACAACAAGGGATGAGATTTGCATGGGATCACTCCAAACAAGTACAATAAAATAAAAGATACATTTCAAGTTTCTGCATCATAGTAAAGTCTCATCATTCATAATCGATAGATATATAAAATATTAGAGAATGTGGCATCTGATCCTTAGTAGTGCAATTGCTTTTTCTTATTCTTACATCTATACAGGATTACATGATCCATGCACCACTTAATAATATATAGCATAGACAACAATGGGGCTCTTGACTTGGAAAGTACCATCATCCCACACCAGAGAAGCAGAGATGCGGGATTTGTGATGAATTGACCCTTTTACCGTGACCTGAAAGGATAGTTTCTGCCCAAGAGATGAGAACGATAGAATGCTTGGATTAACTTTGATTTCGAGTCCTTTCGTTGCACCGATCACTTTAGCTTTATATGTGGACCTTGGTGATCCAACATTTGTGGCTGTCCTATTGAAAACCCCACTGATGGAGTTTGGATTAGACGAGGAAAGTGCAAAAGATGGATAATTCAAATTATCACTGAGTGCTCCATAATTAGTTTTTGATGAGCAGCTACTCTTGTGCCCGGTAATAGATTGCAATAATTTGGTACTATAACCTTGTGCGCACAAAAATTCTATGTAGTCCAGTTCAGTAGCATCATATACCAAACCAGGATATGGAGCCCTAACGGGGTCAATTTGGCCAGCTCCGTATGCAAATTCGGCTTCAGGGTTAAGATCAGGACTCAGGGGTTTAGCTGCAAAATCATTACAAATAATCCAAGATATACATGGTTAGGCCATGCTAAAATTGTAAGTAATTAAAATAATTGTTCTTTCATAATAATTTATCACGTTTATACACAGCCCTACCGGTGGTGATAATAGCGGATTGGATAGCAGCAGGAGACCAATTGGGGTGAAATGATTTGACGTATGCAGCTACCCCAGTGGCATGTGGGCAAGCCATTGATGTCCCTGAGACGAAATTGTATGATGCTACTCTGTCATCTCCTTGAACAAACGAAACAGGGGCAATTGGAGGAAATGCTGCCAAAATAGAAGCTCCCGGAGCAGCTATATCGGGCTGCAACATAACAAGGAGAAAAATTAAGGAGAGATGAAGTGCTGCAGCCTAGCCTAGCTAGCTAAATCTGTCTTGAGTGTTCATCAAGTTCCAAGTAATTACGTACGTACCTTGAGAATGTTAGGAGTGACTGGATTAGGACCCCTTGATGAGAAGGATGGCACATATGGGGACAGTGTGTCAATATCCTCAGTACTTTTAAAAATTGTTGCAGTTGGGTTCCTACAAATTAATCATTACAATATTCAAAATCATATCTAAATTAGCTTAGCATCATTCTGATCTGGTTTAACTGGCAAAATAATATTTGTGTGTACCTTGTTGAGTTAATGTAATAGTAAATGCTGTTACCACTATCCAAACCAAGGCAAGAGGCAGGCATGGGAAAAGGGTCAAGCACATCTGCAACAGGTCGGCTTTGCAAAATAACTCCAACTGCACCTGCAAAATAGGCCCCATACCCAGTCGTCCCATCGCAAAGAACAATCTTGCCCTTCACCAAATTGTGGTCTAACGTGCCTGGTTCGCATGTCCTGTACGGTACCACTATACATATTATCAGACTGAAACTATATCCCATAAATATTACTCAACGTGTATAATTGTATTTACTTAGATGTAGACTCGTCGTAGCCTGCTGTCCTATTGGGTGCGTCTCCAGCAAATATTAGAGGATAGAACTTGGCCTTGAGGTCAAATGTGTTTGTTACAATTCCCTATATACGCAAATGAAGCATATTAATATATTAATTCAATTGCTTAATTGAGGGCAGGTTAATTAGCTATAGGTTCTATTAATTGTACCTCATAGATTTTTTGGTTACCCAATTGGACCTTGGTAACAAACTCCCGATCTATGGTGGTTGCAGCCACAGAGAGGCACCATGGTGCAAAGTTTGCGATGGTCTTGGGGCCTGGACCGTTGTTCCCAACAGCAGTGGAAGTCAGAATTCCTTTTCTTAAAGCGTGAAAGGCTCCAATGGAAATTGAGTCCCTGAAATAATCGTCCTCAGGCCCTCCGACGGAGACCGATAGTATGTCGACACCATCCGCGATCGCATCATCAAATGCCGCTAGAATATCATCGTCACTACAATCACTCGGCCAACATACTTTGTACACCGCAATACGTGCTGATGGGACCCCTCCTCTTGCTCTCCCCGACCCCAAACCAAATAGGCTTGCTTTGCTAACTAAGTTTCCTGCAGCCGTTGATGCAGTGTGAGTTCCATGACCACCCGAGTCTCGTGGAGACTTGATGTCACCTTTGACGAAGGGTTCACTATTGCGGTAATACCGTGCTCCAATGATTTTACTGTTTCAACCGTAGCAACAATATGTCAATCAATTATCACATAAAACGGATAATTTTTACATTTATTATTGTTGAATTATAAGTCTATAGCTGATTAGTATTAGTGAAATAAGATGAGTTTTATTTGTGTATTCACTTGAGCATATCTGCCAAGTGTGAGGTCAAAATAGTCATGTGTAGTGTTTCTAGAATTGAGACAGATGGATGGCTGAGATTCATTGTGGCTTGTGTGAATTCAGCTAAGAGCCAATGGTCATGTGTACATGCTGTATGAGCTCATTCTTGCAGATAGAAATATATACAAAAATCATTTGCTCACGGACCGAGGGAGTAAGCAGAGCATTTTTCATTATACTCTATTCTTCCTTTCTTCTCTAATAGACTATTCGCAAAAACCCAGCTAGAATACCAAAAACTCTAACAATTATCTAGCAATATGACAGGTATAGTGTATTAGCCTTACTTGTTGCAAGTAAAATTGGATGAGCCTTGGCATGTGCCTTTCCATTTTTTGGGTGGTGGACCGAACCCGGCATCACTGAAGCTGGCAGATTCCGGCCAAACTCCCGAGTCGATCATCCCAACGATGATATCGCTTTCAACAGTGCTTCTCTTCATGTTTTCATGAAACCCGATGAAGTTCCATGACCTTGTTGTGTGGAGCTTCTTCTTCCCACTAGGGAAAACAGACACCACACCAGCCATTCCTGTACACACACACACACACACACACACACACAAGCTTCCAGTTAGATATAGATTTATAATGGTCAGTACTTTTTATCCAAATTGGAAAGAAAGCTAGATCCACAACCAGCCATTTTCTGAGCTTCTTCCTCTGTTAGCTTTGCAGCAAAGCCATTGAAGCTTCTCTTGTAGCTGTGCAGTAGGAGAGGTTCTTGTTCAATATTACTGTTGCCAACTACGTTTTGAAGCATGTTTACATGAAGAGGCAATGTGGTAGTGGTGGGAATGTCGAGCTTTGGCTTGTCCCCCATGTACACAATATAAACCTGCGATTAATATAATCATAATTAACGTTGTTAAGGGTCCGTTTGATAACCATTTCAATTTTAGTTTTTAATGTTCATTTGTTGTGATAGAGTATAGAGGAAAATGAAAGTGAGAATGAGAGTGAGGATGGGAGGGAGGAGTAACAAAAGTGAAAACAATTTGAAATAGATTTCAGTTTTTAGTTTTTATTTCCACTTTACTACTCCCTCCTATCCTCTTCTCTCAATCTCTTCTCCACTCTCATTCTCACTTCTATTTTCCCTCTTTTTCCTCTATACTTTGGCACAAAAAACAAAAAATAAAAACAAAAATTGAAATGGTTATCAAACGGACCATAAGTATATAGAAGCCAGTTTTGAACTAAAATGGTATATATATAGGAGAATTGCATGCCTTTCTGGTATCCGTATGAGCAGCAGAATGAGTGACATCTACTAGAAGAGTACATGTGAGGTTGAGAAGGAGAAACCACACTACATGGAAAAACCCTTTTCGCGACCATGGAACTAAATCCATTATGGGGGGTCTCACTACAGTACCTAGAAAACGTTCTACTTGGAAAAGATGGGGCAAGCTCATCCAAGAACATCATGTATTATACTAAGAAGTAGCCATGTGTTTCACATGTTTGCCTCGATCCTAGCCGTGCATTACAAATCTAATGAATTCGTACATTTGATCCCACCCATATCCGAAAGTGCACTACTCTTTTGTTCACACACCTTTTGAATTTGTGATGTACAGTTAAGATTAAAAGGCAAGCAAAGGGACAAGTGCGCATTAAGAACTGGTAGAGGATCCGAATCCTAATCCGAAATTTTGTGATCAAAGTCTTCCATATGCACTCACACCATATCTTCCTTACCTTAACTATACCACTTCTTTAATGTTGGATTCCATATTTGAAGCAACTGATTTATTCAAAGAGTAATGCTACACTTACCACATTAGTATCTCACATTTCTATACCACATGATGTGGCATGTCCATATCATATGACATATCAATTAAATGAATGAAGTGTATTTTAATAAATAAAATTAGAAAAACATAAACTAGTATTTTACATGATGTGGTATGTACACATCAACCGCCACATCATGTGATATAAAATTGTGGTATAAAAAATGTGGTAAGACTAGTATTATTCTTATTCAAATACATGCACTTCTAATCGAACCTGTTTTGGTATATTTGACTATTTAGCTCAAAATATTGAGTTTTCAAAAGAGAAAAACTAGAGACTGAAAGAAGCTAGTTTTGACTTATTCGGAAATTGATGGGTTAAGCTTTCCAAAACTAACCTAAACCCTTTTCAAACTCCGCACAGATATTCGAAGAACATTTCACATGTTTACTTCGATCCTAGCCGTGTATTACAAATCTAACATTTGATCTCACGCTCTTCCAAAAATGCAATACTCGCTTTTTTAGAGGCTGTCTGAAAAGCACTTCTTCAAAAATATTAGAGGCTGTTAATTTTTGGGGTATTTGACTATTTGTCAAAGTACATTCATCCTTCATGTAGCTAAAAATTTAGTTTTCAAAAAAGAAAAGCTCAGCTTGACTTAGGTGGGCATTGATTGATTTAAGGTTTATTTATTGTAGTATCTTCCGAAATTTTGGTTTAGTCTTACTTTATCCCTCAAAATTAAAGTAACCCCTAGATCATAATTTTGGGTTTCCCTACCGTTGACTCCGTTCACAATGATCATGGACTCACTCGTGCTTCTCAGCTCACTGCTACCAAAAAGCAAAAGCACTTTCACAATGATATTGAGCCTATTGAAACACCTATTGTTATTGAAACATATATTTCTTGAAACATATATTTCCAAAGATGAAGAATAATAATTGGATTTCTCTGAAATTCAAGGCATGGATAAATCTGTATTTGGAGAAGAAAATAATTCATATTCTAATCTTGTTTATGAAATTAATTATATGATTATTCCATCCAAATATGAGCAAGTCCAAATGCTACAAATTGAAGAGTTTATCTACACATCAAGTTCTATGCCTACTCAGGTTCATTTTAACGAGAACTCTAGGTCGAGTTCTTTACAAGTGAAGGGGTCTAATGTAGGACGAAATATGGGTCAATTATGGTGTGAAAAATTAATTAAAATAAAGTGGGTCGAAGTTGGAAGGAAATCGTGCAAGAGAGGAAAATTCCAATTAAATGTCAATTATGGCGCTAGGAAAAGAAGGAAGGCGAATCGTTGGGATTTTCTAATTGATTGAGGAAGTTTGAAGCAATTATGATTCTGTCAAGATTTGTATTTAATTTAATGTTTTATTTTATATTTTGAAGAATAAGTTATCTATTAGGATATTATTTTCCTAATATGATTTTTATTATTTTCTTATTAGCTAAGTTTAGGAATATTCTAGAACCTAGGGTTTCCTACAGTTTTAGGGTTTCTTTGTTTTCTATTTAAGCCAACTCAAGGCATTGTATTTGTAAGTTTATTCATCTTATTTTCAATCAATATATTTGAAGTTTACTCAATTTCTCCGGTGGATTCCAATTTGTTGGTGGATTCCGATATTGTTACTTGTGGGTTATCATTCGATCTCCTTATCCCTTTATATCTTGCTACGTCAGAAATGTCCTGGGTTCGAGTCTTAGCATCCATGTAGTATGTGTGAGTTTAGTATGTTATTGCTCCTCTCAATAGGAAATGTCCCAGAAAAACAAAAACAAGAACAACAACAAGGGATGGGATTTGCATGGGATCACTCCAAACAAGTACAATAAAATAAAATATACATTTCAAGTTTCTGCATCACAGTAAAGTCTCATCACTCATAATCGATAGATATATTAAATATTAGAGATGTGGCATTTGATCCTTAGTAGTGCAATTTGCTTTTTCTTATTCTTACATCTATACAGGATTACATGATCCATGCACCACTTAATAATATATAGCATAGACAACAATGGGGCTCCTGACTTGGAAAGTACCATCATCCCACACCAGAGAAGCAGAGACACGGGATTTGTGATGAATTGACCCTTTTACTGTGACCTGAAAGGATAGCTTCTGCCCAAGAGATGAGAACGATAGAATGCTTGGATTAACTTTGATTTCGAGTCCTTTCGTTGTACCTATCACTTTTGCTTTATATGTGGACCTTGGTGATCCAACATTTGTGGCTGTCCTATTGAAAACCCCACTGATGGAGTTTGGATTAGACGAGGAAAGTGCAAAAGATGGATAATTCAAATTATCACTGAGTGCTCCATACTTAGTTTTTGATGAGCAGCTACTCTTGTGCCCGGTAATAGATTGCAATAATTTGGTACTATAGCCTTGTGCACACAAAAATTCTATGTAGTCCAGTTCAGTAGCATCGTATACCAAACCTGGATATGGAGCCCTAACAGGGTCAATTTGGCCAGCTCCGTATGCAAATTCGGCTTCAGGGTTAAGATCGGGACTCAGGGGTTTAGCTGCAAAATCGTTACAAATAATCCAAGATATACGTGGTTAGGCCATACTAAAATTGTACATAATTAAAATAATTGTTCTCTCATAATAACTAATCACGTTTATACACAGCCCCACCGGTGGTGATAATGGCGGATTGGATAGCAGCAGGAGACCAATTGGGGTGAAATGATTTGACGTATGCAGCTACCCCAGTGGCATGTGGGCAAGCCATTGATGTCCCTGAGATTACATTGTATGATGCTACTCTGTCATCTCCTGGATAATCTGAAACAGGGGCAATTGGAGGCCATGCTGCAACATAACAAGGAGAAAAATTAAGGAGAGATGAATTGCTGCAGCCTCGCCTAGCTAGCTAAATCTGTCTTGAGTGTTCATCAAGTTCCAAGTAATTATGTACGTACCTTGAGAATGTTAGGAGTGACTGGATTAGGACCCCTTGATGAGAAGGATGGCACATATGGGGACAGTGTGTCAATATCCTCAGTACTTTTAAAAATTGTTGCAGTTGGGTTCCTACAAATTAATCATTACAATATTCAAAATCATATCTAAATTAGCTTAGCATCATTCTGATCTGGTTTAGCTGTTGCAAATAATACTTGTGTGTACCTTGTTGAGGTAATGTAATAGTAAATGCTGTTACCACTATCCAAACCGAGGCAAGAGGCAGGCATGGGAAGAGGGTCAAGCACATCTGCAACAGGTCGGCTTTGCAAAATAACTCCAACTGCACCTGCAAAATAGGCCCCATACCCAGTCGTCCCATCGCAAAGAACAATCTTGCCCTTCACCAAATTGTGATCTACCGTGCCTGGTTTGCATGTCCTGTACGGTACCACCATATTAATTATTGCAACATATTATTATCTGACTGAAACTATATCCCATAAATATTACACAACGTGTATAATTGTATTTACTTAGATATAGACCCGTCGTAGCCTGCTTTCTTATTGGGTGCGTCTCCAGCATATATTAGAGGATAGAACTTGCCCTTGAGGTCAAATGTGTTCGTTACAATTCCCTATATACGCCAATGAAGCAAATTAATATATTACTTCAATTGCTTAAGTGAGGGCAGGTTAATTAATTAGCTGTAGGTTCTATTAATTGTACCTCATAGATTTTTTGGTTACCCAATTGAACCTTGGTAACAAACTCCCGATCTATGGTAGTTGCAGCTACAGAAAGAAGCCATGGCGCAAAGACTGTGATGGTCTTGAATTGTGGACCTTCGTTCCCAGCAGAAGTGGAAGTCAGAATTCCTTTTCTGAAAGCGTGAAAGGCTCCAATGGTAACTGGTGTCCTGAAATAATCATCCGGAGACCTCGGTCCGAGGGAGGTAGATATTATGTCGACACCATCCGCGATCGCATCATCAAATGCCGCTAGAGTATCAGCGAAACTACAACCAGTCGACCAACATGCTTTGTACACTGCAATACGTGCTGATGGGACCCCTCCTCTTGCTCTCCCCGACCCCAAACCAAATAGGCTTGCTTTGCTAACTAAGTTTCCTGCCGCCGTTGATGCAGTGTGGGTTCCATGGCCTTCTGAGTCTCGCGGAGACTTGATCTCACCTTTGATGAAGGGTTCACTAATGCGGTAATACCGTGCTCCAATGATTTTACTGTTTCAACCATAGCAACAATACGTAAATCAATTATCACATAAAATGGATGATTTTTACATTTATTATCTAGCAACATGACAGGTCTAGTATATTAGCCTTACTTGTTGCAAGTAAAATTGGATGAGCCTTGGCATGTGCCTTTCCATTTTTTGGGTGGTGGACCAAACCTGGCATCACTGAAGCTGGCAGATTCCGGCCAAACTCCAGTGTCGATCACCCCAACGATGATATCGCTTTCAACAGTGCTTCTCTTCACGTTTTCATGAAACCCGATGAAGTTCCATGACCTTGTTGTGTGGAGCTTCTGCTTCTCATTAGGGAAAACAGACACCACACCAGCCATTCCTATATGTATATATATACACACACACACAAGCTTCCAGTTAGTTATAAACTTATAATGGTCAGTACTTCTTATGCAAATTGGAAAGAAAGCTAGATCCACAACCAGCCATTTTCTGAGCTTCTTCCTCTGTTAGCTTTGCAGCAAAGCCATTGAAGCTTCTCTTGTAGCTGTGCAGTAGGAGAGGTTCTTGTGCAATATTGCTGAACATAAACTAACTCAAGTTAGGAGAGCTTCTTCCTCTGTTAGCTATAGTTTACTAAATTGCAAATCCCATCCTTGTCATGTTAATTAGTTATATAATTGTCACCAATTACTCATCTAGAAAATTCGTTAATCCTAACAAAAATTAACCTGCTGCCAACTACGTTTTGAAGCATGTCTACATGAAGAGGCAATGTGGTAGTGGTGGAAATGTCGAGCTTTGGCTTGTCCCCCATGTACACAATATAAACCTGCGATTAATATAATCATAATTAACGTTATTAAGGGTCCGTTTGATAACCATTTCAATTTAAGTTTTTAATTTTCATTTTTTGTGCTTGAGTATAAAGAAAAATGAGAGAGAATGGGAGTGAGGATGAGATTGAGAGAGATGGTGAGAGGGAGGAGTAACAAAAGTGAAAACAATTTGAAATAGATTTCAGTTTTTAGTTTTTTTTTCACTTTTATTACTAATTTCTCTCCTCTCAGCTTCCTCTCAATCTCATATCCACTCTCATTCTCACTTCCATTCTCCCTCTTTTTCCTCTATACTTTGGCACAAAAAGTGAAAAATGAAAACTAAAAACTTAAATTGAAATGGTTATCAAACTGACCCTAATTATATAGAAGCCAATTTTAAACTATAATGGGGTATATATATGAGAATTGCATGCCTTTCTGGTATCCGGATGAGCAGCAGAATGAGTGACATCTACTAGCAGAGTACATGTGAGGCTGAGAAGGAGAAACCACACTACATGGAAAAACCCTTTTCGCGACCATGGAACTAAATCCATTATGGGAGTCTCACTACAAAACCTAGAAAACGTGTTTGGAAAAGATGGGGCAAGCTCTTCCAAGAACATCATGTATTTATACTAAGAAGTAGCCATGCGTTTCACATGTTTGCTTCGATCCTAGCCGTGCATTACAAATCTAATGAATCCACCGATATCTAAAAGTGCACTACTATTTTGTTCACACGCCTTTTGAATTTGTCATGTACAGTTAAGATTAAAAGGCAAGCAAAGGGACAAGCGCGCGTTAAGAACCGGTAGAGGATCCGAATCCGAAATTTTGTGATCAAAGTCTTCCATATGCACTCACACCATATCTTCCTTACCTTAACTTACCAGTTCTTTAATGTTGGATTCCATATTTGAAGCACCTGACTTTACTCAAATACTGAAGACTGATTGCATTTGGCACAGCATAAAGCAAAAAAGCATTTCACATGTTTGCTTCGATCCTAGCCATGTATTACAAATCTAACATTTGATCTCACGCTCTTTCAAAAAATGCACTACTCGCATTTTTGTTCACGCAATTTTGAATTTGTGATACACAATTAAGATTAAAAGACATATAAATGAAAACATATTAAGAATGTACGGTAGAAATCAAAATCCGTAATTATTTATTTCGTTCTAAATTAAGTAAGCTTTTGATCATGCTCTTCCATGCACTCACACCATCATCTTCCTTGACCATAACATGTTTTAGAGGCTGTTTGAAAAGCACTTCTTCAAATATATATATATATATATATATATAAAATTAAACTAATTCCCTAAAGTAGTTGTAAGATTGGATTTTGAGGATTGGCAAGAATTTATTATGATATGGGATGAAAATAGACTGTGAGGTGGTGTTTACATAGAGACGATTCCCTTTTGTTGTAAGATTGGATTTTTCTTCTTCTTGTTACTGAGAGACTTGGTTGGTTCCCTATGTTTATTCTTCTCTCGTCTTGTGGCTTGCTTGCTGCCACTCGTGGATCTGTTAAGGAGCAAGGAGGTGCAGTTGCACCTCCCTTCGCCAGAAAAACCATTGTATGTGTTTGAAATTGCCCCTTTGCTTAGCTGGTGGTGGTGTACAGATTACCTTATTTCCATCTTCCATCTTCCATCTTCCATCTTCAACATTTAAGTAAATGTCTTTGTCTTTTTACTTTCATTTATTTTTATATTATTCCATTTACTTAAGTTTACAATGTAAATAAGGAAGTACCCCCCATTTGGATTCAAATAAAAATACTAGAAAATCAAATTCCCCCCAAATCAAAATTTGAAAAATCTGTTTTAGTGCAAAATACGATTTAGGCTAAAAATGATAGCTCATTAAGTCAATATATACTTCATAATAAAATCCCATAAAATCAAGTTTTTTTATTTGATGTGTAAGGAATAAAAACCGCCAAAAATTATCTTGAGAAAATGATTATTCCGAAAAACCATTTTTCATACTTAGTCAATATTTTTACATAGAACAATTTTTCATGTATGATATGAATGCATGAAGGGACCTAAGGTCAATCTAGGTAAAAAGCCTTAGATGTTCAATCCACAAAGAGTTTTTAGCCTTTCAAAATTGCACCTCCGCTAAAAAATTTCTGGATCCGCCAACTGCCTTTGTTCTTGTCGGTCGTTGTATTATCTTTGTCTTTCAATGAAGTTTCACTTATTAACAAACAAACAAAACAATATTTTGCTGAAATGGGAGATGATTCTTGTGCAGCCCTGAAAAGAAGAAGGGAAATTGCAGGCTTGACGTTGAACTCTTTAGGGTCAGTAATTATTATTAATCATTAAGTGTGAGACAATTATTTTGGTTCATTTTTTTCAATGTGATGTGTCAACTCTCAAATGTTTGGATGAAATTTAAATGAGGTGGCGTGTGGAGAGTAGAAGTTGAGTAGATCGTGGCAGAGAAAAACAACAATTTGCTTGATTTTTTTTTGGAATATTTGACTATTTGTTAAAGTACTTTCTATAGAAACTTATTTTCCCTCAGTCATTTATATGATCATTATACAATAT